CCCCTGTGTCTTGGTACAGTGCCTTAAACAGACAAGAGCACATGTTAGAACTGAGTAGTAGTTGAAGTCGCCATATTGCTTCTGCTTTTTACTATCCTTTGCTCCATTCTTATTTTTTTGTTTTCTTTTTGCTTCCTGTTTTTATGTTATTGCTTAAAAGTGCTTATTTGCTTTGGGTGAAAAGCATCTTTGCATTAGGAATTTTTTTTAGGCATTCACTTAGCTATTTTTACTGTTGTTTACTTCTAAAAATAATCCAAATAAAGAAATCTAAGCTTTCAGCATTATTCTAATTCTAGCTTATTGACTATATTGCAAAGTTGATATTTTATCAACAAGCTTTTACTATCTCCCGTTTGTTTTGTCAAAGTGTTATCTATGACCCTCTCAGTGTGTCTCCAAGGTCAAAAATAGTCATATTAAAGCATTACTTGCCTTTTTCACTGTTTTGTTATTTGCATTTATTATACAAAACAATGATAGGTAAAGCTGTTGTTGCTATAACATGAATCAAAGCCCAGGTCCCAAGTGTTGTGGTAGCATTCCAGTTTCATTTAAAAAGTCTTTGATGAAGTGATTAAAAATTATGAACTATTAAATCACAACTTATGAGTAGCTGTCTTTAATATCTGAAAAAAAAGAGGTACCCTTTATTGCACACCAAAATATAATGCTTATCTCAGGAAAAGTATTTTAATAATTACTCAGTTAACTAGTCATTTTGTTCATAGAACACAATTTTTACTTAGTAGAATGACAAACTAGTTATACAGACTTAGGTATTTAGCAGACAGTTTCTTAAAAATGAACAACATGATAGCAAGGAAAATAACACTCAGTATTTATTGCTAGTGGTAAAATTCAGGTTCAAAGTCAAGTTTGCATTTTAGACCACTGGCATCCATGGCTACAAGTTTTTGTTGTTGTTTTTTAAAGATTTATTTATTTATTTGAAAGTCAGAGTTACACAGAGGGTGGAGAGGCAGAGAGAGAGAGAGAGAGAGGGGTCTTCCATCCGATGGCTCACTCTCCAATTGACCACAACGGCTGGAGCGGCACCAATCCTCAGTCAGGAGCCAGGAGCTCCTTCCAGGTCTCTCACGTGGGTGCAGGGACCCAAGGACTTGGACCATTCTGTTGCTTTCCCAGGCCATAGCAGAGAGCTGGATTGGAAGTGGAGCAGCTGGGACTCGAACCAATGCCCATATAGGATGCTGGCGCTTCAGGCCAGGGTGTTAACCCACTGCGCCACAGTGGTGGCCCCGGCTACAAGTTTGATAGCTTCCAGATAACTTAGACATTCTACTGAGCTCAGTGGTGACATTAACAGATATCTTTGATATTTGATATATCATGAATTATGTCAGTATGTGGAAGATATATTACTCAGTAAGCTAATATTTTTCAGATGACCTAGATACAATGTTAGAAAGCAATGCATTGGTTAAAGATCCTAAAGTGTAAGATAAACCAAATGGATTTTAACATACAGGATGCAAAATGTTTTTTCATGTGGTTTCGGATACCTTATTGCAACAGCACTTTAAAAATTACTGCCTGTCAAGTTTGCATTTAGTTTTAGTTTCAAAGAAGAATGTCCACAGTAATCTAAAAAGGCTGCAAAAATACTCCTCCCTTCTCCAATTATATAACTCTGTGAGGCATGATTTTTTTCATTGTTTTTCAACAAAAGCAATATACTTCAACAGCTTAAATATGGAAATAGATATGAGAACCCAACTGCCTTCTGTTAAACCAGAGATTTTCACCAGTGTAAAACAGTATAACTCATTTCACAAAATTATTTGGGAGTGGCATATAGTTTTCATTAAAGTATACTGTTTTGACACTATTTATTGCTAGTGTATATTTTATGATGGTTTTTATTATACATGTGATAAAACTCTGGAGTAATTGAGTATATGATAGACTTTTTTTTCCTAATCTGTTAGCTAAGCATATTAAAAGCCAGTTAAAAAATGTCTTCACCCTGTACTCTGAACATTAAATTATGGGGAGAAGTATCAAAAGGTGATTATATGATCACATTTGATAAATTCTAGTTCTGTTCTGATTAATGAAACTTAAATCTCTAACGGTTACACATTTAAATTTTGTTCTTTACTTTGAATAGAGAGACGTTTTAAAAGAAAATTGGGGCTAGCACCGCGGCTCACTAGGCTAATCTGTGGCGCCGGCACCCCGAGTTCTAGTCCCAGTTGCTTCTCTTCCAGTCCAGCTCTCTGCTGTGGCCTGGGAGGGCAGTGGAGGATGGCCCAAGTGCTTGGGCCCTGCACCGCATAGGAGACCAGGAGGAAGCACCTGGCTCCTGGCTTCAGATCGGCGCAGCACGCCGGCCGTAGCGGCCATTTGGGGGGTGAACCAACGGAAGGAAGACCTTTCTCTCTGTCTCTCTCTCTCTCTCACTTTCTAACTCTGCCTGTCAAAAATAAAAATAAAAAATAAAAAAAAAGAAAATTGGACAATTCAAATCAATTTCCCATAAGTATTTAGGTTTTCAAGTAATGTATTGGCTTTCAGTTGAATTTTTCGATACTCTAAAGGTCTGCATTTATGGCTTTTGATGTATCAGAAACACTTGGTAAAATCAGAATCTGTAGTGCCTTTATACATATAGGAAATATATGTATTTTATTTCTTTTTTTTTAAAGATTTATTTATTTATTTGAAAGAGTTACACAGAGAAGGAGAGGCAGAGAGAGGGAGAGAGAGGTCTTCCATCCGCTGGTTCACTCCCCAGTGGGCTGCAACGGCTGGACTGTGCCAATCTGAAGCCAGGAACCAGGCGCTTCCTCTGGGTCTCCCACACAGGTGCAGGGGCCCAAGGACTTCCACCGCTTTCCCAGGCCATAGCAGAGAGCTGGATTGGAAGTGGAGCAGCTGGGACTCAAACCGGCGCCCATATGGGATGCCGGCACTTAAGGCCAGGGCGTTAATCCGCTGCACCACAGTGCCAGCCCCTGTGTTTTATTTCTTCATGTAACTATCAGAATTCTTCACCCAGGCTTGCCCCAGTACTTAAAAAATTGCTGCTTTGGATAAAATACTTCTTAGTGTTGTTTTTAGGACCGTACTATGGAAAGTAAATGTTTGTGCTTTGATGCCTGCAGAGCAAATATTAGTTATGTGGTACTTAGTTAATGTTGCTTACAGATATGGATCATGAGCTTCATAATAATGATTGCTATAATTCTGTGACAGTTAATGGGGGAGACCAAGAGTTTTAGAGTATACCAATTTAGACTTTTAGTCTTGAGATTCAGATCTGCTACTAGTTTTTCTGTGAAATGGTGATATATTATGTGTCCCTCTGTTATGGTGAGGATTAAATGTTTTATTTGAAGACTTCACCTGTTTGTTATTTTTTTTTTAACCTGGAAATTAAACATTCACATTGTTAGAGGAATGTGTTTCTCAGTTTATTCCAAGTCCTTACCCTCCTGGTGCTTCTGATTCATTTAACCTTAATTGCCTCTTTAAAGTTTTGAACAGTTACATTTAGAGTTGCTGGAGTTCAGACTTCTCCATATGAATAGGAGAGGTGGGGACACAATTCAGCCAAAAGCACTTGTCTAGGCTTATAGGAGGCTACTTGGCCATTATTGAAATAAAGACTTTTACATATCTCATCTGAATTTATGTGTGTATTAGCTCTGTGATGATTAGCATCTGCATTTTACAGGTAAACAGACTAAAGCTTAGGTTAAGTAACAAGACTAAGAAATAAGATGAGACTCCAAGTGGTTAAGCTGCCACTTTGGAGACCAGTATACCGAATCTAGAGTGCTGGTTGAGTCCTGGCTACTCCACTTTCCGACAGCCAGCTAGTGTGCCTAGGAAGCAGCAGATGGTGGCTCAGGTAGGTGAGTCCCTGCCACTCACGGCAGACCCAGATAGGTTGAATTTTCTGTGTTTCATGTATCAATCTTTTTTTTTTTTTTTTTTGACAGGCAGAGTGGATAGTGAGAAAGAAAGAGAGAAAGGTCTTCCTTTTTGCCGTTGGTTCACCCTCCAATGGCAGCCACATCTGGCGCGCTGCGGCCGGCGCACCGCGCTGATCCGAAGGCAGGAGCCAGGTGCTTCTCCTGGTCTCCCATGGGGTGCAGGGCCCAGGCACTTGGGCCATCCTCCACTGCCTTCCCGGGCCACAGCAGAGAGCTGGCCTGGAAGAGGGGCAACTGGGAAAGAATCCGGTGCCCTGACCGGGTTTGAACCCGGTGTGCCGGCACCGCTAGGTGGAGGATTAGCCTATTGAGCTGTGGCGCCGGCCGTATCAATCTTTTTAAAAAAGCAAAAATTGGACTCCAGGTCTTCTGAACTCTGGTGTCCATGCTCTCTCAGACAGGAACTGTGTGCTAGGAAATAAAAGCGTAGATTTAAAAAGGATTAGAATATAAAACACAAACCTGTGTTTTTTAGTTTTCATTAAAGTCTCACTAGTAAACAACCTGTGAAACAAAAAAATCATTTTGCACCAGCCTGGTTGACTTTTTTTTTAATATTTATTTATTTATTTGAAAGGCAGAGTCACAGAGGCAGAGAGAGAGAGAGAGAGAGGTCTTCCATCCACTGGTTCAATCCCCAGATGGCCGCAGTGGCCAAAACTGCGCCAGTCCAAAGCCAGGAGGCAGGAGCTTCTTCCTGGTCTCACGCAGGTGCAGGGGCCCAGGGACTTGGGCCATCTTCTACTGCTTTCCCAGGCCAAGCAGAGAGCTGGATCAGAAGTGGAGCAGCCAGGATTAGAACCAGTGTCCATATGGGATGCCGGCGCCGCAGGCGGTGGCTTTACCCGCTACTCACAGTGCTGGCCCCAACCTGGTTGCCTATTAAGTTTGTTTTTAAAAAATGATAGAAATTTCTGGTTTTAGAATGGAAACAATTGGAGATATTAGAGATTTTTATATATGATGATAGTTACCGAAAACAAATTTGTTTAATTTTTAAGTTCAAAAATGCCTTTCTCCTTTTTTCTCTTACAGAAGATTCAAGTGTTCCAGAGACTCCAGATAATGAAAGAAAAACAAGTATATCATATTTCAAGAATCAAAGAGGAATACAATATATTGATTTGTCTTCTGATAGTGAAGATATTGTTTCCCCAAATTGCTCCAATACAGTTCAAGAGAAAAAATTCAACAAAGACACAGTGATAATCGTGTAAGCCACTTAATAGATTTATTATGTTTGCATGTAAAAGAGTTTTCAAGAAAGTGCCTTATCGGAAATTTTCAAGAAAAGGTTTTTTAAGATTTTTAATTGGTTTTTAAGAAAAGGCTTAGTGGCACCAGACATATAATGTTTTTAGCCTATAGGGAAATTATTTTGGTAGTATCTTGAATAATCCATAATAGCTTATGATACATTCATGAGTCCATCAGTCAAATTGATTTAGCATATGTTAGGCACTTTCTGTGACCTAGATACTGTTTTATCATTTGAAATATAACAGTGAACAAACCCAAATCTGTGCCCATACACAGTTTAAATTCTAGTCAGAGTGAAAGACAGTAAATAAAACAGGTATCATTGTTACAGAAACCTCCAAAACTGGTTGGAGAGGTTGCTATAGAACCCTAAAGCTGGCTCCGCTGGCCCAATGTGCAGCAAATCAATCACTTGCAACAAGGAAAAAGCAAGTATTTATGGCATTGCACAGAGCAAGATGTCAGGCAGCTAATGATGAATTCCTGGGCTTCTGGTAAGATTAAAGAGAGTGAATCTTTTTATTTTAATTTTTCTTACTTTTTTTTAAGGCAGAGTTAGAGGGAAAGAGAGAGAAGTCTTTTGTCCACTGGTTCACTCCCCAAATTGCTACCACTGCTGGAGCTGCGCTGGTTTGAAGCCAGGAGCTTTTTCTGGGTCTCCCACATGGGTGCAGGGGCCCAAGGACTTGGACCATTTTCCACTGCTTTCCCAGGCACATTTTCAAGAAGCTGTATCAGAAGTAGAGCAGCTGGGACTCAAACTGGCACCCATATGAGATGCCAGTCCTGCAGGTGGCAGTTTTACCCGCTATACCACAGCGCTGGCCCCAAGACAGTAAATCTTAATAGTTCAAAGTTAAAGATTTGCAGTGGATAATCAGCTCACATGTGGGCCTCTGGTTGCTCCACAGTGCATACAAGCTTCTTTTGATTGGTCATTGATAGGGGCCAGTGAGTTTCCTTTGAAATAGCAAATGTGAGCTAGAGTCTAGGCTAAGGTTTGATAAGGTATTAGTTTTTTTTGACTAGGGCCTGTGAGTTCCTGCAAACACTCTCAGAATAGAGGCTAGCTTTGAGATACTAACTATAGGAACAATTATGTCACTCCCTTAACCTAATGAGAAAATCTTTACAGAGGAGCTGCATGATAGCAAAGTCAGTTACAGAGAGAATGGGAGAGACAGAGAAAGAACAAGATCTTCATTTGCAGGTTCACTCACTAGATGACTACAATGGCCAGGTCTGTACCAGGCCAAAACCAGGAGCCAGGAGCTTCATCCAGGTCTCCCACGTGGGTGGAGGGGTTCAAGCACTTGGACTGTCCTCCACTGCTTCCCCAGGCGCATCAGCAGGGAGCTGCATCGGAAGTGGGGTAGCTGGGACTTAAACTGGCCCTCTATAGGATGCTGGTGCTGTAAGCTGTGGCTTAATCCTCTGTGCCACAGCACTGGCCCGGAATTTTTCTTATGATGTATCTAAAACGGGGTTTATCTGTAATTTCTTCATACTTAAACTTAGGTTAAGTGGAAGGAATACTACATAAATGATCTTGTGTTTTTAATGTGTTCAGTTAGGAGGCATTAATATCCCTTTGTCCGCTTAATGGTGAACTTTGACAACTGTTAACATCCCCCTGACAGGTTTCTCCTTAAAAGTTACCATTTTTTCCTTTGTAATAGTTAAGAAATATGTAGAGAGATACTTTAAAAAATTATTAGAGTTGGCCGGCGCCGCGCCTCACTAGGCTAATCCTCCGGGTTCTAGTCCCGGTTGGGGCGCCGGATTCTGTCCCGGTTGCTTCTCTTCCAGGCCAGCTCTCTGCTGTGGCCAGGGAGTGCAGTGGAGGATGGCCCAGGTGCTTGGGCCCTGCACCCCACGGGAGACCAGGAAAAGCACCTGGCTCCTGGCTCCTGCCATCGGATCAGCGTGGTGCGCCGGCCACAGCGCGCCGGCCACGGCGGCCATTGGAGGGTGAACCAACGGCAAAGGAAGACCTTTCTCTCTGTCTCTCTCTCTCACTGTCCACTCTGCCTGTTAAAAAAAAAAAAAAATTATTAGAGTGACAGAGAAAAAGAGCTCCCATCTGCTTGCTGATTTACTTCCTACATTCCCTCAATAGCCAGGGCTGGGCCAGATGAAGCTGGGAGCCAGAAACTCACTCCAGGTCTCCCAGTAGGTGGCAGGAAACCAAACACTTGAGCTGTCTCTGCTGTCTCCCAAGGTCTGCATCAGTGGGAAGCTGAAGTTGGGATCTGGAGGCAGGGATTGAACCCAGGCACTTATGATGTGGAATGCCAGCATCTTAACTGCTAGGCCAAACACTGCCCCCTGGAGGGATACTCTTGAGCTTGGGTAATGATCTGGTTCCCTTTAACTCAATAGTTTTACCATCAGTTGACTCTTTAAAAAAAAATAAATAAAGACAGTTACAGAGAGTTAGAGCCAGAGAGAGAGAGAGAGAGAGAAAGAGAGGTCTTCCATCTGCTTGTTCCCGCCCCAAATGACCGCAACGGCCAGAGCTGAGCCATTCCAAAGCCAGGAGCCAGGAGCTTCTTCTGGGTCTCCTACGCAGGTACAGGGAGCTAAGGACTTGGGCCATCTTCTACTGCTTTCCCAGGCCACAGCAGAGAGCTGGAACGGAAGAGGAATAGCCAGATCTTGAACCTGTGCCCATATGGGATGCTGGAGCTGCAGGCTGGGGCTTTAACTCTGTGACCCATCGCCAGCCCCCATCGGTTGACTCTTTCCTGATTCAGTTTTGACCTTGATGTTTGTAAAATGGTATTCCGACCAGCATTGTAGAACTTGTACTTTTATTACTTGGTATTCTGTAAATAAGTTTTCCCTTTTCTCCCCCATCTACTCGTTAATTTAGATATTTATGTAGTATAGTAAATTGTTCAGTTTCAGTAGATGAGTGCCCTCTTCAAGCAGGCTGTTGTGTCTGAAATGTTTCTGTAGTTTTTTTTTTTTCTTTTCCTTCTGATTTAAATGTTCCAGGGTTGCACTTTCCCTACCATTAGCCATTTCTCTGAGTAGCTCTGCTTCCTTTTAATAGAAAATGATATTTTGAAATATGGGGGCTAAATGTGTCCTTTCTTGGTTGCTAGCTTATGACTTTCTTCCAACAAATTTGAGCTGGGGAATATTGGGAGGAGGCTTTGAGGAGAGCATAAAGTGCTGTTTCGGCTATTTAAAATTTGTTTATAATGATATTATTCTAATCTGTCACTACAAGGCTTTACCCTGCCTATTATGACAATGAAAAACCTGGTTTTCTGCCGAAGTTAATGTATTTAATTTGCTCAGTTATTAAGTATGCATAATATGGTTTATAGATTGCCTTATCCATACAACTTGAATGTTAGTGTGGTAAGCAGAGTTCAAGATTTGTTTATGAGTTGAAGGTATATAGTGAATACACTTTGGTTATCTATTTTTTTTTTGTTTTTCATTTGAAATATGGTTAAGGTCAATAATTTCTGTTTGCATTCCTCTTAGGGTTTTTCTCCTTGACCTTTTCTAAACATATAAATTTACTTTAAAGCAATTAAAATATTAACAAGTTTCCAAATATAAAAATTCTATAAAGATATACTCAGAAAAGTATCATCCCCTTCTCCTGTCTCATCTTCATTCCACCCCCAGCCCCACCGCATGCCACCTCAGAGCTGACCAGTTTGTTTGGATTCTTGTTACAGTTTCTTTTTCTTTGTGTATCTTTTTTAAAAAGATTTATTTATTTATTCATTTATTTGAAATTCAGAGTTACAGGCAGAGATAGAGAGAGAGAAGAGTCTTCCTTCTGCTGGTTCACTCCCCAAATGGTCACAATGGCCAGGGCCAGTGCAAGCTGAAGCTAGCAGCCAGGAGCTTCTTCCAGGTCTCCCATGTGGGTGCAAGGGCCCAAGCACTTGGACCATCTTCCAGCAGGGAGCTGGATCAGAAGTGGAGCTGCTGGAGCTCAAACTGGCGGCTATGTGTCTTTGTTGTTATTGTTACTTACAAAGAAGATAGAGCACAGCATAGTAAACCTTCCTTATCCAAGTCTGTGGTACATGCCCAAAACCACAGATAGTAACAAGCCTTGTTTATAATTTGTTTTTTCCTGTACATACATGCTTATGATAAAGTATAATTTATAAATTAGACACAGTAAAAGATTAACAACAAGTCATCAAATATAATAGTTACAATAATTACTGTAATAAAAGTTAACCTGAAACATGTAAGTTCTATATTTCTGGAATTTTCCATTAATATTTTCAGACCACTATTTTCTGTGGGAAACAAATTCTGGAAAATGAAGCCAGTGACAAGTGAGACTTCTCTGTATGGGTGTGTGTTTATTTGCTCTTTGCTTTATTAACTTAGCTATATATATGCTTCAAGAATCGTATCAGATCTTAGGAATATTTATTCTTTTTTATAACTCTATAGTGCTGCATTCTGTGAACATTCCATAGTTTCTTCAGTCAATCTTTGTGTGGGCATTTTGGTTATCAAGGTTTGTCAACCATGACCATTGACATTTGGGTCTGGATAATTCTCTGTTGTGAGGCTGCCCCTTCTACTGTAGTACAGTTAGTTTAGCATCATCTCTGACCTGTATCTACTCACTAGATACCAATAGCACCTCCTTAATTAAGACAATAATAAATTTCTCTGTCCTGGCTCTGGCATAGTGGGTTAAGCTTCAGCCTGAAGCACTGGCATTCCATATGGGAGCCATTTCCCGTTCTGGCTGCTCTACCTGTGATCCAGCTCCCTGCTAATGCACCTGAAAAAGCAGTGGTGGATGGCCCAAGTGTTTGGGCTCCTGCCACCCATGTAGGAGACCCAGAAGAAGCTCCTGGCTCTTAGCTTCCGCTTGGCCCAGTTCAGGTCATTGCAGCTATTTGTGGAGTGAACCAGAGGATGGAGGATCTCTGTCACACCGTTTATCTTGTCTGTAACTCTACCTTTCAAATAAATCTTTAAAAAAAAGTCTACAGACATTTCCCAATGCCCTCTGACAGCAAAGTCATCTTCCTCTTTGAGAACTGTTGGTGTAGATATTAGTCAAATGTGGAAGTTAATTGTATCTTCAGGAAATAAGAAAACTGAAGAGAGAATCCAAGGTAAATCTTGCAATTCAGGAAGGTAAACACAGGAAGAAGAACCTCTTATAGGGATTAAGAAGGCCAGGCTGGGAGCTTTTTTTTTCTTTCTTTCCCCAGAAACATTTTATTTAAGGAATATAGACTTCATGTATTTCACACCCCAAATGGCCACAACAGCATGGGCTGGGCCAGGCCAACACACAGGACACAGGAACTCCATCAAGATTGTTAGAGGCATTTTTATTAATTTAAATATGTGTTCAATTTTGACCTGCATAAAGTAATTGCTATCCAACTGAATGTCAAATGCTGGATGGCAAAAGTAATATTTCAATTCTTGGTCAGTGATACTTAGGGGTTTTTATTATTGTTTTAAAAATGTATTTATTTATTTGAAAGGCAGAGACAGAGAGAAGGAGAACTTCTGTATACTGACTGATTTCACTCCCGAATGACTCCACGGCCAGGTCTGAGACAGGCCAAAGCCAGGAGTCAGAAACTCCATTCTAGTCTCCCAAATGGGTAGCAGGGGCCCATGTACTTGGAGCCATCTTCTGCTTTCTCAGGGGCATTAGCAGGAAGCTGTATCAGAAGTTGAGCAGCTGGGTCTTGAACTAGTCCTCTGACATATGATATTGGCATCTCAAGCCACTGCTTAACCACCTGCACCGGCCCCCTGAGATGGTATTTTGCCTTCAATAAATTATCTGAGACCAGATGAATATGTGATCAGTTTTGCTGTTCTTACAGATTTTGTTGTTTTTAAAGTTGTTGGCATATAAAACAATAAAATAGTGAACATCCATATATCTGTCTAGTTTTAACACTTGTTTTTCGTATTGGTTCATTGTTTCTTCTATTAATTTTAAGTATTTTGAAGTAAGTTATAGACATCTCAACATTTCTCCCCTTAATACTGGATTATACATCCCCCTTTCCACCAAAAATTTCAGTATTGTTATCAGTAAACAATTCTCTAATAACCTCTCTATATAGGAAATTAGAGGTGTGTATGTATACATACTTTTTGTTTTGATTTTCATTTTATTTGCAAGACAGAGACAAATGGACAGAAAAAGATCTTCCATGTGTTGGTTCACTCCTCAAATGCCTGGGAGCTGGAAACTTAGTCCAGGTTTCCCCTGTGAGTGATGGAGACTCAAGTGCTTGAGCCATCACCTGCTGCCTCCCAGGGTGTACATTAACAGGACCCTGGAAGTAGAAGGGGAGCCAGAACTTGATTCCAGGCCCTCTAATCTGAGATGGGGATGTCCCAAATAGCTTCTTTTTTTTTTTTTTTTCTCCCCAAATGGCTTCTTAGTGCTGCAACAAATGCCTGCCTCCCCAGTATATGTTTAGATTTCATGTATTTTGTAGCTGGTTTGTCCAACCAGGAATCCAAAAAAGGAACACGGATTGCATTCAGATGTTTTAACTCAACTCTCTCTCATTCCTGCACAATCCATTCTTCCTTCCTCTTTTAAAAACTTTAATTTATTGAAGAGATTGAATCTTTTCTTGGAGAAAATAGATTTTTCTCTTTTCTCATGATACAGAATAAGTTCCTTAACAATTGTATTTCTTGTAAACTACAAGTTAAATCCAAGGAGTGACTCTTGGTCATTTACTTAATAACTACATCAGGTGACACATGAACTTGTCATACTGTCAATCTGTCAATGTCATGAGTCTTTTTTTTTTTTTTTTTTTGAGTCTTAATACTAGGTAAAGATTATGACAGATCAAGAGTAGAAAGATCTTTGAAAGTGGCGATCCAGGCAAGATTTATGAAAGGATTCCTACCTTTGAACTTCAGGGATCGTGCTAAAAGAAGAAATTTATTTATCTACTTTAGAACAATTTCTCAAAGTTCAAAAAGTCAACCTAGAGGCTTGTTAAAATATATTTTCTTAGTTGAAAGTCAGAGTCTTCTATCAGCGCTGTTCACTCCCCACTTTGCCGCAACAGTCGGAGCTGCACTGATCTGATGCCAGGAGTCTGAAGCCTTTTCTGGGTCTCCCACGTGGGCGCAGGGGCCCAAGGACTTGGGCAATCTTGTACTTTCCCAGGCCATAGCAGAGAGCGGGATTGGAAGTGGAGCAGGCAGGACCCGAACTGGTGGCCCATATGTGATGCTGGCACTGAAGGCAGCAGCTTTACCTGCTACACCACAGTGCCAGCCCCTTGTTACCATTCTTCTCTCTAGAAGATCTACCATGTTAGAAAACCCAAAGTACAAAATGAAGCAATTTTTTTTCATAAAGATTTATTTTATTTATATGAAAGGCAGAGTTATACAGGGAGAGACAGAGATCTTCATCTTCCATCTGCTGGTTGACATCTAAGTGGCTGTGACAGCTGGGGTTATGTCAAGCCACAGCTGGGAGCCAGGAACTCCATCCAGGTGTTAGGAGTCCCAAGTATTTAAGCCATCTTCCACTGTCTTCCCAGGCACATTAGTAGGGAGTTGAATTGGAAACCCAGCAGCCAGGACTTGAAACAGCTCTTTGATATGGGATCCTGCTTTGCAGTGTATGATTTAACCCTTTGTACCATATCACTGCCCCCTCCCCAATTTTTTAATTATGTTTGGGAGGTAAATGGGTAAAATTTGACTCTGTATCTCAAATAAGATAAATATATGAAATTTAATGGAACAGAATTGAAATTAGCTGCTGGAGAATAAACCCATGAAATAAATGTTCCCTCGTTTTCGAGGAAGTGTTTTGTTCCTATTCTTGTACTAAATGGGATCATTCTGATTTTAACACTTGGATTCTGATCAGCTACCTAGGCCATGAAAATTCTTTTATCTTTATATCAGGTTTCATAGTTTCTCAGTAGCTGGCTGACATCATCATCTAATATACAGAGCATTGCCAGATGAGTAGGAAGGAGAAGGTGGACGTAGAATAAATGTGTGTGGATCTTAAAAATAAGTGCCAAGTATTTCCTTTATTGTTCTTTTCCATCCTAGCCCAGATAATTTGAGGGTTTCTTTTTTAAACTATGCTGATTTTGCTAATGTGGATTTATATACCTAATTATACTGACATGAAAAAAAGTTCTTTTATTTATAAGATTTCATTTAATATAGAAGACAAGTACAAATACACTATATTATGCATGAACATATAGATAGTATAATACAGTAATATTGGCAATACATTAAAATTTTTTTTCCCCTCTGAAAATATTTTTAGTTCTGAGCCATCTGAAGATGAGGAATCCCAAGGCCTTCCTACCATGGCACAAAGAAATGATATTTCAGAATTGGAGGACTTTTCAGAATTAGAAGACCTTAAGGATGCTAAACTTCAGACCTTGAAGGAGCTTTTCCCACAAAGAAGTGACAGTGATTTGCTTAAGGTTATATTCTTTTTATAGTAATTCCTCCCTGTAATGTAGTGATAAAATCTCTCCTATAACCAGCACTGTAATTAGTAGTGGGTGGTCATTTTTCTAAAGATACCTTATGTTTGAAGATAATTATTAGTTATCATTTTATGAATAATAAAGGTAAATACCAGACATTTGCTTGACAGCCTTAACTCCATATGAGTTTATTCACTTGTAAATAATATAGAATTTGATTCTAAATAGTGCATGTGGTTGGTGAGTTTTTTTCTGCTTAAATAGTTCTTAAAGGTGGAACTGCCTACTAAAAGCACATGGAAAGCTCACCTCCTCCCCAGATTATAACAAGGGGTTGTTCCGGTGTTTAGTGTTCTGGGGCCAGTACCCAACCCTACTGAGGACAGTCGTGTACAACTGATTGTTCTACTAATAGCACCTTCATTGAAAAATACTGATGTAAATACAGAAACAAAATAAGTTGCACTGTGTAGTTTGCCCTGTGATTGATATATTTTAAGAACAAATAAAAATTGACCATTCAGTTAAGTCTTAGAGAATAAATCTTGAGATTACTAAACAACTTATCTCTAGCTTTGCAGCATATTAAATATCTGATCTTGGGGAAATCATTTATTTGCAGGATCTCGATTTTTTTTAACCATTGTATCTATTATTACCAGTATTACCAGTTCTCTCCACAATCTGAAGCTTATGAGTTACCATATCAATATGGTTTACATTGTATCTTTGAAGTGGTGGACACTGGCACACTATAAAGTGCTGCTCCTTTTTTTTTTTTTTTAAGATTTATTTATTTATTTGAAAGTCAGAGTTACTCCGAGAGAGAAGGAGAGGCAGAGGGAGAGAGGTCCTCCATCCACTGATTCACTCCCCAATTGGTGCAACAGGCTGAGCTGCGCTGAAATGAAGCCAGGAGCTTCCTCCTGGTCTCCCACGTGCGTGTAAGGGCTCAAGGACTTGGACCATCCTCTGCTGCTTTCCAGGCCACAGCAGAGAGCTGGAGCAACTGGGTCTCAAACCGGCACCCACATGGGATGCTGGCACTGCAGGCAAAGGCTTTACCTGCTATGCCACAGCGCTGGCTCCCTGCTCTTTCTAAAAGGGGTAGCTGCTGCTTTATTCCAGCAGAATACGACCATCTGAGCTATCAGTGAAAGGCCATTGTTAATAGGTATTCACATTTTTCAAAATTTCAAAAAGACTTGGGTGGTATTTAGTATTCACACCAGTTGAATATCTTTATTGAGATAGAATTTTTGGTTTTTTTGTTTAAAGATTTATTTTTATTTGAAAGAGTTAGAAGAGAGGCAGGGGCAGGGCATGGCAGGTGGCGGGGGGTGGTTGTCCATCCACTGATAGCTCCAGCCGTTGACTCCGTAAATGACCACAACGGCTGGAGCTGAGCCAATCCAGAGCCAGGAGCATCTTCTGGGTCTCCCATGCGGGTGCAGGGCCCCAAGGACTTGGGCCATCTTCTACTGCTTTCCCAGGCCATAGCAGAGAGCTGGATCAGAAGTGGAGCAGCCAGGTCTCAAACCAGCTGGTGCCCATATGGAATGCCAGCACTACAAGCCCCGGCTGTTAGACCACAGCGCCAGCCCCCCAAATCATTCTGATACCTTCTTGTTAGCTACATGCAATTTTATTGATAACTTTTTGTTTTTTTTGTTGTTGTTGTTGTTGTTTTTTTGACAGATAGAGTTAGACAGTGTGAGAGACAGAGAGAAAGGTCTTCCTTCTGTTGGTTCACCCCACCCCCAAATGGCCGCCACGGCCGGTGCTGCACAATCTAAAGCCAAGAGCCAGGTGCTTCTTCCTGGTGTCCCACGCAGGTGCAGGAGCCCAAGCACTTGGGCCATTCTCCACTGCCTTCCCGGGTCACAGCAGAGAGCTGGACTGGAAGAGGAGCAATCAGGAATAGAAGCCAGGGCCCATATGGGATGCCGGTGCCACAGGCGGAGGATTAACCAAATGAGCCACGGCGCCAGCCCTAGTGATAACTTGAGTCCACATTTTTTCCTTGCCATCAGTGTTATTGTGTGCTGATGAGACTTTTTCTACAAGTAAAAGTAACTGCAGTAGTTGTAAGGGCTCCTTATAATTGAAAAACCAATAGTAAAGATAGAGCTTCCAATATGATAAATATGATGAAATATTAAATATTTGAGCACATAGGAACAAATTTAGTTTTGAAATAATTTAGCTTGATTGACAATTTTTCATGTAGTTCAAAGCAATCCTTTTTTGCTATAGAAATATTTTTATCTGATTTTATAATTTTAGTGAGAAGAAAGGGTTAGTCCTCTTAATGTCTTATTAATATCTGAAATGATGTGATTTTATTTAGCATGTTACTCCAAAGCAGAGCACTCTAGAAGTAATCTGTTTTAAATGATTTTCATCATTTTTAGGACTTAAAGGTGACATTTACAAACTCTGGAAAGTTTAAAAGACCCATATGAAACAATTTAAGAACTTGTGAAATAAAAATCTATTTCTAGACTTGATAAGAATATACTTTTGACTGTTTTGACAATGAAGAGGGGCATACAGGATATCTAAAGATCCAGCATCAGGAAAACCTAGAAGGATGAAAGCATCCTCATATTTGATTTTGAGACTATTTGATTTGATACAGAAATAGGTTATTTTTTAAAAAGTAAGATCTTTCTAAAACAAGTAACTCACTGGAAATATGGGAAACCATAACATGAGAAAAATACAAGATGCTTACTTTCTTCTGAAATCTGTTAAAAATATGAAAAACAGTGTAATTGAAACTCTTAAATAACGTTTGCGTATGTTCTTGAAGAACTTCATCATGCAATTTATAATAGAGTAAAAATCAAGAGCCCTTTATATGTTTCATCTTAAATGAAATTATGCAGAGTTACAGAGAGAAAGGGAGAGACAGAGAAAAATCTTCCGGCTGCTCTTTCACTTCCCAGATAGCCACAGTGGCTCTTGTCCATGGCCAGTAGCTTCATCCAGGTCTATTATATGGATGCAAAGGCCGAAGCACTTGGCCCATTTTTACTGCACTACCAGGTGCATTAACTTTGAGCTGGATTGGAAGTAGAGCAACCGGGACTGGAATTGGCACCGTATAGGATGCTGGCATTGCAGGTCGAGGTTTAACCTGCTGCACCACAAACCCAGACGCGATATGATTTTAGGAAGCATTAGTGAAATAAGTAGAGTTGTGCTTAGAGATTTAAAGGAAAAAAAAAAGATGTAAATAAGTATCTGTCAATCTCCCTGTCTCCTTTCTCTGTCACTCACACACAGACATACCCATAGTACCTGGACACATAGGAACAGAGTTTTTAAATCTTCAGCACAAAACCTTGTAATTGAAAGAACAAAAATCTGTAGTATGTTATATATATTTGGTTGTTTTAATTTTTCTTTTCAGTGATGAGTAAATCTGATCCATTTTAAGGTATGCTTAATGGACATAACCTAGACATACACTTTTCCCATATTACTTCTATTAAATTTTTAATAACTTTGTGAAGTAATTCCAGAAGTATTATTTTTAAAATCTTTTCTCATTCTCTCAGTTGATAGACTCAACAAGTACCATGGATGGAGCAATTGCTGCTGCCTTGCTGATGTTTGGTGATGCAGGTATGTCTGACTTAGTTTAAACCATGTTAATTTATTATAATGTCTAAGTAGTATCTTCTCATTAATATTGCTCCAAAAATTACGTTTTTGAATTTTTTTTAAATATTTATTTGAGAAGCAGAGTTACAAACAGAGAGACAGACAGAGAGGTCTTCCATTCCCTGGTTCATCCCCCAAATGGCTGCAACAGCCGGAGCTGGGCCTGTCTGAAGCCAGGAGCTTCTCTTGGGTCTCTCACATGGGTGCAGGGGCCCTCAAGCACTTGGGCCATGTTCCTCTGCTTTCCCAGGCCATTAGCAGGGAGCTAGATCAGAAGTGGAGTAGCCAACCCATATGGATGCTGGCATTGCAGGCAAAGGCTTAATCTATTATGCCACAGCACTGGCCCCACCCTTATGAAAATATTGATAACTTCAGTTTCATTATATGAAGAAACAAGTTTAAGAAGATTAAATAGCTTACCTGGGGGCTGGTGTTGTGGCATAGCAGGTTTAGCAGCGCCCATATGGGTGCTGGTTCAAGTCTCGGCTGCTCCACTTCTTTTTCATTTTATTTTTTTTTTTGACAGGCAGAGTGGACAGTGAGAGAAAGAGACAGGGAGAAAGGTCTTCCTTTGCTGTTGATTCACCCTCCAATGGCCGCCGCACCAGCGCACCAGGCTGATCCAAAGCCAGGAGCCAGGTGCTTCTCCTGGTCTCCTATGCAGGTGCAGGGCCCAAGCACTTGGGCCGTCCTCCACTGCACTTCCAGCAGAGAGCTGGCCTGGAAGAGGGGCAACCAGGACAGAATCTGGCGCCCCGACAGGGAGTGCCAGTGCCGCAGGTGGAGGATTAGCCTATTGAGCCGCGGCGCCGACCTGCTCCACTTCTGATCCAGGTCTCTGCTAAGGCCTGGGAAAGCAGTAGAAGATGGCCCAAGTCCTTGGGCCCCTGCACTTATGTGGAAGATCCAGAAACTCCTGGCTCCTGGCTTCAGATAAGCACAGCTCCAGCCATTGTGGCCATCTGGGGAGTGAACCACTAGATGGAAGACCTCTCTCAGTCTCTTTCTGCCTCTACTCCTCTGTACCTCTGCCTTTCAAATAAATAAATTAATTTAAAAAAAATAGCTTACCTGAGTTCATACAGCTATTTGGAAACAAAATTTCTAGGCTGGTTTTGTTTTTCCCCCCTAAAGAAAGGAGAAAGCAATTTCTCATTGGTAATTATACATATCAGAATATAGATGATTGTGTTCAGGTCAAATCTCATAACATTGCACTGTGGTTATATTTACAGATATCCAAATCTGAGTCAGTAGGAACTTAATGTAATGTCTAGTAGAAAGTCCTCACTGGTAATCCTTCATTTAATAAATATTTATACTGTGTTCTACCTCTAACTTTTTAGTAAATGCTTCATCAATTTTTTTTTAACTTGCACATGCCAAGAAATATAACAAATAAAAATCAATTACTATAAAAAAGTATCTGACATAATAATGAAAGCAACCTTGCACTCCATTACTGACTCTTAAATTTGCTGTATATTTTTCCCAACATTTTCTTATATTTTTAGACAACGTATTATGTAACATACATTCAGTTACAAAATGTAAAATACTACTTTGCATTTTTTAAAAGTCATTGAATTTATCACAGCTAGCTTATTAGTACAATTAGATTTATCTGTTTTTAAAAATGGCTCCATGACATTATTTTGTGACTAAGCTGTATAATTAGTTTACCATTCCTCTATTTATCATTTGTATTTCCATTATTTATTATAGTACTAATGTAAATTGCTTTGTGCATTGATCTTCATGTTATTTCTGCAGATGTAAATTTCAAAGTAAGATGCTAAGTCAAAGGATATGTGCATTTTAATTTTTTAACTTTTATTTAATGAATATAAATTTCCAAAGTACAGCTTATGGATTACAATGGCTTTTCCCCCCCATAACTTCCCTCCCACCTGCAACCCTGTTGTTGACTTAACAAATTGACACTCTTGTTTATGGCATCAGTAATCACCCTAGGCTCTTGTCATGAGTTGCCAAGGCTATGGAAGTCTTTTGAGTTTGCCGACTCTGATCATATTTAGACAAGGTCATAGTCAAAGTGGAAGTTCTCTCCTCCCTTCAGAGAAAGGTACCTCCTTCTTTGATAACCTGTTTTTCCACTGGGATCTCACTCGTGGAGATCTTTCATTTAGGTTTTTTTTGTTTGTTTTTTGGTTTTTGTTTTGTTTTGTTTTGTGTTTTTTTTTTTACCATAGTGTCTTGGCTTTCCATGCCTGAAATACTCTCATGGGCTTTTCAGCCAGATCCAAATGCCTTTAGGGCTGATTCTGAGGTCAGAGTGCTGTTAGGACATCTGCCATTCTACGAGTCTGCTGTGTATCCTGCTTCCCATGTTGGATTGTTCTCTCCCTTTTTTATTCTATCAGCTAATATTTGCAGACACTAGCCTTGTTTATGTGATCCCTTTGGCTCTTAGTCCTATCATTATGATCAATTGTGAACAGAAATTGATCACTTGGACTAGTGAGATGGCATTGGTACATGCCACCTTGATGGGATTGAATTGGAATCCCCTGGCACATTTCTGACTCTACCATTTGGGGCAAGTCAGCTTGAGCCTGTCCCAAATTGTACTTGTCCTCCCTCTCTTATTCCCACTCTTATATTTAACAGGGATCACTTTTCAGTTAAGTTTCAACACCTAAGAATAATTGTGTATTAATTACAGAGTTCAACCAATAGTATTAAGTACATTTTAATTTGAATATATACTTCTCTTATTATTGTTAATGGTCATATCATTGTGTGAATGCCCCTAACCTAAGTGGTGTTTCTTCTTTTAAAATTTTTCAGAAATTTAAAATTATTGACCAAAATAGAAAATAATGCAACATGTTCCTATGGAACCATTATTCCTCGTCAGCATTTATCTATCCCATATTCCTTTCCCTCAGTGGATTGTATTTGAGTGATTGTAAACACATTATTTCATCCATATGAATTGTTTTAGTGTATTTATCTTGTAAGATGGAAAGACCTATGCTGAGTCTGATTAATGTAAGAAGATGTTGCAAAGAATTGATTTTATAAATCTTAAAGGAGATGTGATTGAAGGGATTTATCTTTTCTTGATTTTTCCTTTTGAACATTGATGTCTTTAGAAAGTGATCAACATGATGGTTTCAGGGCCTAATTGTTGGTAAATGATTGAGACTCAGATAAAAAGTTAATATCCACTGTTTACCACCCTGTTATTTGAATTAGAAGTGACCATGTATATTATCTTGCTTGAAGAAGTATTTGACAAAAAAAAGCAGTATCTGTCATTTGTAAATTTTCTTGTTCTAAAGAAAGCATTATGTTCTATAGATATAAATTATGTAAATAAAAGTTATTTTATACCATTTCAAAAAAAAATCTTTAATTTCCTCTAATTTGAGCAAGAAGATGGGATTGTGTGGTGATTACCTGCACAGAATGTCAAAATCCTTTCTTGTTTTACTATTTAACTAACCGTGTGACCTCGGGCATTATTGCTAACTCTTCTGTGTTTCTGTTTCCTTATCAATAAAATTGTATAATAGTAGTGCTGAACACTTAGATTGAACTCATGTAAATTCCCTACTGTGGTTCCTTATACATATTTGTGCATAGTAAATGCAGTTATTTGTTCTTAAGGGCCATCTGATGATAATCAACAGTAGCACCGGTGAATGTTGACTATCTATTTCATGACTGTTTCCCAAGCCTGCATTTTAAAAGCTAAAAAATGGGCCGGCGCCTCGGCTGAATAGGCTAATCCTCCACCTGCGGCGCTGGCGCACCAGGTTCTAGTCCCAGTCAGGCCGCCGGATTCTGTCCCGGTTGCCCATCTTCCAGGCCAGCTCTCTGCTGTGGCCCGGGAGTGCAGTGGAGGATGGCCCAGGTACTTGGGCCCTGCACCCCATGGGAGACCAGGAGGAAGCACCTGGCTCCTGCCTTCGGATCAGTGTGGTGTGCTGGCCGCAGCAGCCATTGGAGGGTGAACCAATGGAAAAGGAAGACCTTTCTCTCTGTCTCTCTCTCTCACTGTCCACTCTGCCTGTCCAAAAAAAAAGCTAAAAAATGTTAAGACAGAATTATCATTTGTTGAGTTGCAAGATGGCTTGTGGAATTTACGTATTCTTTGTTGCTCTCACAGTACTGTAGTCTTTCCTTTGAAAACCTCTTGTAGAATGACTTTATTCCACATTAATGTTTAATATTTTTTCTCTTGAGCAGTTCATACCATTTGATTTATTTGTTTAACATATTTATTGTGCTCAACTACCAGGTGGCTGGTGCTATTTTAGACACTTCATATATAAGGAAACAAAGTGGTCACCGTGCTTGTCCTCATTGAGTTTGCAATTTTCATTAAGTTTAAAGCTCAGCTGAGTTTTTTCTTTCCTTTCTTGCATTGTACTGTTATATTCTATATTTTTAAAAAATTTTCAGTGGAGCTGGTGCTGTAACATAGTGAGTAAAGCTGCCACTTGCAGTGCTGGCATCTCATATGGGCGCTGGTTTCAGACCCAGATGCTCCACTTCTGATCCAGATCTTTGTGGCCTGAGAAAGCAGTAGAAGATGGCCCAAGTCCTTGGGCCCTTGCACCCATGTGGGAGACCTGGAAGAAGCTTCTGGCTCCTGCTGGTGTGGCCATTTGGGGACTGAATCAGCAGATGGAGAATATCTGTGTGTGTGTGTGTGTGTGTGTGTGCGCGCCTCTCTGTAGCTCTGCCTTTCAAATAATCTTTTTTTTTTTTTAAGATGATTTTATTTATTTATTTGAGAGGTAGAGTTACAGACAGTGAGAAGGAGAGACAGGGAGAGGTCTTCCATCCTCTGGTTCACTCCCCAATTGGCCGCACGGCCAGAGCTACATCTATCCAAAGCCAGGAGCCAGGTGCTTCTTCATGGTCACCCATGTGGGTGCAGGGGCCCAAGGACTTGGGCAATCTTCTGCTGCTTTCCCAGGCCATAGCAGAGAGCTGGATCAGAAAAGGAGCAGCCGGGACTAGAACTGGCGCCCATATGGGATGCTGGCACCGCAGGTGGAGGATTAACCTACTGCGCCACGGCACCGGCCCCCAAATAAATAAATACTTAAAAATTTTTTTTAAAGAATTTTAAACAAGAAATTGAGTCTTTCTTTTTGTTTGTTTTAAAGATTTATTTATTTATTCGAAAGAGTTGCAGAGATGGAGAGAAAGAGAGAGATCTTCATCCTCAGTTTCACTCCACAGATGGCCACAACAACCAGGACTGGGCCAGGGCGAAGCCAGTAGCCAGGGGTCCCTTACGTGTGTTGGCAGAGGCCCAAAAACTGGGGCATCTTCTCTGCTGCTTTTCCCAGGCCTATATCAAGGAGCTGCATCAGAAGCAGAGTAGTCAGGACACGAACCAGCACTTTACCTACCTCGCCACAATGCTGGCTCCTTTTTGTTTTTTGTTTCTGTTTTTGTTTTTTAAATATTTTTTATTTATTTATTTGAGAGGAAGAGAAAGAGAGAACAGTCTTCCTTCTGTTGGTTCACTCCCTCGATGACCACAACAGCCAGAGCTGCACCGATCTGAAGCCAGGAGTTTCTTCCTGGTCTCCCACACTGGTGCAGGGCCCCAAGGACTTGGGCCATCTTCCACTGCTTTCCAGGGCCACCGCAGAGAGCTGGATTGGAAGAGGAGCAGCTGGGACCAGAACCAGTGCCTATATGGGATGCCAGCACTGCAGGCAGAGGATTAACCTACTGCGCCACCGTGCTGGCCCCTTGTTTGCTTTTTAAACAGACTTTCTTTATCTTGGAATGGATAGTTTAATCATTATTAGAGATCCTTATTTTTAGTATAGTACATTTTGAAGTAAGATATACAATGACAGCTTTGTCTAACTTTGAAGATAAAATAACATTCAATATACTACGAGAGTACCTCAACTTAGTAGAAAGAAAGAATTAAAAGATAAGTTTATTTTGGCAGTTTTTTCTTTCTTTCTTTTTTAAAGGCAGAGTGGACAGTGAGAGAGAGAGAGAGAGGGAGAAAGGTCTTCCTTTTCCGTTGGTTCACCCCCCAGTGGCCACTGCGACTGGCGCATCGCACTGATCCAAAGGCAGGAGCCAGGTGCTTCTCCTGGTCTCCCATGGGGTGCAGGGCCCAAGCACCTGGGCCATCCTCCACTGTACTCCCTGGCCACAGCAGAGGGCTGGCCTGGATGAGGGGCAACCAGGACAGAATCCGGGCCCCGACCGGGATTAGAACCTGGTGTGCCGGCGCTGCGGCACTGGTCAATTTTTTTTTTTTTTTTAAAGAATTATTTATTAGGGCTAGTGCTGTGGCATAGTTTGTGAAGCTGCTGCTTGCAGTGCCGGCATCCCATAATGGGTACCAGTTCAAGGCCCAGTTGCTTCATTCTGATCCAGCTCTCTGCTATGGCCTGGGAAAGCAGTAGAAGATGGCCCAAGTCCTTGGGCCCCTGCACCCACATGGGAAGACTCAGAAGAAGCTCCTGGCTCCTGGCTTTGGAGCGGTACAGCTCCAGCCGTCACAGCCAATTGAGGAGTGAACCATCAGATGGAAGACTTCTCACTCTCTGCCTTTCCTCTCTCTGTAACTCTTACTTTCAAATAACTAAACTTAAAAATCTTTAAAAAGAAAAAAGAATTATGTATTTGAAAGGCGGAGTTAGAGAAAGAGAGAGAAGTCGTCCATTCTATAGTTTGAGAGAGAGAGACATCTTCCATTCTCTGGTTCGCTCTCCAGATGGCCACAGCAGCCAAGGTTGAGCCAGGCCAAAGCCAGGAACCAGTAACTCTGTCTGGGTCTCCTTTATACTGCTTTCCCCAGGGAACATTAGCTGGGACCCTCAAACTGGAAACACCCATATGGGATGCCAGCATCATGGGTGGTGGCTGGGTCAGGATGAAACCGGAAGCTGGAAGCTAAATCCAACTCCCAACATGGTTGACAAGGACCCAAGTACTTGAGTCATCATCACCTGCTACCCAGGGTGTGCTTTATCAGAGCTAGGATTGAAACCTAGGGTCTCTGACAGGGGATGTAGCAGTCCCAAGTTGTGTCTTAACCACTGTGCCAAACACCTGCCCATTTCTTCTTTTTAAGAATGATGAAAGTATATGTAAGTGCCATCACATAAATTGCCTAGTTTGAAGCTTTTTTTCCAGACAAACTTACTAACAAGGCTTACTGAACCCTGACAGGTATATAGGTGATGGTGAGGTTGTATTTTCCCCTTCTTAAAAAGGTTGCTAAAAATTAGTTGTTGTATACCGATTGCACATTCACATTTCTCCTGAATCAGGAAAAAACATTTAAGTATTCATACTAACATGATTACTATTCCTTTATTTATTTATTTATTTTTCAAAACCAGATTGTACTGACGGTCTGCAATTATATTGGTCAAGCACAATGCTTGGCACACAGTGGTTGCATTTTTTCTTTTTAAGTTTTTATTTATTTTATTTGAGTGGCAGAGTTACAGACAAAGAGAGGGAGAGACAGAGAGAAAAGTCTTCTACCTACTGGTTCATTTCCAAATGGCCACAACGGCTTGAGCTGGGCATATCCAAAGCCAGGACCCAGGAACTTCTTCTGGGTCTCCTACATGGATGCAGGGGCCCAAGTTCCCATACCTTAGCAGAGAGCTGGATCAGAAGAGGAGCAGCTGGGACTCGAACCAGTGCCTATATGGGATGCCAGCACTGCAGGCGGAGGCTTAACCCACTACGCCACAGTGCCAGCCCCAATGGTTACTCATTCTTTAAAGGGTTAATGGTGGTTCAGTCCAATTTAGCCATGTTGTGAAATTTTTAGGCTTATAGTTTAGAAGCTGTCCCATATATATGTATTGGGAATATAATGCTACTACAAATTTTACTACAAATTGTGTAGTTATTTCTAACTACACAGTGTAAGTTCTGATGTAATTAATGTTGCGATGGTAAATCCTTGTAAGCTTTAACAGGTGTCTTCATATTAGCACAGCAAAGTATTTAAGGAATTTGATTTTTGAGAGTATTTAAGGAATATGTAAATGTATCCAAAGTATAAATATATAGCATAGCTTCTCAAGATCATAGTATTTTTTCTTTCAGTCGTGACAGAAGATGCACACTTCTTTTATATTGTTATACGCCCTTTATGTTAACAATGTTAATTGCTTATGCTCCCTATTGTTTAGTTCTTCTTCATTTTAAAAAATGTTTCCTAATTTTTGGTTTATTTGTGGAAAAGGCATGAAATAATTATTTGTGTTAAAAGTTTGTGCAAAGCCTGATATGTAAGTAGACAGTGAGTAATTATTTGTGTCAGTGATGCTGCTCTGGTAACATTTGATGGAGCTCAGCTTTTTTCACTGCTGAACACTCAGTCCAGTCCACTGGGGAGAGTCCCTCCCCGTAAGTATTACTCTAGGATTACTTGTCAGTGTGTGTGTGTGTGTGTGTATATATATATATATTTAAGATTTATTTAATTGAAAATCAGAGTTACCAGAGAGAGGCAGAGAGAGAGAGAGAGGTCTTCCATCTGATGGTTTACTACCCAATTGGCCACAACAGCTGGAGATGTGCTGATCTGAAGCCAGGAGCCAGGAGGTTTCTCTGGGTCTACTGTGTGGGTTCAGGGGCCCAAGGACTTGGGCCATCTTCCACTGTTTTCCGAGGCCACAGCTGAGAGCTGGATCAGAAGTGGAACAGCTGGGTCTCAAACCGGTGCCCATATGGATGCCAGCACTGCAGGGGACAGCCTAACCCACTACGCCACGGCACTGGCCCCAGAGATATATTTTTAGCTTTCAATAATGTACTAGTTTATGAATAAAGTATACAGTGATTCCTACTTTTGAAAGATTGCAGTGATTGTGCAGTTTTCCCTCAGTCCAATCATATGTAAAAGAAGTAACTTGGCTATGCTGTCAAAAAAACTGTGTAGTACTCATTGTATATTTCATTTTTGCTTGCTTTACATTAAGTTGATTATTTCTGTGAAAACTTTTTGCTTCTTTTTTTAAAGGTGGTGGGCCCAGGAAAAGAAAATTATCTTCTTCTTCAGAGCCATATGAGGAAGATGAATTTAATGATGATCAATCTTTAAAAAAGACAAGAATAGATCATGTAAGTGCATTTAAATTATAGTATCAAAATGGTTGCTTAAAAACTTCAAGAGGGGCCTGATGTTGTGGCACAGAGGGTTAAAGCCCTGGCCTGCAGTGCTGGCATCCCATATGGGTGCTGGTTCGAGACCCAGCTGCTTTATTTGTGATCTAGCTCCCTGCTAATGTGCCTGGGAAGGCATCAGAGGATGCCCCAAGTGCTTGGGCCCCTGCACCCTTGTGAGAGACCTGGAAGAATCTCCTGGCTCCTAACTTCTGATTGGCCCAGCTCTGGCCATTGCAGCCATTCGGGGAGTGAACCAGCAGATAGAAGACCTCTCTCTGTCTGTCTCTACCTCTCTCTGTAACTCTGTCTTTCAAATAAATTAACATAATAAATCTTTTAAAAAAAGATTCCCAGAAAATGTAATTTAATCAAAACCTGCATGAGTATCAAAACTTTTGCACCGAAATATACTTACACTCCCTATCCGGGGAGTGAACCAGTAGATGGAAGACCTCTCTCTCTCTCTCTGCCTCTGCCTTTCCCTCTCTGTAATTCGGCCTTTCAAATAAATAAATAAATCTTAAAAAGAGAGAGAGAGAGCAGGAGAGTTACCATAACTCTGAAGACACTAAAGTTGTATCACTGAATCTGTCAACATGAAAACAGATAGCCTTCTGCTTGTCCTTTGTATTTGGAATAGAGCAGAAAAAAGCATCTGCCCAGTTAATAATTGCATAACTATATCGCCCTGCTCCAGTAAAAATCCCACATATGATGTAATCTGGGGCCAATACCTGATTTTTTATGATACTGTGAAATAATTGCCCAAGAGCCATTCAACTTTTCTATAGTCCAAGGAGGCATGTTAGTACGTTAGGATGAGATGATAGTATCAGTCTCTGCAGTTCCATCAGGAATGTGATGTTGTTATTCATATTTTTCCACTTAAATTTTTAAATTTTTTACTTATTTGAAAAGCAGAGAGAGAGAGCGCGCGCGCAAGACAGACTTGCTCCCATCTGCTGGTTCACTCCCCAAATGCCCACATCAGCCTTGGGTTCAAAGCTGGGAGTCAAGAACTCAATCTGGGTCTCCCTTGGTGGTGGCAGGGACCTGACTACTTGAGCCATTATCTCCTCTGCCTCCCAGGGGGTGCATTAGCAGGAAGCTGGAATTAGGAACAGAGCTGGGATTCACACCCAGGCACTCCATTATGGGATGTGGGCCTCTTGTTTACCAGGCCAAATCCCTGCCCCTTGAGTTATTTTAAGAAGGACAATTCTATGGATTTTGGTTTAGCATTCCCTTGGGTTTAGGAGCTGATAAACAATTTCAACAAGTGTCAAATCTATCTGTTTCACTTATGTATTATGGACTTGGAAAAACCGAGTCAGATTTGAGCCCAAACTTCATGTTGCACGTGGCTTCTTTGAAGCTCCAGTGGATCCATTGGACCACGCTACTATCTTCAGTCACCAGAGATTAGCAGAGCTGACAGAAGCCTCGGGTCTAAGAGCAAACATCAAGTGATAGACATACTGTCTGCTGAATGATTCATTTATGATAACATGTAATTAATTTCCAAAAGCTGATTATTATTTTCCAAATCTTAAAAAATGATTAACGGAGCTGGCACTGTGGCATAGCAGGTAAAGCCACGCATGCAGTGCCAGCATCCCATATGGGCGCCGGTTCTGGTCCCGGCTGCTCCTCTTCTGATCCAGCTCTCTGCTGTGGCCTGGGAAAGCAGAAGAACAGGGCCCAAGTCCTTGGGCCCCTGCACCTGTGTGGGAGACCTGGAAGAAGCTCCTGGCTCCTGGCTTTGGATAGGTGCAACTCCGGCCATTGGGACCAACTGAGGAGTGAATCAGTGGATGGAAGACCTCTCTGTCTCTACCTCTCTCTGTAACTCTGACTTTCAAATAAATAAAATAAATCTTTTTTTTTTTTTTAAAGGGAAGTAAAGGAGAAAGTAGAAGACTAACTTGTTAATTACTTAACAGAGTAGATAAATTGTTGATTAAGTAGAATACAAGATTTTTTCTCACACATGAACCCAAGGAATCTTTTTTGTTCATTTAAATGTAGAATTTAATGAATTTGTTCAAGTAAAATGAAGTGGTAGAAGGAAGACTGTGTAAAGGTGGCTATAGCCATAGTTATTCTCAGATTAATCTATTTAATTTATATGCTGTTTAGTTCCACTTAAGATTCCTTTTGTGGTTGTAATTAATATTTAATCCGTTGTATAGATGAAGATTGATGCAAAGGTAAACGTCTTTCAGAAATTAAAACTTACAGAGAGCTATGAAATTGTGAGCATAGTTAAGACATTGGTACCAGTTTTTAAAACTTGTCATTTGCTTGGAGAACTCTTCATTTTATATATGAGTTACATACAGTGAGTTAACTTGAGAAATATTCTAAAAGATTTTATTTTGCACATTGAGTGGTTTGGGTTAGCACCTATATAATCAAGATCTTTTTTTTTTTTTTTTTAAGATTTATTTATTTATCTGGAAGGCAGAGTTATAGAGAGGCAGAGAAAGAGAGAGAGGTCTTCCATCCATTGATTCACTCCTTAATGGCCACAACGGCAAGAACAGGGCCAATCCAAAGCCAGGAGCCAGGAGCTTCCTCCAGCTCTCCCACATGGATGCCGGTGCCCAAACACTTGGGCCGTCTTCTACTGCTTTCCCAGGCCGTAATAGAGAGCTGGATTGGAAGAGGAACAGCCAGGACTCGAACCGGCACCCACATGGGATGCCAGCACTAGCAGGTGGCTGCTTTACCTGCTATGCCACAGCACCAGCCCCAAAGTCTTTCAAGAGATCTTAAATTAGCAATATTTTTTTTTTTTTACTTTTAAAGTAATTTATTTGTCAAAGGTCATATAAATAGAAACAGATCTTGAACTCTTCTGATCAAGTATAATTTTCTTTTTTTTCAAAGATTTATTTGTTTATTTATTTGAAAGTCAGAGGTATACAGAGAGAGAAGCAGATGCAGAGAGAGAGAGAGAAAGGTCTTCCATCCGCTGATTCACTCCCCAGTTGGCTGCAACAACCAGAGCTGCACCAATGCGAAGCCAGGAGCCAGGAGCTTCCTCCGGGTCTCCCACTCGGATGCGGGGGCTGAAGGACTTGGGCCGTCTTCCACCGCTTTCCCAGGCCATTGCAGAGAGTTGGATCGGAAGTGGAGCAGCCAGGTCTCAAACTGACACCCATATGGGATGCCGGCACTGCAGGTGGTGGCTTTACCTGCTATGCCACAGCGCTAGTCCCCAAATATAATTTTCAAATCATGTCAAAATATAAATGTAATTTCCTTAAGACCATTGTTACTGATGACATTTTTAAATATTTTTAAAATTTTTATTCATTAGTTTTTAACAGATTCAACATAGTTCATAGATACAATTATAAGAATGTAATGATATTCTCTTCCTCCCTCCCATCCTCCTTCCTTATCCGTTTGTTATTGTTTATCTCTTAAATTGATTCATTTTCTTTCCTCTCTTCAATTAGGGTGAGGAGTCAAATGAGTCTGCAGAATCTAGCAGTAATTGGGAAAAGCAGGAAAGTATTGTACTAAAATTACAAAAGGAGTTTCCAAATTTTGATAAGCAGGTGAGTAGTCATGTGTACAAATTTAATTAATGTGTACTAAAAAGATTACAAAATGAATTTCCAGTTTAACCATGTGAAAGCTTAGGGTGAGTTTCCGTTTTGTTTTGTTTTGTTTTGTTTTTTTGTTTTTTTGGTTTTTTGGTTTTTTTTGACAGGCAGAGTGGACAGTGAGAGAGAGAGACAGAGAGAAAGGTCTTACTTTTGCCGTTGGTTCAACCTCCAATGGCCGCCATGGCTGGCGCACTGTGGCCAGCGCACCGTGCTGATCCAATGGCAGGAGCCAGGTGCTTATCCTGGTCTCCCATGGGGTGCAGGGCCCAAGGACTTGGGCCATCCTCCACTGCACTCCCAGGCCACAGCAGAGAGCTGGCCTGGAAGAAGGGAAACTGGGACAGAATCCGGCGCCCCGACCTGGACTAGAACCCGGGGTGCCGGTGCCGCAAGGCAGAGGATTAGCCTAGTGAGCCGCGGCGCCGGCCAAGTTTCCGTTTTTCTAATTAAATGTTTGCCTTTTATGAATGTTATATGAAGTAGTTTTAAACTGCTTATCATGTTTTTACCTTGTTTATTTACCTTGTTTACTAATTTATAGTATCAGCATTACAACTATCATCATAATAAAAATTGTGGACTGCTTTTTAACGTGTTAATCATCTAGAATGCCATCTATAACCCTACCCTATCCAGTTACTGTTTTTTTTTACCCCATGTCTCATCCTTGAAATTCTCATAAGAATTTTGAAATATAATATTGCATTTCAGTATCCTTATGTTTCATAAGGTCTATTGTACTTCCCAGATAATAAAAATTCTATCAGTTCTTTAAAGACTATACCAAGCTTGCCATTGCTACAAGGGCCTCCTTTTAATCCTGTGATCATATATAGAAGCACATATTTAACATTTGGAATACCTTTACATTTGTGTTAAATCATTCCAATGAAGTTCAGATTATATATCTGAATTCTCATGAGCTAAAGGCAAAATTTGTTGCTATCCTGTTCTTTATATATGTTGAAATTAAAAATTTTGAAGTTAGCAATCCATGTTGAAGTTTTACTTTTTGTAAAAGATTTATTTATTTGTTTATTTGAAAGAGAGAGGGAAATATATATATATACACACACACACAGATATATTTGAGTATAAATATATAGAGACAGACAGAGGGGGTTATTTTTTTTTTCTTTTGACAGGCAGAGTGGACAGTGAGAGAGAGACAGAGAGAAAGGTCTTCCTTTGCCGTTGGTTCACCCTCCAATGGCATCTTAGCAAGGAAGATCAGAAGTAGAGCAGCTGCAGCTCAAAAAAGATGCTCTGATATGCGATGCTGACATTGTAAGCAGTAGCTTAATCTTCTATCCCACAACACTGGCCTCAGTTTTCATTTTTAATTGCGGATATATTTCTTGATTCCTCAGTGTTCAGAGTACTCTGTGGGGAAAGCTAGAAATGCAAAAATAAGTTTTCTTCCTTATGAATACCATCATGTATTTGCAGAAGTAAAATTTCATAGAAAACATTTGTAAATCACATAAAAAGGATAAAATAATCAGATAGGTATTCTGTGCTTTCAGGTAATTAGCTTAGTTTTCAAAGAATGTGTTTTCCACAAGTTGCTAATTTGAAATATTAACAGAAGGATCAATAACATTTCTAGGAACTGAGAGAAGTACTCAAGGAACATGAGTGGATGTATACTGAAGCTTTAGAATCTCTAAAAGTGTTTGCGGAAGACCAAGGTAATATTCTGTCATAGAAAATACATACTTCTCATTATGTTCTATATTTTAGTGTATGGGAAGTAGTAAGCCTACTAGTTATGAGTCCCAAGAGTGGAATTGCAAATAACATTTGAAGTCACTGTATAAATTTTTAAAATAACAATTTCCCAATATTTTGGTAAGATGTGTTTATTTGAAAGAGAGAGAGAGAGATCTTCTGTTCAAATGGAATGAAAACACACCCACCAACAGGAAAGGTTTATTGTCAGGTGGGAGAAGCCCACTGACATAGGGGGTGGTGTAGAGAGAGTAAGAGAGAGCACGTGTTCAGGAACAGGTCCTGTTAAACCTTTGCAGTAAGGGGAGGGGTGGCAAGGAAGTAGAAGCAGCGAATCCCATTAGGGTAGGGGTGGAGCTGACACAGGTGGTTGGGCCATGGGGCTTAGGACCAAAGCCAACTATGCAAGATGGTGACAGGGGGCCAGGGCCTAAGATGGCATCCAGGGTATAGATGGTACCACAGTTGAGACTGCCATTTTACTAACAGCTGCAACTGCTGGTGCTATGCCAAGCTGAAGCCAGGAGCCAGGAACTCCATCTGGGTCTCCCTTGTGGGTGTCAGGGACCAGGTACTTGGGCCTTCCCAGGTACATTAGCAGGGAACTGAATCACAAGTAGAGCAGCAGGGATGACTCAAACTGGCTCTGTGGTGTGGTAGGCCACTGTACTGGGCCTCCCCCTTCCTTTTCTTAAAAAAGATCAATTTATTTATTTGAAAGGCAAAACAACAGAGAAAGAGAAGTTCCTAAATGTTTTGACTTATTTTTTTATGATAATATAAAACAAAACAAGAAATATCTCTATTTGGCCAATATTTCTTGATAGGTAAAGCTTATTTTAACACTAAGGAATCAAAGTAAGTTCACCTGTCAGGATGTTTCCTGTGAATGGTGGTATCTTATAATCATTACAATGCAGATTATCTTAATCTGTATTTGCATGAATATGAAAAGCACCAGCATCAAAAACTTAGGTGTATCATCAACATGAAAGAAAGCCTCTGAATTCTAGTAGAACCTTGTTAACTCTAGCACCAAATGATAGGGGAGAGGCAAAAATCAAGTAGACTAGGTCTTTATCATTACAAAGCCAGCTTTAAAAGCCCAGCATAGAGAATTTAGATGCCTCTTAATGAATTTTTCTGAGAAATACTATACAACCAGAGAATTTCGTTGGAGGGCGGAATGCTACCAGAAATACTCATTCTGAGCCTGAAGACTGATTCAGAAGATCCAGATTATGAATGAGAAGAAATTTAAGGAATACCTCATTCAATTTATTTTGCTTATGTTTTTCATGTGTCACAAGCATGATTGATCACTTTCAAATCTAAAAGCTCTTTTGAGTAAATAAAAAATAAATATTCTAAATAAAGTTCAGTGGTCCCTCCATGTCTGGATGATTGGTTCAGGGCCTCCTGGTAATACTAAGATCTGCCATTGCTCAAGTCCCTTATGTAAAATGATATTTAGTCTTTGCATGTAACCCATGCACATCCTCCCATGTACTTTAAATAAATAATCTCTGGATAACTTAGAATACCTAATATGGTGTAAATGCCATGTACATAGTATTGTATAGAAAAAGTCTGTACATGTTCAATACTGTACAGACAGAATATTTTCTAATATTTTTGATCTGTAGTTGATTGAATCCATGAATGTAGAGCCCATGGATACAAAGAGCCAACTCTATTGTGCTAGAGATTAAGAGGTGCTTTATTATTTGTTTTTTTGTTTTGTTTTGTTTTGTTTTTTAACTAGTATATAAAGTAAGAATAACTTTGATCCTCAGGCCTCTTAGAATTCTGTGATATGTGATGGACTAGTCAGTGACAAAATATTCTTGATTTTTGGTAATAGTGTATTTAAATAATTTTTTAAGAATGATGAACTTGAAATAGTGGAGACAGTGATGGATATTTGATTATAACAAGATAGTTTAACATACAATTTTTATTAGTAAGCTTCAAGAAGGAGTGTTTTATTACACGGGAGTGGGGCTGGTAAGGAACACAGAGACATCTTTGGATATATAGCTGCCATTTATGTTCTCAGTATCAATGTTAAAAAATGGAAATTTGTATTTAATTATTTAAAAGATTTGTTTATTTGAAAGGCATAGTTACAAAGAGACAGAGAGAGACAGAGAGATCTCCCATCCATGGGTTCACTCCTCAGATGGCCGCAAAAGCCTGAGCTGGGCCTATCCAGGGCCAGGAGCCAGGAGCTTCTTCCAGGTTTCCCATGGGGGTAGCAGGCTCCCAAGCACTTGGGCCATAGCAGACAGTTGGATCAGAAGTAGAGCAGCTGGGTCTTGAACTGGCACTGATATGGGATGCCGGCACTGCAGGTGGCAGCTTTACTGGCCACGCCACAGCACAGGCCCATTAATTAATTTTAAAAGATAAATTATCAAGTGATTTTGAAACTATTTTAGCTTAGCATATATCATGAAAGTCGCCTTGAGTATTTCTTGTAAAGTACATCAAGATTTACCAATCAATTGTGGCTGAATTCTGTATTCAGGAGGATTATGTAAAATTTTTCTTCTTTGAAGCCATATCTTTAATTTGTATATTTCTCATTTAGTTATTGTTTTGTTTTTATACACAGATATGCAATATGCTTCACAAAATGAGGTTCCAAATGGAAAAGAAGTTTCTTCAAAGGGTCAAAATTATCCTAAAAATACAACTAAAACAAAACTAAAACAGAAATTTTCCGTGAAACCACAAAATGGTTTTAACAAGAAACGTAAAAAAAACGTATTTAATCCAAAGAAAGTCACTGAAGACTCTGAGTATGATTCAGGTTCTGATGTTGGCAGTTCTCTGGATGAGGACTATAGTAGTGGTGAAGAAGTGATGGAGGATGGCTATAAGGGTAAAATTCTTCACTTCCTTCAAGATGCCTCAATTGGTGAACTCACTCTAATTCCTCAGTGTTCTCAGAAAAAGGCTCAGAAGATAACAGAACTCCGGCCCTTTAACAGTTGGGAAGCTCTGGTAAGGCTACATTCTTTTTCCCCCCCTTCTGTGTGTGTGTGCTTAATTCACAGTAACGTTTATAGTCAAGTTGCCTTCAGCCCAGGGAAGCATAGATGGGTGGCCTTATCCTGTGTAGAGTCAAACATTACTTTCGTTGTAAGCCAATAGTATTTCAAATAGTGTCATATGACCTAATTTTGAATGAATTAAGGGGTGATTTTCCTGAAAAACCCCAAGCTGATTGGCTGGGAATACTGTCACTCATTTTTTGCACAGAAACTTGGTTCATTTCACTGCAGAAGAAGAAATTAGAGCTTACATTTAGGAAGGAGTTGTTTGTTAGCCTGTTCTGATCTGTTACTGCTGAGACACCATGCAGAAAGCAAGAATGTGGCAGAAATTTTACTCCAGCTACTTGAAGAGCAATAGCAACATCCAGGGGATCTCCAAATGCCGGCCTAAGTGTTTCATACTTCATCACAAGAGAAGCAATCGTTTATTTTCTTTTTCTTCTAAAAGTGACAGCTCAATCTCTAACATGTTTTTCTTGGTTAAACAACGCGGCCATTTTATGGAGTGTAGCAGGCTGCAGCATTTTTAATTGGAAAGATATAAAAGTTTGTGGAAGCCTAGCATTCAAGCGTTAGGTGAAGGGAAGGCATAAAAACTGGTAAGTACACTTTGCATGATCATTTTCTGGAATTTGATTTCCTGTAAACAGGAATTATCCAAAATATCTGGAGTTTCAGTTTTATAAATGTCAACAGTCAACAAATCTTATACAAAGAACTCCCTTTTAAATTTTGCTTCAGTTCTTTTGAGAATGTGGGCTTTGATTGTGTGAATTTTGTGTAGGCCCTGTTGTAAAAGCAGTATGGATGATTTGCCATAGCTTTGGAAGATGAAGTGAGTCTAGATCCTTTATAAAACTTTTTAGGAAGTTTTATTCCCTAAGTTGTGGAGCAGAGTTGCATTTGTGGTTAGTTTGTACCTGTGGTTAATCTAAGTGAGCATAAGTACCCTTAAGTGTGTTGACGTGCTAATAGGGTCCCTCAACAATGGTTGTATAAAGCATTTTTTTAAAAATTAAAATGTTTGAAAAATACAGAAACTACATTGCTAGTATTTTAAATTTTTTAAAAAAATAATAAAATTGTGCGTTTTGCCTGAAGCCTTTGATTTTCCAAAAGAACATCTGTCAAAGCAGGCCCTTTCAAAACTTGTTTGGCTTTGCCTGAGTGATTTATTTCTTAAAGTATTTGCTGAGGGGCTTTCTTGTTCTTTTCCTCCTTTTCTTCTTTCTTTTAATCTTTAATGGTCTCCTATGTTATTGCAGGGTTGGGTTGCTCAGGCTTGTTTGGATTCTAATTTATTGAATAAGGAATGCAATTATCTGCACTACTTTGTTTAGTCACTGTAGCTGCTTGCCCAGATATCTTATAGTAAAAGTAAATTATATAATTTTACCAGAAGTTTATATGCCAGATGTTTTTAAAAATATTCAACAACTTAACATGTGGAAAGCATGTTTCCCTTACTAATTAATTGGATAGTTTAAATTAGTCTTGACATGACTTTGGAGATAATACATTACTTAAAACCTCCGAAGTTCTTGTCCTTTTCTGAAAGTTGAACATAAACATTATATTGTTTGTTCTAGTCAGCCACCCAGATCTTGAATATTTTATGTAACAGTTGAAAAGTATCCTAAAAATAAGCTTTCTACTTATGTGTGGTGAAAATATTACTTTGTTGTCCTGAGCTAAGTAGACAGATGGTGAGTTTTGCAAATTAATAGTTCAAATGGCAAGCTAATATGTACAAGCTTTACTTTTAATTTTCTCATAATTTTTTAGCTTCACTTTGTGCTTTAGAATTCTGAATGTGACTGGTTTATAGAACATAATATGTCAATAAAATCCTCATAGGAAAAAATCAGTATTATATGTGTATTTTGGTAGAACTACATAATATACTTTTTATTATTCAGGAAGTAACGATAATGCATTTAAGCAAATTCAAAAGGAAAGAAAAGCCAAAAAAATCACATTTTTATTTTGTTAGCTGCTCTATTTAAAATTCCTGTGACATTTAGTTGAGGCTTTAATCAAGTCAGTTGTAAGCGAACTTCAATGAAGATTTAAAATGTTATACAGTTAGAACACCTGAAACTATTCCATTCTTAAAATTATTATTGAAGCTTAGTTAGTCTTCCAAATTGGGAACTTTGGCAGAACTTAAGAATTGATAAACATTTCACCCAAAAAATGCAAACTGAGCCCTTGACCCAAGTAAACACTTGCATTTTAATTGTGATTTTTGTTAAAAAATTAAATTTCTGTAGTATTGATTATCATTAAATGACTGAGTGTAATCATCAGTATTTCATTCTTATGTTCTTATGAAGGCAACTCAAATGTGAAAATTACTAGCAAATCCCTTTAAAAAGTTTTGAAAAGTTGAAGTTTTATTAAACATATAATGTAAGTATGACATGTAAAGTATAATATTGGTATAATAGCATCTACATAATCCATTAACAGTAATCTTAAATCTAATGATTACATTTATGTATCATTAATGATGTTCTTGTCTGAGAATTATACTTCTTTTTTAAACTACAGTTGTCTTAGACATTCAGTCACCCTCATTTTATATTGGAAATGTTGGTGGTTTTAAAAGTTCAGTGCATTACCTGAGAGGGTGCTTATATTTACAGTTTTATTAATACCTTTCAGTTTTTTCCTTTACATTCAAAATTAAAATATTTATTCAGTTTTCTCGATAAATTTCAATCTTACTTAATAGCTTTCCTACATAATAATGTAGGTGCTTGATTTAAGAAAATTACATCATTAAATCAGGTACTGGTTGTAAATGTAGTAAGCCAAAAATGTTGTTGGTTTAAAAGCTTGTATTGTTAATGTGATAAAATTAGAACTTTTGTTGCCAGATTGCACACATTTTGATGGTATTAGTTCACCATCCACTTTCTGAATCTTGGGCTAATCTTTTACTAAGTAAGGTGGGATGCAGTGTTATGTCTATGATAAATTTTACTATATTGCATGTCTATACATTAATCAGAGAATTAGCATATCTATACTGACCAATGAGATAATTCATGAATGGCTTAACCTAAAACTTTTCTCCTCTCTATCTACTTAATTAACATTTAGATCAGCATAGCTGTGGCTTTTCTTGAATGTTAACCAAGCAGTACAGGTTTGGCTCATGTCAAATAACTTTATCTTCCTCATTGTACCAGTTTTATCTACTGGTAAATTAGACCACATTTTCTTTTTTTTTTTTTTTTTGCATTACTTTGTGAATTCTTTAAAATGTCTGTCTAAATTCGTCAGTTAAAGCTTTATAATATGTATTTCTTCCTTCCAGATAGGGACGCTTTATTGAGTTTGTTTATAAGATTTCTGTAATTTGAACAAGTTTGGTAAACTTATATTAAAAAATTTTTAATTCATGGAGCACTTTGTAGGCTCCTGCCAGGTATTTATAATAATGAAAGATTAGGGATTTTTTCCTTAGGATTGCTTTTTTTTAGTTGGGGATTAAATAATTTGGGAATTATACGTGCTTTTAAATTATTTCCCCCTGAGCCAAGACACTGTGGCAAAAAATGACTGACATGAAAGGTCTCTGTGAGTAAGATCCCAGGGGAAAGTAGGGGTCATCAGAGAAGGAGGTACCTATCTCTGAAGGGAGAAAACTTCCACTTTGATTATGGCCCTGTCTAAATAATGTTGGAGTTTGTAAACTCAGAAGGCTTCCATAGCCTTGGCAGCTCATGACAAGAGCCTCGAGAGATCACTGACGTCATAAATAAGAGTGTCAGTTGTTAAATCAACAATGGGAGTCACTGTGCACTTGCTCCCTGTGTAGGACCTCTGTCCTTAATGTGTTGTACTATGAGAGTTAACAGTAAAATGTGTCTTCAAACAGTGCTTAATACTTTGTGTGTCTGTGTGGGTGCAAACTGTTGAAATCTTTACTTAATGTAGAGTTGATCATCTGTATAGAAAGGTAATTAAAAGTGAATCTTAGGCCGGCACCACGGCTCACTAGGCTAATCCTCCACCTGCGGCGCCAGCACTCCGGGTTCTAGTCCTGGTTGGGGCGCCGGTTCCGTCCCAGTTACTCCTCTTCCAGTCCAGCTCTCTGCTGTGGCCCAGGAAGGCAGTGGAGGATGGCCCAGGTGCTTGGGCCCTGCACCCACATGGGAGACCAGGAGGAAGCACCTGGCTCCTGGCTTCGGATCGGCCGGCCGTAGCAGCTATTTGGGGAGTGAACCATTAGAAAAAGGAAGAACTTTCTCTCTGTCTCTCTCTCTCTCTCTCTCTCACTAACTCTGCCTGTCAAAAAAAAAAAAAAAGAAAAGAGAGAGAGAGAATATAATGAAGAATGGGATGGGAGAGGGAGTAGAGGTGGGACAGTAGTGGGGGTGGGAGGGCGGGTATGGGGGGGAGAACCACTATAATCCAAAAGCTGTATCTGTGAAATTTATATTTATTAAATAAAAGCTTTCCAAAAAAAAACAAAAAAAAGATTTCCCCCTTCCAATAGAAATTCAAAAGTAATGTTACAGTAAGAGTGACACACTGTGGCAAGAAAGGAGTACTTCAATCACAAACTGAAAGAAAAAAATCCTTAGATAGTAAAATTCTTAATCTAGAGACATTATTCAGGACCCATTGATACTCTTTTTTCATGTAATTATCCACCATGTGGCAATTACATTTTTTCCTTTTATTATTCCCCTGAAATATTAGCTTTATTTTTTGAAAGTTAATTTCTTCAGTGTTAAATTGAAGTAGTCATTGGCCAGCGCTGCGGCTCACTAGGCTAATCCTCCGCCTTGCGGCACTGGCACACCAGGTTCTAGTCCCAGTCGGGGCACCGGATTCTGTCCCAGTTGCCCCTCTTCCATGCCAGCTCTCTGCTGTGGCCAGGGAGTGCAGTGGAGGATGGCCCAAGTGCTTGGGCCCTGCACCCCATGGGAGACCAGGAGAAGCACCTGGCTCTTGCCTTCAGATCAGCGCGGTGTGCCGGCCACAGCGCGGCGGCCATTGGAGGGTGAACCAAAGGCAAAGGAAGACCTTTCTCTCTGTCTCTCTCACTGTCCACTCTGCCTGTCAAAAAAAAAAAAAAAAAAGACTCAAAAAATTGAAGTAGTCACATCCAAGAATAAAGTTGGTAGTCCAGTTTATACAAAATTATACTGAAGTTACTCGCCACTTAAGATATTTTGAACATCATCCATTTATGTGTACATTTGTATATTTCACAGTATGTGAATGGGATTATATTTCCTATGCTCATCAGTAGCTTTAGATTTACTATTGATCATTCACTTATAGGATATTTGTATTTCTTAAATCTTATTTTAGTGAAGCTAAGTAATTTCCAGGATTTTTAAGTGTTTTTTGTGTTCAAGAAACAGTAACATGAAGTGGCAGTAGAATATCCTTATATCTTTCCTTAAATGCCCAACACCCCTTTTCTCCTCCACCACAAGTAAATGAAAATCTTATGAAAGCAAATCTTGGGTTAATTTTTTTGTTAATATTTTTGCTTTTAGGGGCCGGCACCATGGCTCACTTGGTTAATCCTCCCCGAGTTCTAGTCCCGGTTGCTCCTCTTCCAGTCCAGCTTTCTGCTGTGGCCTGGGAGTGCAGTGGAGGATGGCCCAAGTGCTTGGGCCCTGCACCCGCATGGGAGACAAGGAGGAAGTACCTGGCTCCTGGCTTCGGATCGGTGCCGTGCTGGCTGGGCCGCAGCAGAGAGCGGGACTGGAAGAGGGGCAACCGGGACAGAATCCGGCGCCCCGACCGGGACTAGAACCCGGAGTGCCGGCGCCGCAGGCAGAGGATTAGCCTAGTGAGCCGCGGCGCCGGCCAAAATGTATTTTTTTCAACATAATGGATTTGAAGTGAAACACATGGGAATTCAGATATGGACATAAAGAATCAGGTTAGGTTTTCAGGGCCCATGCTGTGGTTTAGCAGGTAAAGCTTTTGCTTGCAGTGCCAGCATCCCATATGTGCGCTGTTTGAAGTCCCGTCTGCTCCAATTCCTATCCAGCTCTCTGCTTTGGCCCGGGAAAGCAGTAGAAGATGGCCCAAGTCCTTGGACCCCTGCACCCATGTGTGAGACCAGGAAGAAGCTCCTGGCTCCTGGCTTTTGATCAGCACAGCTCTGGCCACTGTGGCCATCTAGGGAGTGAACCATTGGATAGAAGACCTCTCTCTCTCTCTCTCTCTCTCTCTCTCTCTCTCTCTCCTTCCCTCTCTCCCTCCCCCTCTCCCTCTGCCTCCCTGTAACTTTGCCTTTCAAATGAATAAATAAATCTTTTAAAAAATGCATCACATAATAGTGTACTGGAGTTCTTTAAAAAAAATATGTGGTTTTCTTAGCACTTGATTAAACTGATTATTAAATGTTTAAAATTTTTTAAATTTCCCTCAAAGAAAAATTGAGTTTGGATTTCTGTTTCTGAACTAGTATTTTACCTTTCATGCCGTAGTTCACAAAGATGTCCAAAACTAATGGTTTATCAGAAGATTTGATATGGCACTGTAAAACATTGATCCAAGAAAGAGATGTGGTTATAAGGCTTATGAACAAATGTGAAGACATTTCAAATAAATTAACCAAACAAGTAACCATGCTCACTGGAAATGGAGGAGGCTGGAACATCGAACAACCCTCCATTCTAAACCAAAGGTAATCTTTGTTCAACACACTACTTTATCTCTGTTGTATGACATGTTGTGAACTTATTTCTGTATTGTGCCTTGAGAAATGAAATATGGAAGTGATACAGCAACTAATGTTAGACGAGAACTCTCAAGGTTTCCTGCAATGGCCCATTAAGTCATTAAGTGGTTTAGGAATTGTTTTTCATTGATCCCCTTCCCAAAGCAGAGTATTTCATACCCTCTTACCTTTATAAGTGAGAAGGCAGAAATGATTTATCTTCCTTGTTGAAAACAGATTATCTCCTGAAATTATCATTAGTGAAACTGAAAAAGGTGGTTTTTACCTACCTACCCTACTCCTGTGTTTTAGTTTGACTCCCCAAAAACATCCACTGCTAAATTGCATCATTGTAAAAAATTTTTTTGCCATTCGCCTATTTTCTTTTTAATTCTAAATTAAATTATTAAAATGTCCTGTATTTGGGGTGAAATGTTTAAATGCTTCAAAAAGCCCAGATATTTAAACATTGTGGGGAGAGGGTATCAAAACCCTTCAAAAAGGGAAAGAATAGATACCTTTTTAAAATGAACTAAATAGGCCGGCGCCGCGGCTCACTAGGCTAATCCTCCGCCTAGCGGCGCCGGCACACCGGGTTCTAGTCCCGGTCGGGGCACCGGATTCTTTCCCGGTTGCCCTTCTTCCAGGCCAGCCCTCTGCTGTGGCCAGGGAGTGCAGTGGAGGATGGCCCAGGTGCTTGGGCCCTGCACCCCATGGGAGACCAGGAAAAGCACCTGGCTCCTGGCTCCTGCCATCGGATCAGCGCGGTGCGCCGGCCGCAGCCGCGCTGCCCGCGGCGCCATTGGAGGGTGAACCAACGGCCAAAAGGAAGACCTTTTCTCTCTGTCTCTCTCTCTCACTGTCCACCTCTGCCTGTCAAAGAAACAAAAGAAAACAAAAAAATGGACCTAAATAAATATACATATTCCTGTAAAGTTCCTGCTTTCAATAAAATACCTCATCAGAATTCTTTGTTTAATTTTTTTAAAGATTTATTTATTTGAAAGAGTTAGAGAGATAAGATGTTCCAACCTCTGGTTCACTCCCCAGATGACTGCAACTGCCAGGGCTGGGGCAGGTTGGAAGCAGGAGCTTCATCCAGATTTCCCACATGGCTGACAGGGGTCCAAACAGCTGGGCCATCTTTTATTGCTTTCCCAGGCCCTTAGCCAGGGAGCTGGATCAGAAGTGGAGCAGCCGGTACGTGAATCGGTGCCCATATGGGAAGCTGGCTTCACAGGTGGCAGCTTTACCCACTGTGCCACAACCCAGGCCCCTCTCATCAGAATTCTTTAAAAACATAACCACAAAAAGTTGTCCAACAGCCAGTGCATATTAAAATGGCTTTTATAATTGTGATACCCACATTTTGCATGTTGTTGGGTGTTTGGGGTGGGGAAATTGTTTTGACCTTCCTCTAAACGTTTATTTGTTTATTTTTAAATGGAGACTCAGAATTGTTCAGACAGCTTTCTTTTTAATAATGTATACAGTTATTTGTTATGATATTACTTATGGTGGCAAAAATATGGAAACAATTCAAGTTCCTAAAATCAGGAAGTAATTAGAATGATCATATCTTCATACTATGCAATGCTATACATCTTTAAAAATGAGTTATGTTTGTTCAGAATATCTCTAATAAATATTTTTATAAGATTAGCACCAGGGTCTCATTAAAATTAATTACCTCAGCTGATGATTTTATTTACTTCTTAAGTTAATGATCAAAGCATAATTGCTGATCATTGGTTAATTAAAAATCAAGTTGTAAAAAAAAAGGTAAAATTACTGTTTTTTAATAGTAAGCTACAATCTTTTCTGTGCCCTTCTAGGGTGCTATGGGATGGTGTAGGGAAACGTGATGCAGTTCCCACAAAGAAGCTCTTTTCTCTGTTGCATAGAAAGAACTATTTCAGCAAATTCATCTCCTAAAAGTGTAGTTGGAGCTGCTGCTTGTTCTCCAGCATTGGATATGGGGAGTTCTTCACTCTGCAAGACTTACCCAGTTGAGTCTACTTTATTGTAATTTGGACTTCTAAAAATCAAGTGCTTTATCGCATCACTTTTAAAATTTCGCTTTTAAACCCACATTCACAAAGCCCTGTTACTTGTAAATAGTATGATCTGGTAATGAACTGTCCTTTCTATTAGACTAAGGACTTTTTATTTAATGAAATAATAATAGATGAGCAAAATATTTGCTGTTTTTTTCTTTAACTGCTTATTGGATCTAATCCAAGGCACAATTTCCAAAAAATATGTATCTATATTTTCTTTAGAGTTTATTTAAGTACACTTTTAGGGGTTGGAATTTGTTGTCTTGGTTTTTGTTCTTAGCCAAAGTAAGAGTTGCTTAAGCAATTTTTACTTGGTGTGCTGGCCAGGCATTGTCGCTGCTTAGAATAGATATGTTTGAAGTTGTTTCCTTGCCTTGGGAAAGGATTTATTAGCACAGAGGAAAGTATTAGTCTATCCTAATGAATAACCTATCATGAGTGCATCTTTCTCTTAACAGAACAAATTATTTGTGACAGAGTTTGCCTTGAAGCAAGATCAGTGTTAACTATTTAGTTTTCTATTTCAAGCTTATGAGAATGTAACAGAAGAAATTTTGCCCTTTAGAGATATAAACAACTCAGAATCTTTATTTAAAAATTAAATTGTAGGGAAAAATAAATTTTCTGATTATATACCTCAAACCATTATTCATAAGCTTTATTTTGAAATACCAAAATTAAATGCCTGAAGTCAAAATTTTTAAAACTTATTTCTCTTGTTTTACTCTTACTATAGATGTGATCATCTTTTCTGAAGTACTAGCAATTAATCTAAAAATTATCAGCTTAAAACTTTTAACTGGAATGATTTCCTACATGTTCAGTATACACTATGATTAATCACATTTCTGTCTTTTTTGGCTACATCTACCAAGATTCTCTGATCTTGTTTCTTAACAAGAACTTAAGAGGATGATTGCCTATCTTATTCCTAAACCAGAGCTATGAGATCATTTGATAATGATGTCAATGCAAATCAATACTGCAGATATGGTTTGACTAACACAAAGTACCAGAATGTAAATATTTTGATTTGAATGTTTCTGTATGAATTGTTGTTGTGGTAATATTTCTCAGCAGCCATGTCACATTACAGACATAACCTTTGAAAAAATCATAGTGCCTCTGTCTGTAAGGAATGTTTTATCCTGACTTCAAAATAACCTACTGTTCATTTTCTTTCATGTTCTTAGTAATTCTTGAAAACATTTTCTTTTTCCTTAGTGGGAGGTAAGAGAACCTTCAGTTTAGAGATATTTGTAATGCTTTGTTTAGAAATGGCCACTTAATTAAAATCAGATGACATAAATAAATCTTCCACATCTGTGTCTATAAATTGGTTGTTAGGGTTCATATACAGTCATTCTTACAAATCTATACAGTGTGAAAATAAATAAGAAGTATGATTACTTATCAGGAACATCAGAAAGTTTGTCAAAAGTTAACTTATACAAAATGAATTGTATTTTTCAATGTAAGCTCTGTCAAGTGCCAGATACATTTCTAAGCAATGGTGTGAACCACTTTGTCTGTAGAGAACTGAAGGTTTGGGGGATTTAATCAGTGGTTTTTCTTTGCATCATTATCTGAAGAAAAATTTGTGCCCTTTAAGGATTTCTTTTTTAAGATTACCAGAATAAAAAAAGAAAAAACTAAATCAGGACTATTATGTGGATGCCTAATGATTCCTATTGAAACTCTGACAGAATTGCCCTTCTTTGAGGAAAAGAATGAGCAGTAGCACTGTCACACGGAGAAAGACTCTGGTGAAGCTTTTCTGGGCACTTTTCTGCTAAATCTTTGACTTTCTCAAAAAATTATCTGAATAAGAAGTTGGTCTCATTCTTTGACCCTCCAGAAAGTCAACCAAAATGCGATAAGCATCCAAGAAATTGTTGCCATGACTTTGGCTCTTGACAAGTCCACTTTTGCTCTGACTGGACCACATCCAACTCTTAAAAGACATTACTTACTTTGATTATACCTCATCTTTAGCATTGTAATAGTAAAGTCATGTTACAGTTCTTTGAGAAAATGCTTCAAGATCTTGATTCCAGTTGCTTTAAATTTCATTTGAAAGTGTTGTTATCTGTGGATAATCTGGGCACAAAAGTTTTGGCACCGATGGAGTGGAAAGTTCTCTCCACTTTAATTTTTCAGTGAATGAAAATTAAGTAAGCTAAACCAGTTGAAATGTTTGGTTGTTGTTTCTACTGTTCATCATCAGTCGTTTTCAGTAAAGGCACAAACAAGATGTATTTATTCCTCATGAGTTGATGTGGATGGTCTGGCTACTGGCTTCATCTTCAACATCATCTAGTCCTCTTTTCAAACAAGTGACCCATTTGTAAATGCTGGTTTCTTTTGGACATTGTCCCCATAAAGTTTTTATAAGGCATCAGTGATTTTCCCATTCCTCCAATCAAGCTTCACCATAAATTGGATGCTTGTCCTTGCTTTAATTTTAGCAGAATTCATGTTGATTTGATAGGGGCTCTGTAAAAAAATTATTTTATTATTTGTTTGAAAGACAGAGAGGGTACACACTCATCCACCAGATCACTCCCCAAATGTCTATCCATCGAGCTTTGGTTGAGCCAGGCTAAAACCACAAACTAGGAGCTCAATCCCAGTCCGCTACATCAGTGATAGGGATACAGCTACTAGAGCCTCATTGCTGCCTCCCAGCGTCTGCATTAGCAGGAAGGTGGAGTAGGGAGCCAGAGAGTTACTGAACTCAGATAGTCTGACATGGAACACTTATCCCAGAGGCTCTTTTCAAATTTGTGTGTTACCATCTTTATGCCTCAAACTTAGGTCTTTTCAGACATGTTGTAACCAGTTAGTAGAAGTTTATTTTGGAGCAGAAAAGTTTTTTGAAAACTATGCATGTATTTTAAAATTTTTACAACAAAATAAGCTTACTTTTAAGATTTCTTTTTATTCATTTGAAAGGTAGAATGACAGAAAGAGACACGCAGAGATTTTCCATTTACCAGTTTACTCCTAAATATCCACAATAGCTGGGTCTGGGCCAGGCCACAGCCTGGAGCCAGGAACTCCACCCAGGTCTCCTATATAGGTGGCAGAAGCCCAAGAACTTGAGCCATCATCTGCTGCCTCCTAGGAGAATTAGCAGGAAGCTAGATCGGAAGTTTAGAGAAGCAATAGCTGGTTCCCAGATGAGACACTTTGACATAGGATGCAGGTGTTCCAAGCAGCACTTAACTTGCTGTGCCACAGCATCTGTCCCCAATAAATTTAGCTTTTAATCACATTTTTTATGATCCCTTGAAATACCCTCATGTACATTAATCTCTGTTTTTAAAACAAATATCTTAATATAATAAAGCTGTTTAATGCTCCAACTAAAACACTTTACCAGGGCTGCTTTGTGAATCTGAATAAAGCAGTTTCCTTTAAATTAATTCTATGTAGTAGTTACTCATCACTTACTAAAATGGATGTATAGTATTTTTGACAGTTAAATGTGCTATTTCCTCAATAAATGTTGTTGATAAAGGATTTACTAACTTTTATTTAAGGATATTTCTTGGCTGTTTGTGGTAAGTTATACATTGGGATGCCATGTTGGCTGTTGGATGCACTTATATGTGATATAATGTGCTTACTTTACCAACTTTGATCATTTACATAAAATGTCAGCATTATGTGTGCAGGACTTGGGAAAATAACAGAGAGCTCAGTGTTGACCATAGGGTGGGCAAATCATAGTCATATGACCTTGGGCAAGTTACTTAAAGTTACTTAACCTCCCAGTCCCAGTAAATTCCCTATCTATACATTGTGGATAATTAATATTACCTGCTTTATAATGAGGATTCAATAAAATAATGCATATAAAATCATAGCATAGTGGTTGGGAAATGGTAAATACTCAATATTAGCATTTATTGTTACTGCTAGTATAGTAGAAAGTTTTTAGGGTCTGGAAATTAATGCATCTGTAATGTTTTATTTCATTGTTACTTTTTTAGTATCATAGAGATTATACTGAGTAAGCAGGCAAAAAATGTTTTTTTTAAATCCAGCACAAGAGCTGTAAAGACATTAGAAATGCTACTTAAGCTTTTAATTTTTCTAAATGAGAAATGTTTTATGGATTATATTCGCCACAGTTGAGAGTGAGAGTTTGAATTAAGGTAGGTATCTTCAGCATCAGCTTTTTTACCCTACTTTGATTAAGGTGTCTTGATTTTAGAGTTCGACCCTTAAGCCTTTTATTAAGCCAGGTCTAGATGCTTTCCCTATGTGTAATCAGGATGTGGGTAAGAGAAAATAAGGTACAAGTCGTAAAAGTTGGAGGATAGGAGGCATGCCCTTGTCCTGTGCTTTCACATTAATGTGGGCAATGATGACCTATTCTAGTGAGTGTTAGTGTAGTCTTTGGAGTTAGAGAGATTTCCTGAAATAAAATCTGAGAAGGTGATGGTAGTAGCTACTTTATAGAATGTTTAAAGTATTAAATCACATAATATCTGAAAAGTGATGCCTGTTGCTGCCTTCATATAATAAATGTTCAGTAAATGATAACTACTATTAGTTTTTAACTACTTGAACGTTTAGGAAGAAGACACTTTCATTGATTATCACTTCTCGTACTACATTCTAAACAAGTCAGGTCATTCCCAGAGATTAGTGTGTTTATGTGTTTCCAAGTTAAGCAAGGTCTTTGACACGTGCATGCTACTTTCTATACTGATATTCATTGATAGGTAGCAAATTTATATGTGTACATACTGCACATATAAATATATCCATATATACAGCTGTAGAATTCCACAGATCATTGACATCAGGGATGATTGGCACACATTTAGAAGGTGCTTATTGGGCCGACCCAACAGAGTTGCAAATTATGTTTGTGTTTTTTAGCCTAATATTTTTAAGCTCCTTAATGTGCTAAGTCAGAGCAGTTCAGTTTTGCTTAATTCAATGGAATTACATTATGGCCAATTTGGAAGTATTTTATGTAATCCTTATTACCAAAAAAGAAATCAACAAATACAGAATAAAATTTGAGAAGATAAAATTTGTTATCTTCTGGGTTTGTTTTCATGAGTAGGTATACCTAGTTCATAATAGTAGTTAAAAGGTAAGGCTAGGTCTGTCAATTTTATGTTTAAGGGTCAAACTCTAAAATCAGGACACCTTAATCAAAGTAAGGTAAAAAAAGTGATGCTGAAGTTACCTACCTTAATTCAAACTCTCACTCTCAACTGTGGCGAATATAATCCATAAAACATTTCTCATTTAGAAAAATTAAAACCTAAACTTCATGTCAGAAAAACTAGCACAGAAAAGTAATGTAAATATAAATCTATAATACTTGGTATTTTCTCTTTACCAGTTTGTCACTCAAGCCCTATCAGAAGGTTGGCTTGAATTGGCTGGCATTAGTACATAAACATGGACTTAATGGCATTTTGGCAGATGAAATGGTAAGTGTACTCTGTCTCTAGGATTTGTTAAAGTAATTTAAAAGGGCCCTTGCTGTCATATAAAACATGAAATTTTTCCTTGTGACTATAGTTACCTAGTCTCGCCTTAGTATCTTATTTTTCTCATCTGTTTATTGTCTATCTTAAGTCTAGCCTCCTCACTTTTCCTCTAAATGAATGTAGGTTTATCATAGAAATATCAGAGTGTGTATTTGCATACATGTACACACATACAAGAGGCCCTCAAAAAGTTCATGGAAATGCTTTTTTTATTATTATTATTATTGACAGAGTGGACAGTGAGAGAGAGACAGAGAGAAAGGTCTTCCTTTGCCGTTGGTTTACCCTCCAATGGCTGCCACGGCCGGCGCGCTGCAGCCAGCGCACCGCGCTGATCCGAAGCCAGGAGCCAGGTGCTTCTCCTGGTCTCCCATGGGGTGCAGGGCCCAAGCACTTGGGCCATCCTCCACTGCACTCCCGGGCCACAGCAGAGAGCTGGCCTGGAAGAGGGGCAACCAGGACAGAATCCGGTGCCCCGACCAGGACTAGAACCCAGTGTGCCAGTGCCGCTAGGCGGAGGATTAGCCTGTTGAGCCGCGGCGCCAGCCGCATATTGTTTTTAAATTCCATTTTCCATAAACTTTTTGAAGTACCATTGTATATATTGAGGTTTTATTCTCTGTCCTTTTTCTGTAGCTGCCTATTAAAATTTAACTGAACTTAGATACCTGTTGTATCCGTAAGTCAATCTGTACATAACTTAGCAACATCATTTTTATTAAATGTCTCTCTGAATCTATTCTTTCTCAAAAAATATTTGATTAAAGGTAATCTCAGGAAATTCATTATCTGTTGCCTCTGTTCTTAGGAATAGAATTTCTGGATAAAGAGTCAGTATATGTTCACATCCAGTTAGTCATGGGACATAGTCTTCATCCAGTTTGTATTAAATATTTTCTGTAAATACATAGTAACCAAAATTACTTTTTGTCTGTGTAGTCCAAAAAGTCTATATTAATGATGTGGCATATATATATATAAACTAGCTATTGAGATCTGTCCATCTTGTTCATTAAAGTCTTTAGAGATTATCATCCATTTTGTCATTTGAGAACTAAGAACATAGAAGTTTTTAGAGACATTATAGGAAATCTGAAGTGAATATAATACAAAAATACTCCTTTTCCTTTTATAGCTTCTAATTATTAATTTATTTTAAAATTTCATATGTTTTCTTTTAAACTTTTAATTTTAGGGCCTAGGGAAAACTATTCAAGCCATTGCATTCCTGGCATACCTCTTTCAGGAGGGTAATAAAGGTCCTCATCTGATCGTTGTTCCAGCATCAACTATAGGTTTGTAATACTTGGGGCTGTATTCTAATTAAGAGTATGTTGTTGTTGTTTTTAAAATTTATTTATTTAGTTGAAAGGCAGAGTAATAGAGAGGCAGTGGTAGAGGCAGAAAGAGATCTTTCATCCACTGGTTCATTCAAATGGCCTCATGGCCAGGGCTGGGCTGATCCGAAGCTGGGAGCCAGGAGCTTCTTCTTGGTCTCCCATGTGAGTGCAGGGGCCCAAGCACTTGGACCATCTTCTGCTGCTTTCTCAGGTGCATTAGCAGGGAGCTGGATCAGAATTGGAGCAGCTGGGACTCAAGCCGGCACCCCTATGGGATGCCAGCACCGGAGGTGGTGGGTTTACCCACTATGCCACGGCTCTGGCCCCTTAATAATATTTTATAGAGATAGAAGGAAGTATGTGTGTATTTCTTTCTTTTATGGAGGTGAGTATTAATTTTGTGGTTCCCTTCTATTTTGTGTATAAGGAAAAATAAAATAGAATGAAAAGATAAGTTTATTTGGGTACAATTTCTTTTTTCAGATTCATGCATAATGTTTTTCATGATACACACTTTCCATGAACCTTTTTGAAGACCCCTTGTATGCCTGTGTTTTTGGTTATATTGACAGACTTTTAAATGGAAATAAATATAAGTCCATTATTTGTTTTTAAATTATTTTAAATCAAAGACCATTTGATAAGGTTAGTTATTTTGGTTTCAGAGTACCTTTAAATTTTTTCAAGATTAAGAAAATAAGTTCTTTTAAGCATTTATTGAATCAGATTATATAATATTTACTCAAAACACTGTTCCTTTCCTTTTTCAATTAATTGGATGTAAGAGAATATGTGTGCATATGATATAAAAGTAACAACAACAAAAAACCTCTTCTTAAATTGGAATGTAATCACCTATAAATATAATAGCCCTTCATTTTGATACCTCTGAAACCTGAAGATTTTTTTAATCATGTGGGATAATAATGTGAAGGATTTGTTATAAAAGCAAAATCATTGTGTCATTTATATTTTATAAAAGAATTTGTGAGTAAAACTTGTCAAAATTTAACGTCAAATTTCTTTTTTGTTTCACAGATAACTGGTTAAGGGAAGTCAACTTGTGGTGCCCCACTTTAAATGTACTCTGTTACTACGGTAAGAATCTGTCATTTTGCTTTTAACTTTGGGAATTTCTTTAAAATTGAAGTACATGATAAAGTACAATAAATATAATCACAATATATGTGTTTTTAAATTCTAGGTTCTCAAGAAGAACGTAAACAAATCAGATGTAACATTCACAGTAAATATGAAGATTACAATGTAATTGTGACCACGTGAGTATGGATAAATTTTTTGTGGAGAGGGACAGGATTTATGTAGCCCCTGAAGTTAAAAATAAAAGTTACAGTAGTAGTGTTAGAAAGTTTATGCTATGAACTGTGCACCAAAAACAATGGAATGATTTTCACTGAGGATCAAGCATTTTTTAGTTTGGTATTACACTGATGTAGGAGGTTCTTCTAGTAGTGCATTAGCTCACCAACAATGGGTGTGAAAGATTTTACATAGTTTACTAAAAGCATAATCTTCTGTTGGGCCTCTCAGTTAACCTTAAGGTAAACTTTGAGATCCCCCACCAAAGTATTTATTTCTAATTCCAAATAAGTATGAAATACAGTGAAATCTCATTCTCCCAATGAAATGTTTTAGTTATAACAGCAAGAAGAATTGAAAGCATAATTTTGAGTAAGTTAACTACCAGGTGGTAATAGCTATTTGGCTTAAATATCTGGCTGAGAATTTCACAATCTTATATTTATTATATAGGTTATTTAAATAACAGTTTAGCTGTTGGTTATTATTTCTCACTCTGGCTTCTGTGTGGGTGTGCCCTTGAAAGAATTCATCTAAAAATTTCATCTTTTCTTAATAAAAGACTGTCTGCTTGCTATTAACTGTATTCCTTGGACATACAATGCTAGTTTAATAAAATTAACTTATAATAAAATGAACTGCCACTTGCAGCACCAGCATCCTGACATCCCATATCAGTGCACCAACTTGTGTCCTGGCTGCTCCGTTTCTGATCTGGTTCCCTGCTAATGCTTCTGGGAAGGCAGCAAAAGATGGCCCAAGTACAATATTGGCCCCTGCCACCCATGTGGCAGACCCAGATGGAGTTCCAAGCTATTGACTTTTGCGTGGCCCAGCCCTGGCTGCTGCTGCCATTTGAGGAATAAACCAGCAGATGGAGAATCTCTTCTTCTGTCTGTCTCTCTCTCTCTCTGTGTCTCTCTCGCCGTCACTCTGCCTTTGCAAAAACAGAAACACAAATATGTATTAGCTTTATGTTCTTTTTTCCACATCTTAAAATATAACAATTTATGGAGCACAGTGTGTAATAGCCAGTTATTTATGAATTATACCCAAATTGACCTCTCTCGATAGGCAACAATTGTCTAGTTATATAACATTTATATTTTCTTTTAATTCTTTTAGCTTTCTTTGTTTTAAAGATTTATTTATTTATTTGAAAGGCAGAGTTATACAAGGTGTGGAGAGGCAGAGAGAGAGAGAGAGAAAGGGGGGTCTTCCATCCCATGGTTCACTCCCCAATTGGCCACAATGGCCAGAGCTGTGCTGATCTGAAGCCAGGATCCAGGAGCTTCTTCTGGGTCTTCCACATGGGTGTAGGGGCCCAAGGACTTAGGCCAGCTTGTACTGCTTTCCCAGGCCATATGAGAGAGCTGGATAGGAAGTGGAGCAGCCGGCTCTTGCACCGGTGCCCATATGGGATGCTGGTGCTTCAGGCCAGGGCGTTAACCCGCTGCACCACAGCACCAGCCCCCTCTTTCAACTTTCATAATTTGTTTACATGTACATCAATCATTATTAACTAAAAATACATCAAAATTTGAGTACCACCTGTGTCTTGTGCTGCCCTTTAAGTACTGAGTATTAGAAATGAATAAATAAAAGCCATTTTAGGAAACATTAAACCTCTCTAGGCTCCAAGTTCTTAAAAGGTTTTTGTTTTCTTGTGACAGGTATAATTGTGCAATCAGCAGTTCAGATGATCGTAGTCTGTTTCGACGCCTAAAACTTAATTACGCAATTTTTGATGAGGGCCACATGCTGAAGAATATGGGTTCCATCCGCTACCAGCACCTTATGACAATTAATGTAAGTGTTTTGACCTTTTTTCTAAATTGTGAAATTTTAGGTTATATAATTTAATGTGTATAGTATTCCATTTAAGGACACAGCAAATTTTTCTGTAAAGGGCCAAATAGTAAATATTTTGTGTCTTGTGGGCCCTTTCGGTTTTTTTTAAACAGTCCTTTAACAATATGAAGCCATTCTTAGCTCATAGCTAATAAGCTATTACTTATTAACCCCTGTTCTACATGATAACATTTATAAATCAAATATACTTTATATTCTTTGATCACCTCACAAAAGTGAGGATACAGCTTACCTACTTACCAATAGTTTTTACATTCTACTTTAAGTACCAGTAGATGGTAAAAGCAGACGCTGTTTAAATTACCAGTATTCACAGATTGTTAATTATTATGGTTTTAATTCTCCTCTGCACTTCTTTGTCCCTCATTGGGGAGGGTGGACACAAAGGGAATGACTTTTAAAAAACTAATCTAAATTTTACCTTTATTCATAGGCAAATAACCGGTTGCTGCTCACAGGCACACCTGTGCAGAATAATCTGTTAGAACTCATGTCACTGTTGAATTTTGTTATGCCACATATGTTCAGTAGTAGTACCAGTGAAATACGAAGAATGTTTTCTTCTAAGACTGTAAGCATACATGCATATTTTCTCCCAAATGTATTGCTTTGTGTTGTATGTGGGCCATTTATTCTGTTGTCTTTTTTATTGTTGTTTTCACAGTATGTATGCTGTATCAAATAAAGTAGTTCATATTTCTATATTTGAATCAGTTTGTAAATCAGGTAAAATATAATGGAGGAACAAAATGAATATCTTTTATATTCAATGTCCAGAGTTTTAGATCTTAATATCCTAATTATCTGAAGGTTGACAGTTTTAAATTACTAGAGAACTTGGGTATAGAACTTGGCTATATGCTGGGAAAGCTTGCTCATAGCTTCTTTATCAGAATTGGTCTTGTAAGATCAGTGCACAAGATGGTGACCTTGCTACAGGTGAGAGAGCTTGGGGCACTCTGTGTTCAGGTTAGCTGCGTACCTCTTTTGCCTGCAGCAGTCAGCTGACCTTGGGCCAGTTATCCAGTACCTGTCCCAGATGCTGGCCTAGTGCCTGTGCCCACTCAGGGTGCTCTAGGTCGCGGCATCCCTGATACAGCTTTCCTGGCCCTGTCGTGTGAGCTGCATGGGTCCAAGCAACTGCTTTCCATCAAGAACTGGAAAATGTCTACCTCTTGTTCTCCCCTCCCCTTCTCCTCATCCTCCTATTACACTCAGCACATGTTTTTGTTTCATGAGTATTATTTAGGTAATTGGTTAGTGACCCACCAGTTGGTGACCTCTGAACAATAGACTGGTATAGTTCAAATTTATTACCTCAGCAGAATACATGATTACATAACATGAAAGTTCAAAATATACATGGAGCTTCATGAAGTAGATTTTAGCCCAAAGTTCAAACATAGAATGCCATCTAGAATGAATTGAGTTTCTGTAGAAGATAATTCAGATTCTAATTGAGGGAAAATTTCTTAATGTGTAATATTGAATTGTTGTGATAATATAAGTGAATAATTTCTAATAGGATATATTTTTATTTTGTTTAGAAATCTGCTGATGAGCAAAGTATATATGAAAAGGAGAGAATAGCACATGCAAAACAAATCATAAAGCCATTCATTCTCAGAAGAGTAAAAGAAGAGGTAACTCAAACGTGCATGTTTTTGGTTGTGATTATTTTTTAAAAGTATGTTTTCCTCTTTGTCAGAAAGATCATCTTAAACTGTTTTCTTTTCTCAGGTTCTCAAGCAGCTACCTCCTAAGAAAGATCAAATTGAGTTGTGCACAATGTCAGAGAAGCAGGAGCAACTGTACTTGGGCCTTTTCAACAGATTGAAAAAATCTATCAATAACCTGGGTATAATCTGGCTTTCACAGTTTTGTGTGAACAGTAATCTTGTACTGGGGCTGCATTTTATCTAGTGATACAATAATGGGATTTGCTCATTTGTAAAAGTAGAAATACAAGAAATTTTTAACTTTTTTAAGTTGAGATATTTCAACAAACAGCTCTCTGCTTTTTTTAATCTACAATCTTTAAATCACAGAAAAAAGTACAGAAATGTGCAATGTCATGATGCAATTGAGAAAAATGGCCAATCATCCTTTATTACATCGTCAATATTACACAGCTGAAAAACTCAAGGAAATGTCTCAGCTTATGCTAAAGGTAACGATTTAATTTATATTAACATGATTTATTAGTAATGTTGAACACTGAGGCAGTTGTTAGGGTCAAAGTCAGACTACTGAACCCAATAGGTATATTAAACCTTTAACCATGTATTTAAGAAAAACATTTTTTAGGACAATGTTCAAGATAATTTAGGTTACCTAAGAACCAAGATGGACTGATCAGGGGTCAGCAATCTGTGGCCTTAGAGCAGTGATTTTTTATTGTAAAGTTTTATTATAACATGGTTAAGTACTACTTTGTGCTGTCTTACTGCTTTCTTGATATAGGGGCAGAGTTGAATAGTTGTGACATAGGTCGTCTTGCCTATAAAGCTTAAAATATTTACTGTCTTGCCCTTTTCAGGAAAAGTTTGTCAGCTCCTAATCTACACTTAGCATGCAAAGTTTCAGATATATATAGAAATACAGGCAATTATATATTGAAACCCCTCGCCCATATAGCTTTCACCCATTTTCTAATTATTATTTGGTAATGATACTACACTTGTTTCATTTCCATTTCCAGAATGCTCTCTAGGATTATTCTGAACCAAACTTTAGATATGATTTATTGACCTAATTATATTATTTTGCTTTTAAAGCTTATTGTGATTTGTTTTTGTTTTGTTTTAAGGAACCTACACATTGTGAGGCTAACCCTGATCTGATCTTTGAAGATATGGAAGTTATGACAGACTTTGAACTACATGTACTTTGTAAACAGTATCGACACATAAATAATTTCCAGTTAGACATGGATTTGATTCTAGATTCTGGAAAATTCCGAGTTTTAGGACATATCTTGTCTGAATTAAAACAGAAGGTATGAAAAAAGATAGTACTCCTGTATTTTCTTAATTAGTAAACTTCTTAAAGCACTTCTGACATGATTTGGCTTTCTTGATGTTGTTATATAATTTTTTTTTTAAGTTAATTTATTTAAAAGGCAGAATGCCAGGAGTGAGAGACAGAGACAGAAAGATCTTCCATGTGCTAGTTCACTCCTCAAATGGCTGCAATGGCTGGAGCTAGACTGGGCCAAAGCCAGGAGCTTGGAACTCCGTATCTGTTTCCCACATGGGTGGCAGGGACCCAAGTACTAGGGCCATCTTTTGCTGCTTTCCCAGGTTTATTAGCAGAGAGCTCGTTCATAAGCAGAGCAGCAAGGAATTGGACTGGCATTCTGAGATGGGGTGCCAGTGTTGCAAGCAAAGGCTTTACCCACTGCACCAACATGACAAGCCCTTCTAAAACTTAGTGTTTTGAACATTGTCTTGACATACTTGATCATGTCTTTTCCTGATTATTTCTTTTCTTTTATGGATCCTCAGAACAGAAGTTACTAGATTAAACCTGTATTGATACTTTTTCTTAAGGATTTATTTACTTATTTGAAAGGCAGAGTTAGAGAGGCAGAGAGAGTGAACGAGAGTGAGAGCACGCTTCCATCTGCTGGTTCACTCCCCAGATGGCTGCAACGGCTGGAGCTGAGCCAATCCAAAGCCAGGAGCCAGGAGCTTCTTCTGGGTCTCCCACATGGGTACAGGGGCCCAAGGACTTGGGCCATCTTCTGCTGCTTTCCCAGGCCATAGTAGAGAGCTGGATTAGAAGAGGAGTGGCCAGGATACGAACCAGTGCATATATGGGATGGTGGCACCACACGGTGGCGTTACCTGCTATGCCACAGCACTGGCACCGGCACCTTGATACATTTTTTTAATATGTTTTTTGAAATCTATCCATATTAGTATGTTGAAGATACCATTTGTTAAATAGTTAAGTAATGCTGCATTTTATGTATGAAATACCTTAAATCTGTAAGATCATCATCCCATCCAAATAGTCCTGTATGCAGCTATTCACATTTGCTAACATTTTTCTTGCAGGAAAACGAAATAATACTGAATTGTCCTTGAAATCAAAACTGAGAGTTGAATTTTAGCTCTTAAATTTACAACTTAATTTATTCATATATAAGCTACAACATGAGATTTATCTTAGGTACCATTACTAGACTTTTATGAAGGAAACAATCAGTCATTACATACTTAGGTTGTAAGGAATTTTCTGTAAAATTGTCAACATGATATGAATAATACTCCTAATTGTTTAGGCTTTGAAAATATAATTATTTTATTTTTGTTTATAATCCATATTTGTATTTTCACAGGGTGATAGAGTGGTATTATTCAGCCAATTTACCATGATGCTGGATATTTTAGAGGTTCTCTTAAAACATCATCAGCATAGGTACCTGAGATTAGATGGAAAGACTCAAATTTCTGAAAGGTTGGTATACTTCACCTAAGTGTCAGAAACTGCTTGTTGTTTCTTTGTTTGAAAGCATTGGATAGAACTTTGTTGCTTTGAATCTAATGTGTAGTTATATCAGATCATCACCTTAAAATGAAGCAAATTTTCTTTTCAGATTTTCTGAATTGAGTAATATAAGTATATTTTGATATGGCTATGAAAATTTTATACCTTAAAGGGTATTCCCCTTTAAAAATCATTCAAAGTCTAAACTACATCATCTTTAATCCTGATTATTTTATAGTCTTAGTCATTTCATAGTTTAAGGATAATGAAAAAAAAATGTTTTACTCCCCAGGATAAAAAGAGCATCTTATAAAGCAGCAAATGCTTTTTCTAGTGTTTAGCTGACACTGTTCATCCTGCTTTATTTCTAGCAGCCAAAATGATTTTTCCCTACTGCATTAAAGAAAGTATGCCAAAAGCATGCACATCAGCTTGAGCCTGAGGTCCTTGGTTTCATTAGCTATATTGTCTGCCAGTAACAGCTTACTGACGTCTGAGAAAGTTAAAGATTGAAAAGCTATTGGTAGAATTTTGATTAGCCACAAATCATTAAACAAAGGACAAAGTAGTCTTTCAGGAATTAATCAAATCTGAATAGTTCAGTTAAAGAGTTGGTAGGGAGAGCAGTAGTCCAGAAAGAAGTTGATAAATTGGGAAGGCTTTCAGTGTCACAGCCACAGTAGAAGAAACTAATGCCAGGAATGTGTGTGGATTTATGTCTTCCTCTTTCTTTTCCATGTGATGTGATTGCTTTTAGTTTTAATTAAACTGTATACCTTCTAGTAGGATTTGACCTAATATATTTGTCTTACAGGATTCATCTAATTGATGAGTTTAATACCGATATGGATATCTTTGTGTTTCTGCTGTCAACAAAAGCTGGTGGATTGGGAATAAATCTGACTTCAGCAAATGTTGTTATACTTCATGATATTGATTGTAATCCTTATAATGACAAACAAGCAGAAGATAGATGTCACAGAGTAGGCCAAACTAAGTAAGTGTTTTTAGCTTAAATTAAAATTTTTTATGTTTTATTTGTTGGAGATCATGCCTTAGTTTTTATTTTGTCAGCAAAACATGGCTGCTAATATATTTTTAATCACCATTATTGAACATGATCTACACTATGTAATTTAATAATTTTTTAATAACTAAAACAAAGTAACCTCCCACCTTTACCCCAAACAGTTCTATGGTTCATGAAGATGAAGTATTTTGAGTGATCTAGCCCGTTTAAAAAAGATTAGTAGGTTTATTAGACCACTTTGAAACCTGACACACTTGGTAACATACATACTGTTGTTACTCTGTTAACTTCTAAGAAATAGATTATTTGTCTTATAAATTGCCTTAGGTAAAGATTAATTTGGACGTTGGTTGCAGGACTGTAAAGAAGTGGCAGAAAATTTACAACTGAACTTTACTTTTATAAGTAAAAAGCAGATAATTTTTTCCTTTTTTGTGACCTGTTTACTAAATTTCTGAAAAACAATCTCAAATTCATTTATGAATTTATGAGACATATTTATCAATACCAGTTGTGGTACTTTTTTCGTTACTACACTACCTTACTTACTGTATGGAATTATTTCTGGGGACCTGATAAACAAGTTTCTTTTGAAAAGGTAATTTCTGACTGAACACAGAACTGTTTGTTATAAAGTACAAATATCTTCCTCTTCTGGATCATTAGGAAGGATGTGTAAATTTAAATGATCAGAAAATGGCAGTTTCATGTAATTTAACAAAAAAAAAAAGGGGCTGCCATTGTGGCCTAGTGGGCGAAGCTGCCACCTGCACCCTGGCATCTCATATGGTCACAGGTTTGTCTCCCCGCTGCTCCATTTCCAATCCAATTCCCTGCTAATGCACTTGGGAAAACACCAGAAGATGGCCCAAGTACTTGAGCCCCTGCTACCCATGTTGGAGACCCAGAAGAAGCTCCTGGCTCCTTGCTTCAGAAGGGCACAGCTCTGGCCATTGCAGCCAACTGAGGCATGAACCAGCAGATGGAAGATTAATCTCTCTCTGTCTGCCTCTGTTTTGTAACAATCTTTCAAATAAATAAATATTTTCTTAAATACATGTTTGTCACTTAAGAATTATTTTTGTTGAACTCTGAAATACAATTTACAGATTTCCAAATAACTTTTTGTTCAGTAACCAGTGCACATATTTTATTTGCCTTTTTAGAGAAGTACTAGTTATAAAATTAATAAGCCAAGGGACAATTGAAGAATCCATGCTAAAAATTAACCAACAGAAATTGAAACTTGAACAAGATATGACTACCGTAGATGAAGGTAAGTTATTTACAAGCCGGAACTTCATACTTATATGGCCAAGCATCCAGTTACCCATCTCAAGTATAACAAAGGTGACCAGAGAACTTAACTAGCATACGGTGTAGGGATAACATGAGGGAAAGCAAGCATGCTTAATGTCAGCAGTACTGTAGTAACTAAGATCCATTGTGCCAGAATTGATAATTAACAGTTTGGTTTTAAAAAATGATGGCTTTTCCATGTCTTGTGTCTGATGCCAGAATATTTGAGAAATAAAGTTGTTTATGACTACAGTTTTATCCATGATATTATAATTTGCTTACTATAATATTCATGAACCCAGCAATGCATGGCATAATGTGTTTGATGGCATAGTTAACTTTACTGAGAACCCTAACATGTTAATTTAATTTTGGTGAGTAAATACAAGTATTTATTGCATTAAGGTTAAAATTATGCTTTAAGTTGCAATAAATGCATTTTTAAAAATGTAATAATTTTAGGATTTCCGATTGAAACATTTGGATTCTGGAAAGAACTCTCAAATAAATCATGCCTCTTCTGGGGCAAGCATTTGATAACAGCAGTTAGGTTGCTACTTGGGATACCCTTATCCCCTATCACAGTTCCTGGTTAGTGCTGGTTCCACAGTGTTAGTGCTGCTTGAAATTCTAGCTTCCTGCTGATGAATAACCTGGGAGGCTGCAGGTGATGACAAGGAGTTGGGTCCCTGCCATCCACATGGGAGACCAGATTCAGTTCCTGCGTCCTGGTTTTGGCATCTTTCTCTTTCTCTCTCCATTGCTGTCTGCCTTTTAGATAGATAAGAATAACCTTTCTCCATTATACCCTCTTGAAAATAATAAGTTTTATAAGTTTAAAATTTTATTTATGAGGATAGAAAAGTTGGTGGGAAAATGGAATTAAAAGGTACATTTATTTTTTAAGTCCGTGTATAGTTTTTTTTGTAGTATGTACTTTCTGTGAACTTTTTGAAGACCTCTGGTACAAATACACAAAAATCAAGATAATGACAATTAAAAATTCAAGAGATATAAAAGGGCAAAGCAAGAGCCTGCTTTCTGGCCTGTCACTCAGCCTTTCCAGGAAAGTGATGCATGTTAACCTCTTTTTGAGTATGTAAAAGCCATTTTATGCATTTAGAAGTAAACAGTGTAATCTTTCTCCCTTTTCAGTAGGCAACCTTCTGAGCTTTTCTTTTCTTATTTAATATTAAATGTAATTGGAAATAAGCAATTTTTTTTTTGACAGCTAGAGTTAGACAGTGAGAGAGAGAGACAGAGAGAAAGGTATTCCTTCCGTTGGTTCACTCCCCAAATGGCCACTTGGCTGGAGCTACGCCAATCCAAAGCCAGGAGTCAGGTGCTTCCTCCTGGTCTCCCATGCGGGTGCAGAGGCCCAAGCACTTGGGCCATCCTCCACTGCCTTCCCAGGCCACAGCAGAGAGCTGGACTGGAAGAGGAGCAATTAGGACTAGAACCTGGCACCCATTATTCTAACAAGTAAAAGTAGAAAATGTCTAGGGGCCGGCACTGTGGCATAGTGGGTAAAGCTGCTGCCTGCAGTGCCAGCATCCCATATGGGCACGGGTTCTAGTCCTAGTTGCTCCACTTCCGATCCAGCTCTCTGCTATGGCCTGGGAAAGCAGTAGAAGATGGCCCAAGTGCTTGGGACCCGCGTGGGAGACCGGGAAGAAGTTCCTGGCTCCTGGCTTCGGATCGGCGCAGCTCTGGCCATTGCAGCCAATTTGGGAGTGAACCAGCAGATGGAAGACCTCCCTCTCTCTGTCTCTCTCTCTCTCTCTGCCTCTTCTCTCTCTCTGTAACTCTTTCAAGCAAACAAATAAAAATCTTAAAAAAAAAAAAAAGAAAATGTCTAATGCTGATAATAGTTTGTTGTTTCAATTCAGTAAACTTCCACTGAATGTTTACTATATCCCAACGTTTTGGTAGGTATTCTATACTATGAAGAAGTGAACATTTTAATTGATCTTCAGAGAGAGAGATGTATGATCAAATTAATACTTGTCCTACTGTAGTGTTTATTTCAGTATCTGTGTCTCATATTACTGTAGAAGAGAGGTATGTCTGTTATGAAAAAGACCATTTTTTCTCTCTAATGGGCTTAGCGGATTTTTGTGTTTCTAGAGTTTACTTTTGTGGTTCTCAGAGTACAGATCCTGGATTAACAGCAGGAACAGCATGACCTGGGGAAATGCAAATTTGAAATGAAAATTCTCAAGTCCCTTCCTCACCTTCTCTGCGCTAGGAATGGGACTCAATAATCTAATAGTCTTTCCAAGTGAAATATGCCAAAATCATAGAACCACCACTTTAAAATAAAAAGTACTGTCTTAGCTGGTCTTTTTATTTAATCTCCTTTAATGTGATTAATTATATCCATAAATTTTTGCATTTTTCAGCATATTTTTATTTAATTTATTTGAAATGCAGGGGAACAAACAGAAAGAGATCTCCCATCTGCTGGTTCACTCCCCAGATGTTTTCAATGGCTAGGCCACGCTGCAGTCAGGAACCAGGAACTCATTCTAGGTCTCCCACATGGATGGCAAGGATCCAAGTATTTGGAGCCATTGCCTGCTGCTTCCCAGGTTGCACAGTAGCAGAAAGCTGGAATGAGAGCAGAGCTGAGACTTGAACCGAGGCATCCAGGATAAGATGTTGGGCTTCTCCAGTAGCATCTTAACCACTTCTCCACTCACCTCTCAACTCTTTGTTACAAAAGTTTTCTTAGAAAGAATTTTGAAAGCATAGCATGAATGAAAGGCCAGTGATTTAATAGTTGGGACGTTTCAGTGTTTGCTTCCTCCAGCTTTTTTTCCTGTGAACTATTTCAAAGTCAGTTGCAAAACTGACGATTCATTCTTGAGATTTCATTGTATTTCTCTAAATTGTCACAATACTGTTATAACATGCAAGAAGGTGAACAGTAATCTCCAGGTATTACATATTGTTCATATCCGTATTTCTCCTCGTTCTCTTTAGTATCTTTAAAAAAAGAAAACAAAACAAAACAAAACAAAAAACATGGTGCAGTTGAAGTTTACACATTTTATTTTGTTCCATTATATAGTAATAAACTATCTTTAACCTTAGAAGAGTCTCCTCACTCTTTTCCTGCTTTGTCTCTCTGTGTTTCTCCTAGCAGTAGCTAGTTAATGTTGGACAAATGTCAGCATGGGTTTCATGGGCTATTTTGAAGTCTTTGGATGAACTTGGAAGCCAGGGTTTCTGTGAACTCCCTAAGCATTTATGCAGTGTTTTGTGCGTATATGTATTCTTTACAAAAAGAGTAGATAAACTTATCTTAATGGTTGTAGATTGTAACAGCACTGTTTGTTTGCTGCATTTTAGTCACATTTAATTTATAAAATTATTAATTATGTGCAGTTACACAGGTCAGCAAATATTTATGAGTTGCCAGCTGTGTTGTCAATAATAAAATAAGCTCATCTAAAAACATTCACAGCACTTAATTAATTTAATCACAGATAGCTGTATTTTATGTCAAAAAATTCAAAAAAACTCAAGTGTCTAGGTGCTGATGGCTCATTTAATTAAAATATGGGCAAAGGGCCTGGTATTGTGATGTAAGCAAGTAAAGCCACCACCTGCAATGACAGCATTTTATATGGGCACTGGTTCAAGTCCTGGCTGCTCCACTTCCAATCCAGCTCCCTGCTAATGTTCTGAGAAAGCAGTGGACAATGGCCTACATGGGAGATCCAAAAGAAGCTCTAGATTTGGCCTGGCCCAGTTCTGGCTGTTGTGGCCATTTGGGGAGTGAACCAGCGAATGGAAAATCTATCTCTCTCTCAAACTCTGCCTTTCACGTAAATAAAATAAATCTTTTTTTAAAAATGTGGGCAAACATTGAATAAAAGGTCCATTGCCATGGTTAATTTAATCCTTGGCTGCTATACTGTGCTCAAAGTTTTATGTGTGGATTAGATCTGAGTCAGATATTGCCCATGCCTGGATTTTTCCTAGTTTCTACTTCATGTCTTTTATAGCTTTTTTTAACCTTATATTTTTATTTTTTTTAAAGGATGTATTTATTTATTTCAAAGCCAAGGGCTGAGCCAGGCTCAATCCAGGAGCCTGGAATTTCATCCGGGTCTCCCATGTGGGTGGCAGGGGTCCAAACACTTGGGCCATCTTCCACTGGTTTTCTTGGGCCAATAGCAGTGAGTGGGATAGGAAGTGGAGCAGCCAGGACATGAACCGCTGCCCATATGGGATGCCAGTGTCTCAGGCGGCAGCTTAACCCACCACGCCACAACACCAGCCCAAACCTTTTAACTTTAAATAAATTCAAGAATATTAAAATTTGGGGTCTGGGGATTTGGCAGCTTTGATGTCTTTTTTTTTTTCCCTACTCAGTTTGAAAGATGTTTTTCTTTTATTTTGCAAATGGAAGTAAATACCATGTGCTGAATGAATTCAATATGGTCTAAAGTATCTGTATCTATGTTTCTGTATAAATCTATTTCTATGTAAAGCCAGCACCATAACTTAAGGTTGTAGTGCTGGCAATATGAGTAAGAGTACAGAGGAAGTAACCCTGATGTTTGTTGGGATTAAGGGAAAGTTTTCAACAAGGTGATGCTGAACCAAGCTGGGCCTTGAAAACATGAATAGGGATTCACCAAAGAAAGAAAAAAAAAAGAAAGATGATGTGTATTACAACAATTAAGATATTTTTAATCAATCTTCTAACACACTTTTCTGACCTGCAGGTGATGAAGGGAGTATGCCAGCAGATATAGCCACATTACTAAAAACATCAATGGGCCTGTGAATCAGAACTGCAGATTCCTAAGTGATAAGGAAATATCAACTTGGTGCACTCAAGGACATTTACATTATGATGACCATGGGGTTTATGAACATTTATACCTTTTTATAATTTCCATATTGCATTTCTCATAGTATGGACAACTTTTTTGCCACTAACTGAACTCTCCAGATGCTCACACATGAGATTTCGTAAAAAGCCACAAATATGTAGTCCTGAAGATGTTGAATAATCATTTTACAAAGCAGTTTTCTGAATGGGGATTAGTTGGTGATTGTTTGTAACAAATATGCTAATGCTTTAGAAATGTCAGTATTTTTGTAATTATTTCTACCTCCAAATATATATATATTGTCTTTCACTGGATAATGTGTGTAGATTTTTACATGTGCCTTATTTGACAATGCTTATGTCTTGTTTTTGCTTGTCTCATTTGAAGTTTTTTTTTATTATGTTGGTTTAAAGAATGCAGCTGTATAGATAATATAGCTTTCATTTTATTGCTATTTGAAGCAGATGTTCACCAATGTCAACAAGAACTCATCCTGAATTTAAAGGTGGCATTCCATACACTAACATCCCCCAGGTCCTCTCAAGTACTTATGTTAAAACAAATTTGTTTGGCTAGGCACTAAGTTGTTTTCCAGTGAGTAGTAACTAAAGAAGCCCTCATCCTGCTTCATGGATTAATTCTTTCTGTTCGTTTCCCAACTGCACTAATTGTGCTTCTTAATCTGCCTCTCGTGCATGTTTTCATTGACTTCCCTCTCCTGGCTTTTGCTTCTCTTAAATTGTTGCCCAGTCACTTCTGCTCCAGTTCTCTTCCTCTCTAAATACCAGTTTCTTCCTGCCACATCCCATATATCAGCGAAATGTTGGTGACATTTTTTCTAACCTGGCAGAACAGATTGACTTAAAGCTATTTCACGTCAAAGCAGACTGGATGTGACTTCATGTTAAGGCAGCATTAGGTACTGCATGGAAATAGGTCATTAACTTTAAACTCTTATCAAAATATAATTTACCGGTTTCCAGAATTTCCAGTACAGGACCGTCTGAAGAGAGAGCCATTGTTGAATTCCAATTCAGTGTGGGTGACATAGTGAAATTTAGAAGTTGTCTATTTGATATTTAACTCTTTATTAAATCTTTCTTTAAAATTTTGCCTGTCAGTCCATAATGCTGTTTTTATTATACATCCGTTTCTTTGTATAACTTGTGAGTTTCATGTGTTTTGTTTTTATTTTGTAAATATCATTATAAATAAACTTATTTATAAATCAGAGACTTGTTAATTATTGGAGATCACACTTTCCAAGGCATCCTAACTTGCTAAGATGCTAGGTAATATAACCCTTCGGACTTAGAAGATGAACAAAACTTTTAATGTGATTCTTTAGATATTACAAACTCATGACTCATTAGACTTACTCAACCTTAAAGCTATATTGAACACACTGAATATGCTTTAGTGTTACAGGGCTAAAAGAAACTGCAAATGTTAATACTACCTCTTGCATTACCATACCCAAGTCACATAGTCAAATTGTTGGGAATATTACCTTTTAAAAATCTCATGGATTTCTCATAACTTTTCTGTATCAATGTATTTTCAGTGATAGGCTGTTTCTTTTGTTGTTAGTGTTGTTGTTGTTATATTTGCATTATTATCTCTAATGAAATGTAGTTGGGTTCTTCCTGTAATGCTCTATTGTGTCTTGGGCTTAATAAAAATATTTGTGATCATAAGTTGTATTTTCACAACCTTTTTAACAGTTTCTAACCCTCTCCCCCCCTTCCCTTTAAAATATATAATATTGAGCACAAATGAGATCATCTTATGCGCTTAATATTATGTCGGTCAATAAATTGGAATTTATTACCAGTTTAATTCGTTCTTTCATTGGCCCAATGTCCGTGAATGTCTTCATCCATTATCAGCAAAGAATAAATGAGACCACATGTTGCAGTAATGTCTTTACCAACTGCAAATGTGTTTTTTTTTTTTCAATTTAATGCAAATCACATAAGGGTAGAATATATGCCTTAGAGGCTTTTTCATAACTGGGATGCCATACACTTGTAGCTTATTACAGTAGATATTTAGCTGAAACATGAGATAAAAAGTGTCAAAATACTGGGTTTCTGTGTAACCTTATGCCTGAATCTTAAGCAGTCAATAGAATAAACGAATTGATTCTTCTAATTATTCTCCCCAAGATGTTTTTCCTTTCTGAATATAAATATAATACACAGTTTAACTTTTGCCCTGATTCACCCTTTGTCTTTCTGAGCAAGGGGACATTTAATTCGGGTACAGAATGGGATAATGGATTATATTGTTTAGTGCTAGACATTCTTCATGAAATTTGCTGTGGTTGCATCTTATATTTGAATTATGATTTCTAAAAGTATGTAGGATTATCCTGAGTTTTCATAATTTTGCATACACATTGTATTCATCACATTTACTTAAGTTTTCTGCTAATTAACAAGTAGGATGTAGTAATGTGGAAGAAAGTAGCCATAGGAAGAGGAAGAAAGGTTACTTACCTGTGTTATCTAGAATACTATTGGAATTTCTTTCATTAGCATTTTTTTCTTCAGACTGCCTTGATTACATAATGAAGGGATTGAAAATGAGATTGATTGACTTTTGTTGTTTACTCTTAAAGGTACTTAATTTATTTGAAAGAAAGAGGTGGAGAGATCTTCCATCCACTGGCTCCCTTTCAAATGCCCAGAGCAGTCAGGGCTGGGTGAGAGCAAACCAGGAGCCAGGAACTCCATCCGGGTCTCTTAGGTGTATGACAGGGGCCCAAGTACCTGGCCCGTCCTCTACTGCCTTCCCAGGCACATTAGCAGGGAGCTGGATCAGAAGTAAAGTAGCCAGGACTCAAACTGCTACTTATATGGGTGTGGGCGTTGCAAGCAGCAGCTTAACCTGTTGCATCACAAGGCTCACCCTATCATTTACATTTATTAGCAGCACTAAGGGAAAGGAAATTTGATCCAAAGAGTGAAGCTACTTGTGAAATACACTTTGTTTTCAAAATGTAATCCTTAGCAACTTATATAAAATATTTTTTTCCCTAATTGCATAGGGTATCTTTGGGTGGAAAGGAGAACCTTAAGTAAATTCATACCTAGCTGGCTTCTGAACTCTTATGTTCTCTTTCCTCTGCAAGCATAAAGCCATCTTTCTCTAGTCTGTTTCCATCTATGATATGACATGGAGCAAACTATTTCCAATATTAAGCTAAGCTTTGATGTTTAATGTAGTTTATAATGGGTTTCTGGGGGATCTATTATTTGTAAGGTTCTGTTTAGATGGCTTGTTTGCACTCTCAGTCCTTGTTTTCCACAGTGCTGTAGAACTAAAAATGTGACTGAAGTTAAAATTGTGCAAAACAATAAACATTGGAAAAACTATTATTATCCATGCTATAAAAATTTTGTTCACATTTTAAAAACATTGTTGGTTATGAATGTATAAGTAGGTTTTTAAAATGTAAAATTAATTTGATACACTAAAGGAAGCACTGAGAATTAGTTTTATTTTTATAAAATAATTATCAAGAGTAGTTTGAAAAGTACTACCTCCTTGTATAACTTATAAGAAATCATATTTCCTTGGCAAATTGTCATACTCCCTAAATTTGAATCAGCTTCCAACATTCATTGTACTTTCAATGTTATGTCTTGTCTTCATCCATATATTTATTTTTTTTAAAGATTTTCTTTATTTGAGAGGTAGAGTTACAGACAGTGAGAGGGAGAGACAGAGAAAGGTCTTCCTTCTGTTGGTTCACTCCTCATATGGCCGCAATGGCTGGAGCTGTGCCTATCCGAAGCCATGAGCCAGGTGCCTCTTCCCAGTCTCCCATGTGTGTGAAGGGGCCCAAGGACTTGGGCCATTTTCTACTGCTCTCCCAGGCCATAGCAGAGAGCTGGATTGGAAGAGGAGCAGCCAGGACTAGAGCCAGCGAGGGTAAGAAATGCTATTGCCTCAGGCAGAGGATTAACCTACACCACGGTGCCAGCCCCTCCATAGACTAATTTTAGAGTAGCTTAAGGTTCATGTCAAAATTGAACAGAAAGAACCAGAGTTCCCACATTCCCCTCCCTACACATGCACAGATTCACCCACTATCAACATCAAAATGGTACATGCATTAAAAATTCATGACCATTCTTTGACACGTGATCACTGCATGGGTTTTAGCAAAAATATAATGACATGTAGCCACCATTATAGTATCACAGAATAATTTCACTGTCCCAAAGCTTTCTGTTCACTGCCTGTTTATCTTTTTCTCCCCACCTAATCTTGAACCACAGATCTTTTTCCTATCTCCATAGTTTTGCTTTCCTCAGAATACCATAGAGTTGGAGCCATACAGAATGAAGCCTTTTCAGATTGGCTTCTGGTTTGGATAGTGGTTTGCATGTCCTCACAAAGCCCATTTGGTAAAGGCTTGTCTCCAAAGTCTGACAGTAATCATAAGTAAGGGGGTGGGAATGTATTCATAACTGGCATTTAGAGGTCAGGCCTTTGGGAAGTGATTAGATTGGATTAGATTATTAGGGTGGAAGCCACATGACTGAATGAGGATGACTTACAAACACACGTGCATACAAATACACACACACACACACACACACACACACCTGTTCCTTGCTGTGTGCTGTTCTATGCTGCGTGAGGACTCTGCCAGGAAGAACTCCATCATAAGATGCCAAAACAGGCCACTGGATTTTTTTTTTTTTTTTAAGAATTTATTTGAGGCCGGCACCGCAGCTCAATAGGTTAATCCTCTGTCTGCGGCGCCAGCACACCGGGTTCTAGTCCCAGTCGGGGCACAGGATTCTGTCCCAGTTGCTCCTCTTCCAGGCCAGCTCTCTGCTGTGGCCCAGGAGTGCAGTGGAGGATGGCCCAAGTGCTTGGGCCCTGCACCCGCATGGGAGACCAGGAGAGGCGCCTGGCTCCTGGCTACAGATCAGCGTGGTGCACTGGCCACAGTGTGCTGGCCGCAACGGCCATTGAGGGGTGAACCAATGGCAAAGGAAGACCTTTGTCTCTCACTGTCCACTCTGCCTGTCAAAAAAAAAAAAAAATTATTTGAAAGGTAGAGTTACAGACAGAGAGAGAGAGACATAGATAAAGGTCTTGCATCCACTAGCTCAATCCCCAAATAACTACAACGCCCAGAACTAAGCTGATCCAAAGCCAGGAGCCAAGAGTCAGGAACTGCCTCCAGGTCTCCCACACAGAGTGGGAGCCCCAGCGCTTGGGCCGTCTTCCACTGCTTCCCAGGTACATTAGCAGGGAGCTGGATGGGATGAGGAGCAGCTGGGACACGAACTGGTGCCACAGGCAGAGGCTTAGCCTATTAAGCCACAGCACTGGCCCCAAGGCCACTGGATCTTGGACTGTGACTCTCCAAAACAATGAGCTAGAATAAACCTCCTTCCTTCACAAGTAGCTTGTCTTAGTTATTTTGTTGTAGTAATGAAGAGCTGACTAATACAGTTTTATCACTTAGTAATATGGATGTAAGCTTCATCCTTTAAGTATTTTCATAGTTTGATGGATCATTTTTAGCACTGAAAAACAACATTGCATTGTGTGTAGGTACTAAAGTTTGTTTATCCATCCACTCACTGAAGGACCTCATAGCTTCCAAGTTTGGGCAGTTGCAAATAAGACTGCTCTAAATATCCATGTGTACATTTTTGTGTGGACACAATTCTTTGTTTTGTTTGTTTTTTGTTGTTGTTGTTGTTGTTGTTTTGTAGAAGAGCGAATGTTTTTATTGCCAGCTAAAGGCAGGGGGAGATTGTAGATTCTATGAATGCCATGGCAAAGAGAAATTCTAATTTCTATGGCCTGACTTGGGGAGAGTGTTAGGAGCCAGAAACCATGCATAAGTACCAGAAAGTATGTATCATAATATCATGTGACCCTTCTTTTCAAGCACAGATCCCTTACAGCAAAACGATATACATTTCAAAAAGACACCAGTGTATTATTGGAATTGGAACAGATTTTCTTAAAACTTCTAACTTTTTCCCTGTGAACAACAACACTGGAGACAGCTGAAGCTCTGTGTTTAGTCTTTTTGAAATTTTATTTAAGGTATACAAATTTCCTATATTTCATATATATACAGATTTAGTAACATAGGGATACTTCCAACACTAACCTCCCTTCTGCCCAAGTTCCCACCCTTCCTCCTCCTTCCTCTCTTGTTTCCTCTCCTAATTTTTACAATGATCTACTTCCAGTTTACTTTATACTCAGGTTAACCCTACACTAAATAAAGAGTTCAACAAATAATATGAAGAAAAGCTACACTGATCCTCAAGAATAGAGACAAGGACTACAAACAATCATTGAATCTTAAAATGTCAATTCACTCCTATATATTACATTTTTGGTACTCTGTTAGTTACTGCAGATCAGGGAAAACATGATATTTTGGGAGGACTGGCATATTTCACTAAGTATAATGGTTTTCAGTTGTATCCATTTTGTTGCAAAAGACAGGATTTCATTCTTTTTTATGACTGAAGAATATTCCATAGTGTATACATACCATAATTTCATTTTCCAGTCATCAGTTGATGGGCATCTGGGTTGATTCCATATCTTAGCTATTGTGAATTGAGCTGCAATCAATGTAGGGGTACAAATCACTCTTTCATATGCTGATTTCATTTCCCTTGGGTAAATTCCCAGGGGTGGGATTGCTAGGTGATATGGTAGATCTATTTTCACTGTCTTCCACAATGGCTACACTAGTTTACATTCTCACCAACAGTGGATTAGGGTACATTTTACTTCACATCCTCACATCCTCACCAGCATTTGTTGTCTGTTGATTTCTGTATGAAAGCCATTCTAAGTAGGGAAAGGTGAAACCTCATTGTGTTTTTTTTTTTTTTTAAGATTTATTTTATTTATTTGAAAGACAGAGATACTAAGAGAGGTAGAGACAGAGAGAGGGGTCTTGCATTCGCTGGTTCACTCCCCAGATGGCCGAAATGGCCAGGGATGCACCAATCCAAAGCCAGGGGCCAGGAGCTTCTTCCGGGTCTCCCACGTAAGTGCAGAGTCCCAAGGACTTGCGCCATCTTCCACTGCTATCCCAGGCCACAGCAGAGAGCTGGACTGGAAGAAGAGCAACCATGACTAGAACTGGCGCCCATATGGGATGTCGGCACTTCAAGCCAGAGCTTTAACCCACCATTCCACAGTGCCAGCCCCCTCATTGTGGTTTTGATTTGCATTTCCCTGATGGCTTGTGATCCTGAGCATTTTTCATATATTTCTTGGACATTTGAATTTCTTCTTTGGAAAAATGCCTGTTCAAGTCCTTTGCCCATTTCTCAACTGGATTGTTTGTTTCATTGTTTTTGAATTCCTTGAGCTCTTGATAGATTCTGGATATTAATCATTTATCAGTTGCATAGTTTCATAGTTTACAGATAATTTTTTTTTTTTTTGACAAAGTGCATAGTGAGAGAGAGAGACAGAGAGAACAGTCTTCCTTTTGCTGTTGGTTCACCCTCCAATGGCCGCCGCGGCCGGCGCGCTGCGGCCGGCGCGCTGCGGCCGGTGCGCTGCGGCCGGCGCACCATACTGATCCAAAGCCCGGAGCCAGGTGCTTCTCCTGGTCTCCCATGGGGTGCAGGGCCCAAGCACTTGGGCCATCCTCCTCTGCCTTCCTGGGCCACAGAAGAGAGCTGGCCTGGAAGAGGGGCAACCGGGAAAGAATCTGGCACCCTGACCGGGACTAGAACCCTGTGTGCCGGCGCCGCTAGGTGGAGGATTAGCCTATTGAGCCGCAGTGCTGGCCAATTTCTCCCATTCTATCAGTTGCCTCTTGACTTTGTTGAGTGTATCTTTTGTAATGCAGAAGTTTCCCAACCTCATGTAATCCCATTTGTCTATTTTGGCTTTGGTGGCCTGTGCTTCCAGGGTCTTTTGCAAGAAGTCTTTGCCTATGCCAATGCTTGCAGAGTTTCCCCAATGTTCTCCTCTAATAATTTGGTGGTATCAGGTCATAGATTTAGACCTTTGATCCATTTTGAGTTGATTTTTGTGTAAGGTGTATAGTAGGGGTCTTCCTTCATACTTCTGCATGTGGAGATCAAATTTTCCCAGCACTATTTGCTTAAGGACTGTCCCTGCTCCAGGGATTGATTTTAGCGCCATTGTCAAAGATTAGCTGGTTGTAGATTTGTGGATTGATTTCTGGAGTTTCTATTCTGTTCCATTAGTCTACATGTCTATTTTTGTGCCAGTACCAGACTGTTTGAAGATAACTGCCCTATAGTATGCCTTGAAATCTGGTATTGTGATGCCTCTGGCTTTGTTTTTGTTGTATAAGATTGCTTTAGCTATTTGGGGTCTCCTGTGTTTCCATGTGAACTTTAGCATGGATTTTTCTAGATCTGAGAAGAATGTTGTTTGTATTTTGATTGGGATCACATTGAATCTGTAAATGACTTTCAGTAGTATGGACATTTTGATGACATTCATTCTTCCAATGCACAAACATTCCAATGCACAATTCCATCCCTAGGTTTTTTTTCTGTAACCCCTTTTACGTTCAATTTGAATATCATCCCAGCATTATCACTTTTTGTTGTTTTGTGCACTTTTTTAAAAAAATGTTATTTGAAATGAGTTACGAAGAATTTCCATCTGCTGGTTCACTCTCCAAATGCCTACAATGGCCAGGACTGTACCAGGCTGGAGTCAAGAGCCTGGGGCTTCTTCAAATGTGGGTGCATGAGCTTAAGAACTTGGGTCATCCTCTGTTGCTGTTCCAGCACATCAGGAGGGAGCTGGATCAGAAGAGGAGAAGCTGGGACTTGAACTGGCCTCCATATGGGTGCAAGCCCTGCAGGTGGTGGCTCCACCCCCCACAGCACATTTTCTTCTTTGTTGATGAATTCCCTTTTGACTTTCATTTTTATAAAATGTCAACTTGGTGCACCCCTGGGAAACAAGCAGGCAGTACTACTACACACTTTGCAGTCTCTGTGTGAATGACAGAAGTTCCGTGACCAATCAGTGTCTTTGAAGGAAGTGTCATGACTGGTCACTGACCATGATGTGCATCCCTTGTTTACATAATAATCTGTGGCCTGCAGTGCTAGCAGGAAAGTTCGCATTTCATAAAATTATGGTTAACATTCTGTGGAACTGGTCTCAACCATTTTGTGATGGGGGAGGAGCTAAACTATTGTGACTGAAATTCATGCTTATTAGAATCAGTGGAAAGTCAAGTCTTTCTGTGTTGAAAGCCACCATTTCTCCTCAATGATAAATGATAGGAAGCTATTCTGAAAAAATATTATAGAAACTAAGTGCATTTTTTTTTCTGGTAAACTAGGCTTTCTTTCTCTCTTTTCTTTTCTTTTGAAAATTTATCCACCTATTTGAAAGAGTTACAGAGAGGCAGAGAGAGAGAGAGAGAGAGTAAAAGTCTTCCATCTGCTGGGTCACTCCCCAGATGACCACAATGGCTGGAACTGCACTGATCCAAAGCCAGGTTCCAGGTGCTTCTTCCTGGTCTCCCATGTGGGTGCAGGGGCCCAAGGACTTGGGCCATCTTCTCCTGCTTTCCTAGGCCACAGCAGTGGAGCAGCCGGGACTCGATCCAGCACCCATATGAGATGCCAGCACTGCAGGCAGGGACTCCACTAAATGCATTTTTTAAGCAGAAAATGGCATGGAAGAAGTTAAAGCCTTGGTGGAGGAAGGGATTGTGGATTCTTTAGTGAGCTGATAGAGCTGCCTTATCTGACATGAGGGATACTGGGAAGAACAACACGGAGGCGGCCTGAACCACCTAGAGTCTGGTCTGGGGCCTCTGTTGTATCCAGTTAGCAATGGCGGGAAGAGCTTGGACTTTCTTCTGTAAAGTTACCAATCTGGGATGAACATCCAGCAAGTCAGATTTCAAGGCCAAAAGTGTGGTACTGCAAATATCCCAGTAGAAATCTGCCCAAGTTACCTAGTTTAAAGGAGATTAAAAAAATATTTTTAATAGAAAAAAACATAACTTTATCACCATTTCAAAATTAAATTTTTTTAACAGGTCATTTCTTCTCAATTCCCAATGTTTGTTATTGCACAAGTAGAAAATGTGTATGATAGAAATTGAAAAGTACAAGTAACACCATGCTCCGCAAACCCAAAGCTTACTATTAACAGCTTAGTGTATAAGGTATTTTTAAACACGGATGCATTCCTAGCATGAGATCCTATGGTCTGTACTCTTGTAACCTGGTCCAGTCTCCACCTCTCTGTGTAATACATTTTATATATATTTCACTCGTGGAATTTTCTTCTTATTTATTCAAGAGACAGAGCTCCGATCCACTATTCCACTCCCCCAAATACCTCCAACAGCCACGGGGCCAAAGCCAGGAGAAGAAAGCTCAGTCCAGGTCTCCTATGTGGGTGGCAGAAGTCTACTAGTTGAGCCATCACCTGCAGCCTCCCCAAGTCTGCATTAGCAGGAAACTGGAATTGGGAGGCAGAGCTGGGAGTGAAACTCAGGCGCTCCAGCGTGGGAAGTGGGCCTCTTCACAGCCAGGCCAAATGCCAGCCTCTTTTTATTTTTGCATGGATTTTAGTAAAAGCCCATTGCTGGAGTTTCATGAGTTTACTTACTAAACATCTGTCAGCCAAGAGAGGCTGTCAGTCAGCGGGTTCGCAGTTCAGCCAACAAGTATTGATGGAATTCCTACTGTGTGCCATGCAGGAGCCTGCGTGCTGAGGACTGGATAGAGAGCAAGGGGGGACGCGAGCCCTTCTCTGCCAAGGCTTTTACTTCAGAAAGAAGAAGTCAAGCATATATGCCAAGTGACGGTGGACTAGCAGGTGGTCAGGGAAGCCCTTTAACAGGTGACACGGGAACCAAGCATGGAAGTATCAGAAGGCTCCAGACATGCCGCAGTCTACGGATAAGCAGGCCAGAGAGGGAAGAGCAAGTGCAAAGGCCCGGAGGTGGGAGTGTCCCTTGCACCTCAGGAACAAACACCAGGGTGTTCAAAGCACCCTGAGGCAGGGGCGAGCGCTCCAAGAGGGGACCAAGAGATCATCTAAAAGCATTTTCATGGGAAACCAACAAGCAAAGAGTGAGTCCTTAGAAATGTTTGAATCAGTAAGGTAGGAAAAAGGAACAGTATAGGAAGGGCTGTGAGAGAAACCCATGGGGAGAAGTGAAGGGCTGTGTGACAAGGCTGAAGGCTGAAAAGAGAGAGGTGGAAAATTCCTTCTTCTTCGCCAAGCCCTGGACAGGGAAGACAGAGACAGAGAGTGCAGGTAAGAGCCCTCTGTGTGCGGCCCCCTGGGAGGCAGGGGCACCTGCTGCCTTCCTCTGCACCCAGGTCAGATTTCTCTGTGCTGCTTCAGCAAGTCTTCTCTCAGGAGGCCCTTGGCATCTGGCTGTCCCAGGTTTTTTTGTGATATTAGCAATTATAGGTGGCTAATACCTAGGCCCATTCATTCTTCAGGGGTTGGAAAATTATAATAATTTATTTCTATCTTTTCTTCCTGTTTATTAACTGGAATACTTTTATGAAAAGAAACTTTGGCCCAACAGTTTTTGTCACCTTGAGGTAAAATTAGCATAGGAAAGGCAGGATAATTGCCCCAAACCTTCCACCTTTTAAAAAGAGTTTTTATGGTTTACTTGTTTTGAAGGGCAGAGTTACGCATACAATGAAAACTTTCATCTGCTCGTTCATTCCCCAGATGGACGGGCTCAGGTTGAAGCCAGGAGTAGCAAACTCCATCTGGGTGTCCCACATAGGTGGCAGGGACCCAAGTCCTTGAGCCCCATCTGTTGCCTCGCCAAGTGCACAGTAACAGGGAGCAGGATTGAAAGTGCACAGCAGTTTGACTTGAACTAGGAACTCTGATATGAGATGCAAGTATCCCAAGCAGCAGCCCAACCTTCTGCACAACACTCAGCCTTCTTGTTTTTAACAGAATAATCATGTGGCTCCATAGCATGCTGTAAAAGTAAGCTGTGATTGTGTGTGTCTGTGTGTGTGTGTAAGCCTGATGGTGGTTGTGATAACCTCTGCTTCTCAGTCATTCAACCCATTGTGGTCACCGTTCTCATGGAAACTTGCATTGTCCCATCTTTGCCCAAAGGAAATTTAGCAAAACTGGACTTCTGAGTCCTTTTGATACAACTCCAGTTCGGGCAATGTGTTTTACTTCTAGTATGACAAGGTATTCCCGGCTGATCTTTTATATTTCCGGGGCTCAGTTGAGAACAAGCCATTTCTACAAGAAGCCCGTGCTCCTCTCCGTACTTCAGTGTGGTTTCTGGAGGTGCTCAGGACAATGGGGTTGGTCACCTTTTCAAGAGAAGAGCCATCAAATGCTTTTGTTTTCCTTACCTAGGATAAAGTACGTTATGAGTGTAGACTGTTCCCTCTGGCTCAAGTTGAGGAGTAGGATTGTTTACTTAACCTCACTAATCCTATGTCTCTATCTCCTTTCTCCTGCACTGAAGATTCTAGTTTTCAATGCCATCTACATAAGCCCTTTAAAAAAGATTTACTTGCTTATTTATTTGAAAGGCAGAGTGACAGAGACACACAGAGAGATTTTCCCTCTACTGGTTCACTGCCCAAATGCTCTCAATGGCTGGGGCAGGTCCAGGCCAAAGCAGGGAGCCTGGAACTCTATCCAGGTCTCCCTCAGGGGTATCAGGGGCCCGAGCTGTTGGGCCATCCTCTGTTGCCTTCCCAGATGTATTAGCAAGGGGCAAAATTGGAAGTGGAGCGGCTGGGACTCGGACTGGCACCCATATGGGATGCCCATGTCACAGGTGGTGGCTAAACTCTGTGCCACAACGCCGACCCCCATTTCTTTTTTCTAAACTCCAATAGAGACATAATGACACCTGAAAAAGTATTTCAACAGTGCCTAGTACCACCAAAAGTACGATTACTGAAAATGCTGTTGGCCAGTGCCGCGGCTCACTAGGCTAATCCTCCGCCTTGCGGCACCGGCACACCGGGTTCTAGTCCTGGTTGGGGCGCCAGAGTCTGTCCCGGTTGCCCCTCTTCCAGGCCAGCTCTCTACTGTGGCCAGGGAGTGCAGTGGAGGATGGCCCAAGTGCTTGGGCCCTGCACCCCATGGGAGACCAGGAGAAGTACCTGGCTCCTGCCATCGGATCAGCGCGGTGCACCGGCCGCAGTGCGCCGGCCGCAGCGGCCATTGGAGGGTGAACCAATGGCAAAGGAAGACCTCTGTCTCTCTCTCTCACTGTCCACTCTGCCTGTCAAAAAGAAAAGAAAAGAAAAGAATTGAAAAGAAAAGAAAAGAAAAAAAAAGAAAATGATGTTATGCCTTTTATTTTTAGTTATGAGAGTCTGCCCTACATATTTTTTTTCTTATTTTTGACAGCCAGAGTGGACAGTGAGAGAGAGAGACAGAGAAAAAGGTCTTCCTTTGCCATTGGTTCACCTCCAATGGGCAGCCACGGCTGGTGCGCTGCAGCCGGTGCCCCCGCTGATCCGATGGCAGGAGCCAGGTGCTTCTCCTGGTCTCCCATGGGGTGCAGGGCCCAAGCACCTGGGCCATCCTCCCCTGCACTCCCTGGCCACAGCAGAGAGCTGGCCTGGAAGAGGGGCAACCGGGACAGAATCCGGCGCCCCGACCGGGACTAGAACCCGGTGTGCTGGCACCGCAAGGCGTAGGATTAGCACAGTGAGCCACGGTGCCAGCCCGAGAGTCTGTCTTGAGATATAAAGTAAAATTAATTTTATGTGACATTTTACAAATTATATTTTTGAAATAATTCTTTCTTTCCTTCATTGTTTGAAACGCAGAGTTAACAGAGGAAGGAAGGAAGGAAGGAAGGAAGGAAGGAAGGAAGGAAGGAAGGAAGGAAGGAAGGAAGGAAGGAAGGAAGGAAGGAATTTTCCATCCTCTGGTTCATGCCTCAATGGCTGGGGCTGGACTAGGCTGAAGCCAGAAGCCTGGAACTCCATCCAGGTCTCCTCTGTGGGTGCACAGGCCCAAGGACTTGGGCCATTTTCTGCTACTTTCCCAGGCTCATTAGCAGGGAGCTGAATTGAAAGTATATCAGCCAGGAATTGAAGCAGTGCCAATATGGGATGCCGGTGCTGCAGGCTGCAGCTTAACCCACTGCTATACACCCTACTCCTCCCTATGGGTTTATTTCTTTTTTATTTGAAAGGTGGAGTGATAGAGAGAGGGGAGAGAGACAGATGGAGAAGAGAGACAAAGGAAGAGACACACAGATACCTTCCCTCTGCTGGTTCACTTACCAAACTGCCACAACAGCTGGGTCTGGGCCAGGCTGAGGCTGGGAGCCAGGAATTCCATCCCGGGCTCCCACCTGGGTGGCAGAGGTCAAGTACTTGGGCCGTCTTGTGCTGCCTTCCCAGGCGCATTAGCAGGAAGCAAGATTGGAAGCAGAACAGCAAGGCCTCAAACTAGTGCTCCCGTATGGGCTGCCAGCACCGCTGTGCCACAACCATGTATTGTTTTCCCTTTTATAATAACTTTTTGGTTTATCCTTTTATTTAAACACATGTCTGTGTATTTGCTCATACTTTCCAACATGGGAAATACTCACAGAGTTGCCAATGAACCATTCTTTTTCTCCTAAATATGTGTCCAAATCTTGCAAAAGATGAGGCGCTTCGTGTGTGAGCAGATCGGTAAACATCTGATTCTAGGGGAGAGAGAAAATGTCACTGTGATTTGAAGAGGAAGTAGATTTCTCCGCCTTTAATCTTCCACAAGCATTCAGAAAGGAAGAAATATGTTACTGCGTGTTTTTTTTTCAAATTTTCAACATTGGGAGATTGATCTGCTTCTCTGTAGGTCTTAGTCATCCCTTAATTACTATGGACTAAAACATAAATACTTCTGTGGTACCAGTTTTACAGCTTGTTTGTATAGAATGAGCAAATGTTTCATCCATGAAACTTAAGAAATAATTTTTAATCTTCACATTTGACTAATGAAAAATGAGTAATGAAAAACGATTTCATTGTACCTATTGATCTCTAGACTTGCCCCTTTTCTGAACCGAGCTACCTTGAAGTTAAATAATATAATTGAAGGCAAGGAAATTCATTCTCTTTTGTACTGCTGGACTCTTCCAATTTGGAAGCCTCATTTGTTTCCTCATTGCACTTAGTTGGATATCTGTTATACTCTCAGGTCTTTCTGGATTTTTCTTGTTTGGCCTGACATTGTATGAGATTTGCCTGCCTTGAATTTTTTTAAAAGATTTATTTATGTATTTGAAAGGCAGAGATACACAGAGAGAGGGGAGGGAGGGAGATATCTTCCAACTGCTGGTTCACTCTCTAAATGGCTGCAACAGCCAGGATTGGGTTAGGGCAAAGTCAGGAGCCAGGAGCTTCCTCCAGGTCTCCGATGTGGGTGCAGGGGCCCAAGGACTTGAGCCATCCTTCACTGCCTTCACAGGTATATTAGCAGGGAGCTGGATTGGAGGTGGAGCAGCAGGGACTCAAACTGGCGCCCTATGAGATGTCGGCACTGCAGGATGGGGCTTTAACCCACTGCGCCTCAGCGCTGGCTCCCAGGATAGCTTTCTAAGGTAAGACCGCACCCCTGAGTGCGCTTTCTGGCTCACCTTGTGGTCCTCCTCCACACTCATTCCACCATCCCTCAGCCCATCAGATACCAGACCAACAGGGATGCCCAGTCTTGGACTGTGAACCTCCAAAGTCATGAACACAGTTATAAAGAACCTGTAATAAAATCCAAGCTTTATTAAAATAAGTCATATAGTGGGTAACTACCTAGCTTACTGGTTAGCTGATTTACTTCCTGTTATGAGTATCACTAAACTACATTGCTATACCACAGTTATATTTGCAAAGTACAGTCGGCAAAAACATCAATACATATTTACATACATTTGCCAGCTTTTGAAACTAAGGCTTAGGAAGCTTGTTTCTATCACAACTTTACAATCCTCCCCCTGTTCTGTGTCACCTTTGTGCAGGAAGTGTTCTACCATTGAACTGCGTTCATTGTTTTAAAGAAAATGTGTGAATCCGTTTGCTGCTTCCACAGAATCTGTGAGCTGAGGGATAGTGGCCCAAACCATGTGACACTTCTCACTGTTCAGTTTAGCTCAGGTCATGGCCAAGTTGGCTGTCTTCGAATGGCTAGAGAGGAACTGGATGTGGCTTGTAGAAAGCGTTTCAAACCGTCAGTGTGTGCACCTGTTCTAATTTGCATTTCCACAGCTTCAAGTGTTCATGTGTATAAGCAGTACCAAATTAAAATCTTATAATCTGCGCTATAGATTTCTCCTTTAGCTCAGTCTCTCTACAATCTGGTGAGTTATCTCAGTCTAATCAAATGCCAATTAGTAAACAGCTTAGCAATTATTAAAACTCATTTTAAAGAACATTCATCTAATAGTATAAAGAAAACAGTGGGCCCATCATTGTGGTGTAGCAGGTTAAGCTGCTGCCCCAGACATTGGCATCCATATCACAGTGCCAGTACAGGTCCCAGCTGCTTAGCTCCCTATCCAGCTCCCTGCTCATGCACTAGGGAATGCAGCGGAGGATGGCACTTGGGACCCCACTGTTTACTTGGGAGACCCGGATGGAGTTCCTGGCTCCTGGTTGGCTGTTGCAGCCATTTCGGAAGTGAGCCAACAGATGGAAGATATCTTTTCTTTCTGTCTCTGTCACTCTGCATTTCAAATAAATAAAATAAACCTTTTAAAAATATATTAAATATAGGGGCCGGCACTGTGGTGTAGCGGGTAAAGCCGCCACCTGCAGTGCCGGCATCCCATATGGTCGCTGGTTCAAGACCCGGCTGCTCCATTTCCAATCCAGCTCTCTGCTATGGCCTGGGAAAGCAGTAGAAGATGGCCCAAGTCCTTGGCCCCTGCATCCGTGTTGGAGACCTGGAGGAAGCTCCTGGCTCCTGGCTTTGGATCAATTCAGCTCTGGCCGTTGCGGCCAACTGGGGAGTGAATTAGCAGATGAAAGACCTCTCTCTCTGTCTCTCTCTCTCTCTCTGTCTCTCTGTCTCTCTCTGCCTCTCCTTCTCTCTCTAACTATGACTTTCAAATAAATAAATTCATTTTTAAAATAAATAAATGTTAAAAATATAATATTTGACTATGCATCTTTTCCCTGATGTATATTTTTAATATACTTCTTTAGAAAATATGTTTTTTACTATTTTATCATCTCTGCATTTATAACAATTCACTTCAACAATCACAGATTCCTTTTCTTCCAATGCCACAAACCATATTATAAATGAAAGCTGGTACTGATGCTTATCAAAATATACAAGACAGGTGATATTTTATATAAGACCACTTTATATGTTAACTTGTTCCCAAAAACCTCTTTCTCTTTTTTTGGCCTGGCTTAAAAAATTTTGTTATATATATTTATAGCATTTTTTCTGTTAGATGAACATTCTTAGAAACCAAAAAAAGGGAATTTTATGGAAAGGCCACATAAAACATGAGACAGTGTCAGAGGCTCCTAGCTGTACTATTTTTTTTCTTAAATACAGTACTGAAAATGCCCATCAGACCTTGCCATCCTAAACATTCTGTTCACATGTAAACTCCCTTTTTCTCCAAGTAGCCTATTCATCAATAGGAAACAGAAAGGAAAGGCCACTCTGCCTTGGGTCTTCTTTCAGAAAGGAGGTTAGGGAAACGCTTTGCAGGATGGAGTTACAACCAGAAGAGCCAGTCTTTGGTCAGAGCAATGAGGTGACATTTTGATGCAAAACTTTTGCTTGGTCAGCATCTTTATAATTTAATATACTTTAATGATAAATCATAGACAGCCATTTATCATACCTGGCAGAATCAGAAATTCCCTGCCTTCTCTTCCAAAGAGCTAGGAAGCAGGTGTGGTTTTTTTTTTTTTTTTTTTTTTTTTTTTTTTTTTTCACTCTGAGTTGTCACTGCTGTAGTGTTCTAGCAAATGACTTTTAGGGGATATAGGGAGGTTTGTGTATTTCTCCAAATCCACACTACTGAAATTATTTAGTGTTGGGACTGTGCCATCAGGATTCCCCTCAGTCCTCCTCATCCTCAATCCCTGATCTGCTCTTCAAATGAGGAAACTGAACACACACACATCAAATAGCCAAAGTAGCACAAATGGCAAGTTCAAGGATTGTTATGGTGACCAATGTCCAGAGACGTATTTGCCACTGATTTTTAGAACTGGAAATAGAAGTTTGCAGCAACAAATACTGAAACACCTATAATTCTTGTGCAATCTTCATAAAGCTCATACAGTAGCAATATACTGATATACTGTATCAATAATTGTCTTTGAGTTTTTTACCTGACCACAAGGTGGCAGCAGTGCAACTCACCACAGAGAGACTAAGGGATGAAACACACACTGAGCACTATTTATTGTATACTTCTGGCCACATCTTGTTAATTAAATAGTCCGTGGCCATCAACATCGTTTCTGCAACATGTTATCTCTTCATACGATTTATTCATGAACTTGTATATAGAATGTCCTGTGAAATGGGTTTTTGAGGTAAGTGGTGTGTAACAGCAATATTTTTCCAATAGAAAGGAAGATTGTTACTCTCATCGTATGTTTGAAGAACAGTTTCCTGTAGGCAGTGGTCCCTGTTGTAGTGTGAACCTTAGCCACAGAGGGGTAGACAATAGAGAAACGGATAAGAACAAGTTGAGAAGCTGATACCCCACCCCCCAGTGGGGTCACTGGCCCATGGAAGAGAAAGCTGTAGACACTTTTTTTTTTTTTTGACAGGCAGAGTGGACAGTGAGAGAGAGAGACAGAGAGAAAGGTCTTCCTTTGCCATTGGTTCACCCTCCAATGGCCGCCACAGCTGGTGTGCTGCGGCCGACACACCGCGCTGATCTGAAGGCAGGAGCCAGGTGCTTCTCCTGGTCTCCCATGGGGTGCAGGGCCCAAGCACTTGGGCCATCCTCCACTGCACTCCCAGGACACAGCAGAGAACTGGCCTGGAAGAGGGGCAACCGGGACAGAATCCGGCGCCCCGGCCGGGACTAGAACCCGGTGTGCCTGCGCCGCAAGGTGGAGGATTAGCCTAGTGAGCCGCGGCCCCGGCCCGGCACTTTCTGAAATTGGGGAGCACATATCTACTTGTCTCTGCATTTATACGGATATGTAAAAGAGAGATGCCACAAGTAACAGATATAAAGAAAGTCAATTAGCCCTGAGCTGTAGGATAACACTGTATGTATTATAACCTGGTGTTTATGGACCACTTTCTTCCTGGCCATAGGCACATCTGCTATCACTCAATTCTCCCAACCTTCTTCAAAGGAGATCTGTTACATTCCTATTTTACAAAGAGTTGGAGCTATAAATAGGAGCTCAGTGACCGCAAAGAAGAAGGGCATCAGGATTCAAGGCTGGCAGTCGGATTCCAGTGCCCAGGGTGTATTTATATCCAAAAGTCTCATTATATTCCCATGCTCCAAGCTGAACTCTTCTTCAAGACTTTGCCCTGGTTAGGGGCAGTAAGTGTGTGTGTGTCCCCCTCACACCGAGTCAGTAAGAGTAAATACATTTATTTCCAAATTATTTCTACTCAGATCAGAAGGTCCAAGTTAAATAAACAGTATTTAGAATAAATGTGCTTAAATAAATCGATAAACTGCCATTTGCTGTTCTGTGCTGCGGCTTTTGGCTGCAGGCCTTGGCTTTAACTTGCCCATGCATATTCACGCACAGCTGCTTTGGGCAGCAGCTGGCACTGAGCACGATACCCAGGGGCTAAGCACACAGGGTCTGAGCCAGAGTGACTGGGATTTCTGTTCCTTAGGTACCACTTACTGGCTCAACGACTGGCATCGCAATGTCTCCACTGGAACATAAGGAGAGCAACAGTTTCATCCCAAGGGCATGCTCTGGGAATTAGTCGCTCATTTAAGCAATTGGTGCATAGGTGATGAGTCTGTGGATTCCGGAGCTGGGTAGTCTGGATATGCTCACTGTTCTGTCAGCTGCGAGAGTTTGGGCGACTCTATCACCACGCTCTCCATTTCTTCATCTGGATCGTCAGTGGGACGATAAACAGCCCTCCTCCCAGGGAGGCCAGAGATGGCAGCCTGCAGTAATCCATGTAACCCTGGCTCACGGGGAGTGACAAACACAGCCCTCCAATCACCCTTTCCAGGCATGCTTGCCGCCTTCCATGTGAAAGGTACCAGGAGGGTCAGGCGTGGCGCATCAACAGAACAACACCGACAGGACTTCTGCCCCACTGACACAGCCGACTCAGGGAGTAGGGCAGCAGACAGGGAAAATAGACATTGTGATGAGAGCCCTAAAGGAAGCCAGTACTGGGATGGAATCAAGATGGCTCATTTGGAATCCTGGCTAAAGATGATGGATTTAACCACATACATAATATTGCTTTTATCCCAAAACCACAGTAATGCATTAAAAAAATAAAATAAAAAACCCAGAACCCACATGGAGGTGGAAAGGAGAAGAGAGAAATGTAAGCAAAATCTGAAGCTTTAGAGCAGATGGCTGAGTGGCACCCAGCATGGAAAGCTGAGAAGCAAGCCAGTCCACAACATGAAATCCTCAGAGAGCCCGGCCGGGGTGGGGGTGGGGCGCAGGGCACACCTAGAACCAGGGTTAAAAGATGCGGGAGGGGACATAACGCGAGCTGGTGGAGAACTATTACAGAAGCCAGTTGTGCACGAGGTTTCTCCTTCATTTCGCCCTGCAACCGCCCCTCCTGATTCTCAGCAGAAGACTTGATGGGGAAAGCATTTGTAGATGGTTTCCGGGCCTGGAGATGTCGCACGCGCTGTGTTAAATAGAGGAGGATTAAGTGAACATTTGTGGCCAGGGAGTGCAGTGGAGGATGGCCCAGGTGCTTGGGCCCTGCACCCCATGGGAGACCAGGAGAAGTACCTGGCTCCTGCCAACGGATCGGCGCGGTGCGCCAGCCTCGGTGCGCCAGCCTCAGTTCCGAGGCTCCCCGCCCTCACTTGTCTCTGGAACTCTGGCAGCCAGGCCTTTACCTCTGGGCTACAGACTGGAAGGCTCCTCTAGAAATCATGGTGCAAGATCCCTGACGACACTGACCTTGGGAAGCGTCCCTAAAATGGCTTCAAGATACTCGAAATCTACAAACACCGTTTACACGCTGAGAGTTTTGAGTAAACTTTTTAACTTCCCTGCTGTTTATCATGGATCCTAAAGAATGGTCCTGCTTCTGAGGAAAAGATAGAGACCAAGAAGAGCACGAAAGCAAGTGCTCAGACACACCCTGGGCAGGGAGATGATGGTATGTCCATTAAATATAAATAAAACAGTGCTTCACAGAAGGAACTGCACCATAACAGAGTCCTTATCAATTTAAGAACACGATATCAGGCATTCAAAATTTAAGATGAAAGTTGAGAAAGAGAATTCTTCCTGAAAGTAACATTAAAGGAAAATGAGAGAAAGAGAACCAATATATGAATAACAGAAATTTTAGTGTAATGAAACAAAGCAAATAAAGGTGGAAGATATCATAAGTGGAATAATTCAGACATTTCCTTGAATACCTAGATCCAAGTCTGAGATTGATTAAGCCTGGCAAGGAGACAGCATAAGGGAGGGAAAGCAAATCCTGCAGCTCATTGTACAGTTTTAGAACTCTAGGGACAAGTGTTCTAGCTGTAGAGGGGGAAAAGAGATCACATACACAATGTCAGAAATTGCATTAGTTTAGGTTTTGTAACAGCTGGAGAACCATAGATGACATCTCCCAAACACTACTGAAATATTATTTTCAACACAGAAATCCATACCCAAACCAAAAAGCAAATAGCAAAAGGAAATAAAGACATTAAAGCCCCAAACTTTTGTTTCCTATAATCAGTCAGCTATGGGAGGATCGCTCCACAGAAACAGGATAGAGTACAGGAGAACAAGCCCAGGAAGTGGTAGAAGAGACATCCAGAGTGGTTATAAAGAAGCAGGAGAGCAACAGGGCACCCCCTGTGGAGGACAATGAAACCAACGCTGTGAGTCACAGGATAAATGCACTCCACCTGTCCTCACCTCACCTCCTGACCACTTTTAGGATACTAGAGGATGTGCGCCAGACAAACAATGGAGTAAACAGAGGAGGGAACCATCCAGGAAACAGGGCTGCAGCTTGGGAGAAAGGCACTACTGGGACGGCAGCACAGGGAGATCCAGGGAAGACAGCTGTGCAGAAAACCTAGAGGGCTCCACAAAGGAAACACAGAGCAAAGCAGATCACTCCAAGGAAGCAGTGAAAATAATAGAGAATCTGAGGTCAGTGACCTTGTGGAAAATCATGGACATTGGACAGTGTGAGAAGATTCAGCAATGAAAAGAATTAAGCAAACTATAAAAGGAAATAGTATTAAAATATAATACAATTCTGTGTAATATTTGCATATGACTAATAATGTAGTCACTAAATATTGACTTAACCGAAAAATTTTTAATATTATCTTATTTGGAGCTTGGAAAAGGGAAGCAGAGATGACTGTAAATGGTGAATTTTTTTTAAGATTTATGTATTTATTTGAAAGGTACAGTTACAGACAGATTGGAAGAGAGAGACAGAGAGAGCTCTTCCATCTACTGGCTCACTCCCCAAATGGCTGCAATGGCTAGGAATAGTCCAGGATGAAACCAAGAGCCTGGAACTCTATCCAGGTCTCCCAGATGAGTATCAAAAGCCTAAGTACTCGAGTCATCTTCTGCTGCTTTCCCAGGCACGTTAGTAGGGAGCTGGATTGAAAGTGGAGCACCTTGAACTTATGCTCATATGGGAGGCCTATGTTTCAGGCCACAGCTTAAGCACCACACCAGCCCCAAGAAGTGAATTCTTATTGCCATTGTACAAAGTCCATAGAAACTGTCTAAATTTGGTGAATCAAAGAAAGCCATATTTACATATAGAAATATGGAGAGTGCAAATCCTAAAGAGATGTCTAAAAGGATGAAAAAGAAGGTTGCATGCAGTGAGGGGTCAATGTGAGAAGCAGAGAAATGCTATACTTTGCTTTAAACTTCTAATATAATTTGATGTTTTAAAGCTACACATGCATACGACTTAACACGAGAAAGAAGTTTTTAACAGCACTGAACACAATTTCTGGCAAGAGGTATATGATTAATAATAGTAATATCCAGTGACCACATTACTTTTCTATCTTGATTTTTCTCTGCCCAAGGAAAACGTGACATGAAATCATCCAGCGTGTCCACAATAGCGTCAACTTGACATTGTTCCATTTCCGTTTTTCCAGCCAAATCTGTGGAATACAACAATGTCACTTAATGATCACGAATATGCTTAATTTAATTTCCTACATTCAGAGTTTGTTTATAGTAGTCAAAATGTTTCTATGGTTGAAAAATCAAAGAAAAATGCAATAGTATCCAGGGAAGACTAGCTTCCATCCTTACTCCCATCAGTCTCATTGATTCCTTTATCTACTTACCTTATTAGCAACCACTTTTATTATTTCTTCTGATCTTCCCTTTTTAGTGAAAATGCAAGCAAATCAGAATATATGTATATATTCCACTAGATATGCCTCATTGTCACAAGTACCCTAAAGATCTGTCCTTACAGTACCTAAATGTTATCCTGTTCTTTCTTTTCAGCTATACCAGGTTTCTTTAGAAAAAAGTGCCACCATTCATTTACTTAACCTCAACTTTTTAGGTCTCTTTCCGATCTTTCGATAATTCAATCAATATTGCAATAATTTATAGATATAATATACAGTGTAAAAAGAATAGCTTTTTTGCAACTTTTGCTGAGAATTTGTTTTCAGCTTAGAGACTAACAGTTTAAAATAATAGAGGTTCTTGTTTCTGTCTTTCGTTAATCATTATTTTTGCTCATAAATCATTGGTTTTTCTAAATATTTTCTCACTGGTTCCAATTTATTTATTTATTTTTTAAGATTTACTTATTTATTTGAAAGGCAGAGCTACAGAGAGGCAGAGGCAGAGAAAGAGAGACAAGTCTCCCAATCGCTGGCTCACTCCTCAATGACCATAACAGCCAGAGCTGGGCCTATCCAAAGCCAGGAGCCAGGAGCTTCCTCCAGGTCTCCCACAAGGCTGCAGGGGCCCAAGCACTTGGGCCATCTTCTACTGCTTTCCCAGGCCATAGCAGAGAGCTGGATTGGAAGTGGAGCAGCCAGGACTCGAACCAGCACGCATATGGGATGCTACACTGCTGGTGGCAGCTTTACCTGCTATGCCACAGTGCCAGCCCCTATTTATTTCCATTTTATTTGAAAGGCACAGAGACAGAAATCTTCCATCCACTGGCTCACTCCCCAAATTCCTGCAACAACCAGGGCTGGCCAGGTTGAAGCCAGGAGTCCAGAATTCCGTCTAGGTCTCCCACAATGATGGCAGGGACCCAAATATTGGAGCCCATCACCCATTGCTCTCCGTAGTGCATTAGCAGGAAACGAGTTGCCAGGACCCACACCCATATGGCCAGGCACTTCCATATGGCACGTGTCTCTCAAGTGGGCTTCAGCCACTGTGCCAAGCTCCTGCCCCTCACTGTTGTCAATTTCAAATGATTCAGTGCAAAAGCATTCTAAAATAAATTGCTTTTGTACAACTGTATAAATTTACTAAAAATCAAGAACTGTGTACAGATAGTGGGTGAACTGTATGTAAATTATACCTCAAAAAAAGCTGTTAATGAAAACAAATGCTTTAGTGATTTAGAGTTCCTCTGTAAACTATCTGTGTTTTTGTCTATGGTATTCAAAACTGATTTGTCTTTCTTCTCTTGAAAAGTCTTTCAGAATCTATCATAGGTTTTTTTTTTTTTTAAGATTTATTTAGTTATTTGAAAGGCAGAGTTCCAGAAAGGCAGGGGCGGAGGAGAGACAGAGAGGGAGGTCTTCCATCCACTGGTTCATTCTCCAAATGGCTACAATTGCTGGAGCTGTGCCGATCTGAAGCCAGGATCCAGGAGCTTCTTCCTGGTCTCTCACACGGGTGCAAGGGCCCAAGCACTTTGGCCATCTTCTACTGCTTTCCTAAGCCACAGCAGAGAGCTGGATCGGAAATGGAGCACGCAGGACTTGATTTGGCTCCTATACGGGATGCTAGCACTGCAGGCAGCAGCTTTACCCACTATGCCACCATGCCGACCCTTATCATAGGTTCTTGTCACTCATTTTCCTCCCTGCTTTGACTTCCACATGAAACTTTAGCCATCAATTTTTTAAAAAAATATTTATTTATTTTAAAGTCAGAGTTACACACAGAGAGAAGGAGAGGCAGAGAGAGAGAGAGCAGTCTCCCAACCTCTGGTTCACTCTCCAGTTGGCCACAATGGTCAGAGCCACACTGATCTGAAGCCAGGAACAGTGGGTACAGGGGCCTAAGGACCTGGGCCATCCTCTACTGCTTTCCCAGGCCATAGCAGAGAGCTGGATCAGAAGTGGAGCAGCCGGGTCTCGAACCGGTGCCCATAGGGGATGGTGGGACTTCAGGGCAGGGCGTTAACCTACTGCGCCACAGCACCAGCCTAAGAAAGCAAATTCTTGAGCCCTATTCTAGGCTCCCTGAATTAAAATCTCTGGAATGGAGATTGAGCAATGTGTGTTTTAATGAGCCCACTGATCCTGATGCATGTGAAGTTCGGAAAAATACTGCTTAGGCCCAGTCTTGCACTTGAAATTCCAGGCATAATTTGAAGGGCTCAATTCAAATGTCATTTTCACTTCAAAGCTTAGTTCTTGTGGTCAGAAATAATCTCCATCTGTTCTTTATTTCCAAAAAACTATGTTGAAATGTGTTAGTTTAAGCACAAGTTACTGTATCTTTAATATACATTACTTTGATAAGCAGAAACCTAGTATTTATGGCCCATTTTATTTGTGGGGCAACCGTGTGGTTATGACTTAAATCATGGTGGTGGTGGTGATGAGTTGGGTATGAGAAATGCTGACTCTGCAGATGGATAAGAGAGAGAGAGAAGAAAAGAAAGAGGCTTTAAAAGAAGTCTGGGGCCAGCACCATGGCTCACTAGGCTAATCCTCCACCTGCGGTGCCAACACCCCAGGTTCTAGTCCCGGTTCCGGCGCTGGATTCTGTCCCAGTTGCTCCTCTTCCAGGCCAGCTCTCTGCTGTGGCCCAGGAAGGCAGTGGAGGATGGCCCAAGTGCTTGGGCCCTGCACCTGCATGGGAGACCAGGAGAAGCACCTGGCTCCTGGCTTCAGATCGGCGCAGCACACCAGCTGCAATGCGCCAGCCATAGCAGCCACTTGGGGGTGAACTAACAGAAAAAGGAAAACCTTTCTCTCTGTCTCTCTCTCTCACTGTCTATCTCTGCCTGTCAAAAAAAAAAAAAAAAAAAAGTCTGCGGTAGTGTTTTACTCAAAATACTGGGAGAGGAATAAAAGGAAAGAGAGCCGGCGCCGCGGCTCACTAGGCTAATCCTCCGCCTAGCGGCGCCGGCACACCGGGTTCTAGTCCCGGTCGGGGCGCTGGATTCTGTCCCGGTTGTCCCTCTTCCAGGCCAGCTCTCTGCTGTGGCCAGGGAGTGCAGTGGAGGATGGCCCAGGTGCTTGGGCCCTGCACCCCATGGGAGACCAGGATAAGCACCTGGCTCCTGCCATCGGATCAGCGCGGTGCGCCGGCCGCAGTGCACTGGCCGCGGCGGCCATTGGAGGGTGAACCAATGGCAAAGGAAGACCTTTCTCTCTGTCTCTCTCTCACTGTGCACTCTGCCTGTCAAAAAATAAAAAATTAAAAAAAAAAAGAGGAAAAAGAGAAATTGCAATGGAGCAGCAGCACAGACAAGACCCAAAGGACACTTCTCTCTATTTTTCATCAATGCTATGGGTACAGATGCTACCACAGCAACCCAGGAGCCCACTACCCACGTAAAGATGCACTGGATTCTGGGTATTCCCCCTCTCTCCCAGCATGATTCGGATGAAGGACATCATTGAGCACCGGATTTTAATGATATAATCAATTTCACCTTCGTATGCCTCGTGTATTTCCTACTCATTAATTCTCTCTGATAACTTACATTCTGCTAACAAAAGTTTGGCATGAGCAGACCTATCCGATGGGTTTTGATGATTCTAAGACAGGCTTGGATGGTGAGGAAGCATGGGAGGGCAAGAGACAAGATGAAATTAACCTGTCAGGTTGTCTGGGGAACTCATGGAATATTACACTGATACAGATGGTGCATTTACACTTCTCTAGCATTTAATTGTGCTCATGCTTGCATGATAACATTCCATAATACAATTAGTGAATATTGAATATGTATATATATATATGCTTTCAGTTATCAAAACTCTTAAACACAACAAACATATTACCTGTGTTTTTGACCAGGTATCTTGCTATTGCTAAGCTCTGGTGAAGGACAACCCCATCCACTTCCAAAATGGGAATTTTGCCAAACAGGACACCTTAAAATAAAATAATAAAAAATCAACTCTCATTTTTAAAGAAAATTGTGGGGAAAAAGCATGTTTTAAAGTCATAAAATTCTTCAATATTTATTCACAAAGAGACATTTGACAGCATCTAGCACGAACTTTACATTTCATATGTTTAGAAAAGCTGTTAGAAGACCTGCAGTAAAGTTAATGACAGCACTCATTCTAAAACCCAGGTCTGAGGTCAGGGAGGCATTTGGCACAGAAGTTAATACGCTGCTTGGCATGGCTGTGTCCCATTTGGAGCCCCTGGGTTTGAGTCGCAGTTCTACTTACGACTCCAGTTTCTTGCTAATGCGCACTCTGGGAGGCAGCTGGGGATAAATCCAGTACCTAGGTTCCTTCTACCTCCATGGCAAGCCTGGACTGAGTTCCAGACTTCTGGCCCAGCTCTGGCTGTTGTGGTTATTTGGAGAATGAACTAGCAGATGGAAGACTTTTCTCAGTCTGTCCCTGTTTCTGTCCCTCTTTTTCTCTCTCTCTTTCTCCCTTTCAAATAAAATTTAAAGATAATAACACCCAGATTTACAGTGATACTATATACTATTATCTCAAACATGTGCTACTAAACTTTTTTTTAAAAAACTATTTATTTGAAAGGCAGAGTTACAAAGAGAGAAGGAGAGACAGAGACACAGAGAGATATCTTCCATCTGTTTGTTCACTCCCCAAATGACCGCAACGACCAGGGCTTGGCCAGGTTGAAGCCAAGAGCTTCTTCCAGGTTTCCCACATGAGTACAGGGGCCCAAGCACTTGGGCCATCCTCCACTGCTTTCACAGACCATTAGCAAGGAGCTGGATGGGAAGTGGAGCAGCCAGGACTCAAACTGGCGCCCATATGGGATACTGGCACTGCAGGCCAGGGCTTTACCCACTGGGCCACAGTGCCAACCCCACTACTAAACTTCCTTTTTTTTCATAAAAAAAAACCTTGTTTTAAAACCTTATTCATTTTTGTGGCCTCAATCACAATAAATGTTATTTTAAAACCATAGTCTTAGGATTATAAACTCTTTGATTCACATATGAGTTATAATAAGGGATTTAGCTAAAGTCTTGGTTGGAAGTAAGGCAGTAAATTTCTAAGTCAATATAACACCATCATTTCAATGACCATGTTCTATTTCATCACGTGTATTTATGCCAATTTTCCCACCCAGTGCCTTAGTTTTGGAGTTGCAATTATTTTGGAAAGACAGAAAAGAATAAGGTGCCACTTATAATGCCATGACTCTCACACAACCACTGGACTCCATGTTGTGCCTCTCCTTCCAGCTGTTATAAGCATACTGAGTACAGGGTGAACTACAATTCGCATCAGGCACAAAATCATCTTACAGTGTTTACCTAGTGAGTGTGCCAAGTACTGTTCCAAGTGCCTGAGATAATGCAAGGCAGAAGAGAATCACAAATAAAACTGACTTGAGTCGGGTGATTTCTTTGAAGCAACATCAGTCTGAACAAGAGGGAACTAACACATCTAACTAACACTGAGAGGTGGGGAGGCCTCCCTCTTGCCAGGCATTGTGCTAAATACTTACTGTGCCCATTTCATCTCCCAGTACTTATAAGAACCCTAGCAAGAATGTGTGAGCTGTTATCTCACTTCGTAAATGAAGTTGAGAGAGCTTATGTAAATCACCCAGGCCACACACCATGTAGGGGTGGGGTTCACACTGAGAGCTGGTGGAACACTTGCTCAGTTGTTTTCATAATTCTGAGAGCCAGGTTTTGAGAAAGATGTTCAAAATCTGAGCAAGCCCGGAGAATGGTATCCAAGTTAGAGAGAGATCTGAGAAGCACATTCTATGAGGATTGGTTGAAGAGCCCTTGCCCTCTTCCCCTAGAGGAGGAGAAAACACTCAGGTGAACTTAACAGCTATCTTCAAATGTGGCAGAGCTATCAAATGGGAGAAAATTGTGACTTACTCCAACTAGCTATGAAATGCAGGATGAGAGCCAAAAAGTAACAGGATAAAGGGCAGATGGTAGCTCAAGATAAAGAATAATTTCATTGGCACCCACAACTCTGGGCAGTGGGGTATGCACTCTTGTGTTAACGTAAGTTTCAGTCACTGGGTGTGTTTAAGTCAATTTGGGGATAACTGCCAACAACTGGAACATTGGGTTGCCTCTAACAAGAAGAAAGGTAAGGGGCCGGCGCCATGGCGCAGTAGGTTAATCCTCCACCTGTGGCACCAGCATCCCATATGGTCACTGGTTCTAGTCCTGGCTGCTCCTCTTCTGATTCAGCTCTCTGCTGTGGCTTGGGATAGCAGTACAAGATGGCCCAGGTCCTTGGGCCCCTGTACCCACATGGGAGACCCGGAAGAAGCTCCTGGCTCCTGGCTTCGGATCGGCGTAGCTCTGGCCGTTGCAGCCATTTGGGGAGTGAACCAGAGGATGGAAGACCTCTCTCTCTGTCTCTCCCTCTCACTGTCTATAACTCTACCTCTCAAATAAATAAATCTTAAAAAAAAAAAAGGGGGGGCAAGAAGAAATTTAAGTAGACAAATGCTAAGTTCTTCATTTTTGGTTCTAGAAAGGAATAGTTCCAGTGGGTCATCAGTAAACAGGAGCTCCTGTCCAAAAGCTTTAAGGAGGGCTGGCACTGTTGTTTAATGCGTGAAGTTGCTGCCTGCAGCAACAGGATCTGACATGAGCAGCAATTCGAGTCCCGGCTGCTCCACTTCCAGTTCCTTGTTAATGTGCCTGGGAAAGCACCACAAGATGATCCAAGTGCTTGGGCCCCTGCACCCACATGGGGGACCCGGAAGAAGCTCCCAGCTCCTGGCTTCAGATAGGCGCAGCTCTGGCTATCATGGCCATCTGGGGAGTGACCCAGTGGATGAAAGACCTCTCTTTCTCTTTGCTCTGTCTCTCTGTAACTCTGCCTTTCAAATAAATAATTTTTTTAAAAAAAGCTCTAAGGAATTTAGTGACATTGAATATAAGTCCTTAGTGTGATATGGCTGCCAATGTAACTACTCTGATCTTGGGAAAACGCCGTAGGATAATGTCTGTGACAGGGTGATGGTGCCATGGCGTCCTGCGCTGTTCCTGTGCTCGGAACATTGTGTTTCCTCATTGGCACCACACACTGCTCAGCAGATGCTGTGTAATGGGAGCCTGTTCAGAGGACACCTGCTTGGGTGGCAGGGAAATGCAACCCAGCGGCTAAAATTGGAATACTCAGGGAGGAGAGGAGAGTTGTCCCTTACGCCCGGGTGTATTGCAGAGCTCGGATGGGCCATGGGAAACAGTATCTAAATCAACCAGTAGGGTCAGGGGTGGGAAGGTTGAGCTGAAATTCACGATGATGATCAGAGAAACAAGGAAGATCCACAGTTCTTATCTAAGTAGACCCACAGACGCGCAAGTTAACCGGGGGCTGGATTCTGGACCTTTCTCTTCACTCAGAGCACTTTTATTCAACTGGCTGCTCCACAATGCTCTTTATTCCCTCCAGTGTCTTCAACCAAGCTTCTTCAATTCTAAGAGTACTTCTTAAAGTGTTTTTGAGAAACGGAATTGAAAGATAAGCTGGATTTTGGTGCAAAATGTTTTGAAGTCCATGGGTAGTTTTTTCATAACACACATTTTCTGTGAACTTTTTGAAGGCCTCCGGTATTCAGATGAAAAAAGAAAGAATAATCTGTTCTCCATGAACGAAAATGGCAAGTGGAAGACCAATGTATAAAAGCCATGAGGAGACACTTTTCAATTTTGGGTAAGGGAGAGTCTTTAAAAAGTTTGCCTCTCTTCTGTTATATGTTCTCTCTTCCTAGAATCTCATTGGGAAGGTGACCTCCTAAACTGATGGATCCTCAGTTTCACTGATCTTCCTTTTTTCTATTTTCCATTTGCTTGTCCTATTGTGTTTTCTGGAAGATTTCCTGATTTTCATCATTCAATTGAAAAAAATTTAAATTTATTTTTATTTTTTATTTTTTTTATTTGACAAGTAGAGTTATAGACAGTGAGAGAGAGAGAGAGACAGAGAGAGAGGTCTTCCTTCCTTTGGTTCACTCCCCAAATGGCTGCTACGGCCGGCACTGCACCAATCTGAAGCCAGGAGCCAGGTGCTTCTTCCTGGTCTCCCATGCGGGTGGAGGGGCCCAAGCACTTGGGCCATCCTCCACTGCCCTCCTGGGCCATAGCAGAGAGCTGGACTGGAAGAGGGGCAACCGGGACTAGAACCCAGTGCCCATATGGGATGCCGGCGCCACAGGTGGAGGATTAACCAAGTGAGCCACGGCACCAGCCCTCTATTGAAAAATTGATTGGTTTTGTTTGTATCACATTCACATTCTCAATTTTTCATTTTAATTTTTAATAAGTCTATTTATTTTTAATTTTTTTCTAATTGAAAGGTGGAGTTATGGAGAGAGGAGAGAGGAGAGAGGAGAGAGAGAGAGAGAGAGAGAGATCTTCCATCTGCTGGTCCTCCACTGCTTTCCCAGGTGTATTAGCAGGGAGTTAGATGTGGATTGAAAGTGGATCAGCTGGGACTTGACCTGGTGTCCATATGCATGGCAGGTGGCAGCTTAACCCACAGTGCCACAACACAGGTCCCCACATTCTCAATGTTCAAGAACTTTTGTCTTGGAGCATTTCTTTTATAGTACCCAGTTCTTTTATAAATTTTTATTTTATTTTATTTTTTTGACAGGCAGAGTGGACAGTGAGAGAGAGAGACAGAGAGAAAGGTCTTCCTTTGCCGTTGGTTCACCCTCCAATGGCTGCCGCGGCCAGCGCGCTGTGGCCGGCACACTGCGCTGATCCGATGGCAGGAGCCAGGAGCCAGGTGCTTTTCCTGGTCTCCCATGGGGTGCAGGGCCCAAGCACCTGGGCCATCCTCCACTGCACTCCCTGGCCACAGCAGAGAGCTGGCCTGGAAGAGGGGCAACCGGGACAGAATCCGGTGCCCTGACCGGGACTAGAACCCGGTGTGCCAGCGCCGCAAGGCGGAGGATTAGCCTAGTGAGCCGCGGTGCCGGCCCAGTACCCAGTTCTTATAGTGGACATCATATAATATTTTTGAAAGTTTTTTTTTTCCTCTAAATTATCCTGTTTCCATCAGAGTTGTTTTTTTTTTCCTTCTGCTTCATTCATGCCTACTTTCATATTAGAGACTTTTCTCAAATATCTGTTGATTTTTTGCTTTGCCATTCCTGCTATAAAGGACAAAGAAATAAAAGTGACTGGAAGCTCAGGGTGCATGGGAGGCCCTTGCCAACAGAATTGGCTGGGCCACTTCACTGACAGACTTAATATATTCAGTATCCATTAGATTATTCCCTTAGGCCGATCAGTTGTCCCAGAGAGCATTCCTCCAGTTTCTGTCTGAGAGATATCAGCCTGGTTGCAGCATGCTAATTGTAGAGTAGGTTAAAGGGACTTAGGGGGGCCAGCACTGTGGCGCAGTGGGTTAAAAAGCCCTGGCCTGAAGTGCCGGCATCCCCTATGGGCGCCCATTCTGGTCCTGGCTGCTCCTCTTCCAATCCAGCTCTCTGCTGTGGCTTGGGATAGCAGTGGAGGATGATACAACTCTGGGCCCCTGCACCCGTGTGGGAGACCCAGAAGAAGCTCCTGGCTCTAGGTTTTGGATCTGCACAGCTCCGGCCATTGCGGCCATCTGGGGAGTGAACCATCGGATGGAAGACCTCTCTCTCTCTCTCTCTGCTTCTCCTCTCTTTGTGTAACTCTTTCAAATAAAATAAATAAATCTTTTTTTTTTTTTTAAAAAAAAGGAACTTTGGGTCTCACAGTTTAGTTTCTAGACTTCCTTTGAATATTTATTATCGTATTGTGTCTTCAGACATGCCTGTTGTCCCAGAATCCTCTGGTGCATCCTATCCTGAGAGTAATGTCCACATTTTTCCCAGGGAGGGGGAAGGAGCTGGTGGTCCTACTGCTTTCTCACATTCTTCCAGTCAATCCTCTATTAGCTCAGCTTTTAAAGCTGCCTGTTGCTGCTGCTCCCTGAGCCTTTTTCAGGAACTCAGAATGATTCTGCTTGCCTTTTCCTCCTCCAGGCTTCTTTTTTGGCCTTTACGAACCTACTGTCTCCTTAGCATTCTTTTACTGGCTTTCTAGCTTCCAGATTTTTCTGCTCTCCTATTCAAGTTGATGTTTTTGTCCTTATGGTGTTTTGTCTTTTTTCCAAAATATTTTCCTATTATTAAAGCAGAGAGAAAATGTAAAACAAATGTGATCAGTTTGGCAGGTTTGGCCAGAAAGAACTTTTTAGTAGAATTATTCAATTATGGAAAGGGTTGACCAAAGATTGAGTTAATTCCAGGTTCTAGCAAAGGGGATATTGTAGAGGGTTTCAAACACCAGAGAGCACTGCTAAACTGGATGGGAGATAAGAACAAATAAAATTTGTAATAGAAACTGCATCTCTGTACCTATTTTAACCTTTCTTCTCAAAGTAATAAAACCCTGGAGTTTTAGCTGGACAAGGTGTTATTCACAATAAAGTCAACATTTCCCTGCTTCCCTCACAGTAACATGTCACCAATGTGTGACTAAGTTCTTACATGCCAAGGGAATGTAATGGAAGTTCTATGTAACTATCTGGTCAAGCTGTGAAAAGAAAGGGTATGCCTCCTCCCTTTTTCATACTTCCAAAGAGCCCAAATGTGGAAAGAGAGTGAACTATCTTACACTCTGTAAATAAGACAGCCATGGGTGGCAGATAAACAAGAGCAAGCCTAGTCTTTGACAATCTCATGGAGAAAAATCACTATTTCTATTTGAGTTTTTATGTCTATGAAGTTTCTATCTTCTTGAAGACAACGCAGTGGTAGGTCTCTGGCTCATAAATGATTTGAAATTAATATCTTAATCATCATGAATTTTATAAAGATATTAAGAAAATGTGAAAACTACATTTTCAATAACAGAAACAAGTCAAGACAGACTAGGGGATGAGGCTCTAAAAGAAAAATGAAAATTTTAAAAGCTTAAATACAGAATTTGGTGTGTGTACTATCCTTGCACTATGCTATTCATCTTGACCTAATCATTTCATGGACAAAATGAAATTCACCTATGATACAACTTTTATCTTAAAATCATATGCACATAGAATGACAATTGCTTTAAGCAGTACTCTGACCTCAGAATCAGCCCTTAAGGCATTCTGGTCTGGCTGAAAAGCCCATGAGAGCATTTCAGGCATGGAAAGCCAAGACACTATGGCAAAAAATATTCTACAGGAAGGATCTCTGTGAGTGAGATCCCAGTGGAAAGAAGTGGTCATCAAAGAAGGAGGTACCTTTCTCTGAAGGGAGGAGGGAACTTCTACTTTGCTTATGACCTTGTCTAAATACCGATGGAATTTGTGGATTCAAAAGGCTTCCATAGCCTAGGCAGCTCATATCAAGAGCCTCAGATGATCATTGACATCATACATAAGAGTATTAATTGTTAAATTAACAGCAGGAGTCACTATGCACTAACTTCCCATGCAAGACCTTTGTCCTCAAAGAGTTGTATTATGAGAGTTAACAGTAAAATTTGTTCTCAAAGATTTATTTTGTTTTAATGTATTAAGTGGAGGATATTCTTGTCTCATAAGTTTTAGTTATGCCTAAATTATAAACTCCACTGCTTGTTTTCTTAGGTGCTTCCTTAATTAATTATAAAACTTGTTCTCAAGGACTTGCTTTCTTCTAATATATTAAATGAAGAACATTCTTATATCTTATAAGGTATAGTTATGTCTAAGTGCTCCCAAAAGATGTAACATTCTTGGGTGTTTCTTTAAAGTAAATTAAGTTTCTCAAAAAAAAAAAAAAAGTGAAATTAACTTCGAGTTGCAATGACTTTGAACAGCCCTTGTCTTGCCTGTTGAGGAACAGTTTTGTTTCGCTTTCTGTGCAAATTGTTGAACTCTTTTCTTAGCGTAGAGTTGATCTTCTGTGTGTAAAGTTAATTGAAAATGGATCTTAGTGGAGAATGGGATTGGGAGTCGGGGGAGTGGGAGTGTGGGAGTGTGGGTGAGAGGGTGAGTATGGTGAGAAGAATCACTGCATTCCTAAAGTTTTACTTATGAAATGCATGAAGTTTGTTTTCCTTAAATAAAAGATTTCTTTTGGGAAAAATAAAAAAAAATCTAGTAATAAAAAAACCCCAATATCAGGAAAAACATTTGCAGATTAATGGTAAAGTCTCATGAGAACAGGAAGTAAGATATTCTATCCTATCAGACAGAAACATCTCTGCTTAAAAAGAAGGGGGTGGTCATTATAAAGACAACGTCTTTTACAGAAGGCATGCTTCCAAAAGACATGTGGGGATGTATTGCTAAATTACCAATTGTCACTTATCATTATTGTTGGCATTTTCTCATGCAAAAATACTTGGGGGAGAGAATTAAACTGATGCAGGTTTGAATCAGCTCAACCTGTTAGGGATGGAAACTGGAAAAATTACTCAGAGTCTGTGCACTTCAGTAATCGCAACTATAAAATATACAACGGTGCATCTCATGTCTGATTCAGTTCTTCTGGCAAGGCTCTCTGTTTATTTTTGTAGTTGCTGTCTGTGAGGCTTGTGTTTTCATCACTAATAGGAAATCTGCTGAGTCATAGTGTACCGATTTAGCTTGCCTGAATGACGGCTTCACAATTTAAAGCCACAGGAGATGAAAACATCTTTATTTGTTCATTTTCTTGACGAAGGACTAAAGGTTCTCAAAGCACGTTTTCCCTACGTTTTCATTTGTGCTACTTACTTGATTTGATTTCAGGCCAGTCAGCTTGCTCTATTCTGCGGTCTTCATACTTTATGTTCAAATAAGCAAATATGTACCGGATGATTTCTGCTCTCCCCCTCATATTAAAATAAGTGAGTTTGTAGTTGGGCATGATGAGATTCTGGAAGGAGAGGAGAGGAGGGGTTACTTTAACGGTCCACAAGGGATGTCTCGATAATTTTCTTCGGGGACATGTCTGAAAGCTTCACAGCGTCTTTTGAGATAGTCAGAGACGGGAGAACATTGCAAAACCAAGATCATAAATGACTATCTAATATGTGGAAACTTGGAGCCAGCATTGTGTTGCAGAAAGTTAAGCTACCCTCTGCTCACGATGCCAGTATTGGCTATCACAGTGCAGGTCAAGCCTCAGCTGCTCCACTTCCAATCCAGGTCCCAGCTAAAACACCTGGAATGTGGCCAAAGTCCTTGGGCCCCTGCCACCTATGTGGGAGACCTGCATAGAATTCCAGGCTTCAGGCTTCAGGTTTCAGCCAGGCATTGCCAAGTCCTTGTGGCTATCTGGGAAGTAAACCAGCAGATGGAAGATCTTTCTTTCTCTCTCTCTCTCTCTCTCTCTCTCTCTCTCTCTCACACACACACACACCCCACCTGGGGATTTCTGTTGGGATAGGACAATGACAAGCTTCTTCCTTCACCTCTCTGTAAAGGAAAAGGGAAGCTTTCCTTCTATTTCAGAGAGGTTGCTAATATGCTTCTATTACATATAAGTCATTATCATTTTGTTTTTGTGTACTGTATCATGTCATCCCAATTGTTTATAAATGGCTAATGATTTTTAAAATTTATTTTTTAAAAAAGATTTATTTATTTATTTGAAAATTAGAGTTACACAGAGGAGAGGCAGAGAGAGAGAGAGAGAGAGAGAGAGAGAGAGAGAGGCCTTCCATCTGCTAGTTCACTAACCATTTGGCCGCAATGGCTGGACCTGTGCTAATCTGAAGCCAGGAAGGAGCCAGGAGCTTTCTCTGGATCTCCACATGGGTGCAGGGACCCAAGGACTTGGACCATCTTCCACTGCTTTCCCAGGCCATAGCAGAGAGCTGGATCAGAAGTGGAGCAGCCAGGACTTGAACCAGCGCCCATATGGGATGCTGTATACCCACTACGCCACAGCGCTGGCCCCTTAAAATTTCTTTTTTAAAAAATTATTTGAAAGGAAGTGGGGTGGAAGTGGGAGAAGAGACAGAATTAGAGAGATATTCCACCTGTTGTTTCATTCGGGACATGGCTATGATAGCTTGGCCTAGGCCAGGCTGAAGCCAGGAGCCCAGAACTCAAACTGGGTCTCCTGTCACCTCCAAGGATGAGTATCAGCAGGAAGTTGGAGTCCAGAGCAGAGTCAGGACTTGAACCCAGGCACTCCAAATGGTTCATGCATCCCAAATAGCATCTTTGTGTGTACATGTGTGTAAACAGGCACAGAGTTTATTTGGCACTGAGGAAATAAACATACATTCATGCTTGAGTGTGGGCTGCTCCACACAGAGAAATACCCAACGTGAATGTGCCAAAGAGTTGCTTGTACATGACAGAAAGGAAAAACTGAAAGTGGTACCATAAATGGGAAGGTCTACTCAAGACCCATGGCAAAAGAGTATACATGGGATTAGTAGGTCTGAGCAGGGTTCGGTGGTGGAAAGAAAGAAAATGGACTCTAAGTAAGGTCCATGGCAGAAGGAGAGCTTTCCTGCCTTCCACCTCTTTTTATAAGGAAGTGGGGGTATCCCAGCTGGATATGCAGGTGAGGTGAGAGTCCCAGCAAGCACCCTGATCCAGGATGCACCTGTTGCATCCTGGGAAGATGAGCATATTAAATCAACGATTAAGCAGACAGCATCATTACTCAGGGATACAAGAGTTCCAGCTCGCCTACACGGACTTCCTGTCTACTTGTGGACTGCTTTCTGGGCACACTATGCTTCTGTGACTCTTCTGCCCTTGGGTTACTGGAGTTGCTTCACATGCCTGTGCAGAAAGCCAGAAGTCCTGGGACATTTTGTTTCCGCAGGTGGCTCTGTAGGCAGTAACTCACTGATTTGGAGCTAGGAAAGCCCAGCTCCCTTGCCTCAAGGCAGGCCAAACTGTGAGGCATAATTTATACCTCCTAGCCAGCACTGTGGCACATCGGGTGAACGCCCTGGCCGGAAGCTATGGCCTCCCATAATTTATATCTCAGAGCTCCCTTGAGGATTGCGTGAGGCTCCTACTCTGTCTGAAATATTACCCTTGCATGGCTTCTTTCCTTTCCCTGGCCTGAGTTGCCCACTCCTTCATTGGTTTTCCCAGAAACATTTCCTTAATAAATCACACGCATGTGAACCTTTATTTCAGATTTTCAGAGAAATGTGATCTGAGAAAGGTAGTAAGCTGTGGAATTGTGTGTGAAACTCACAGCTGTGTCTCTTTCAGGTCCACGGTCTTAGCTAATTCACCTAGTTTCTACTCCAACCCACACAAAAATATGACAACCAAAACATCTACGTAGAGAATAAATATAAAATGTGGAGAAAGCACAATTTTGCTAAACATGATTCTTTGAGTATTTTGATTATAAAACTTTAAAAGTACTTACTTATCCATTACAGAAAATCAAGGAAATAAAGAAAAGTCAAGCAAAATTGAAAAATACAAACTCAAACCTATCACCCAGAAGGGGTCATTATTATCATTTTGGCATTAACTTTCCAGAATGGTTTCTTCTTCCATATTCATGTATGAATAACGAGTATGAATCTTACCTCCCAAACTTGAGTGTGTAAGAAGTACCACACTGGCATTTTGAAAGTGTGTGAAATGAAGTCTAATCTCGAGCTTCCATCCCACTGGACAGATGGAAAGTTCCATCCCAACTGATTATTTTCTGTTGTAGTTGGGGTAGAGTTCTACCTCTCTAAGGTCTCCCCAGAATCGAAGAGTGCCTAGAAAGTGGGGCTCTCGCTGCTGCTCTTATTCATAGTCCCAACCTAGGAAGCAGAGCACTGTGCTGTATAGGTGCCAAGACTGGCACCAGGACCCTGCTGAGGCTGGAAGTTCTGGTGTTTGGGGTCCACCCCTTTTAGCCATATCCCAGATATATTCTCTCCTGAGACCCTGCTGTCTCACCTGGGAATAACTGAGAGGGGAATTCCCACTTAACCAATGATCTGCACACATCTATTCCTTTTCCCATTCTTGGAAAACCCTCTTGTCTGGCTTCTTTCTCTTCCTCAACCACCTTTCTTGCTTTAAGCCTAGCACAATCCTCCCTAGGAACTCAGGCCTCCAGAAAACAAAAACCAGGAACAGAGGTTGTTGGCCGACCACATCTGTTTTCAGCCCTACAGCATCAACTTTCCCAGGGGTAAATGAGCACAATGGACTGATTATATTCTTAGAATTCAGCGTAAGGTTTGAAAGAGAAGGGCAATGTAGTGACCAAAACACAAAATAGAGAACAGGTATCCCAGTACATTCTCCTGCACATACTTCCATCAAATTTCAATCACATTGAAGATACAGTATTTTTGCCAAGCAATATCTTAACCACTCTGCCACATGCCCACCCAAGTTAATGGCTTTGAAAAGCACTTATTATTGTAGAATGTGTTGTAATATTATAATGATCCAGCAGCTGAGACACATTTTCAATTGGAGCTCAATTCTTCCCTTTCATTATTGTGCATCTTTGGGCTAGTTAATAAAATCTCCCCGAGTTTCAAAGCCAACTTTTCATAACATGGATTTGGAGATTGATACGTTACACACATAAAGTACTTGGCACAATGCTAAATACTTAATAATTATTAGCATTCACAATAGTAACTTTGAACTCTTGCTTTATAATTGATTACAAACTGATCACCACACACTAAAAAGAAATAATTCTAGTAATTAAATGAATAAAATGTATGACAAATGTTCAGTAGAATGAGTGAATTAAAAATAGTTCATTTTTTTTTTACTAAGAAAGTCTTTTAAAGAATATTAATGGGATATTAGATAAAAGGAAAAGTTAGGCTTGAGCTTCAAAATAAAGTTCCATCTAAAATCACATTACAGAAAACATCAAACACAAATCATAAAGTCCAGATTGCCAAATTCTGGTCTCAAGTTTCTAATTCCTGGGGTCCACCTGTGGAGAGTATGACCTTGAGATAACTGAACTGGCTCTTCTCTATCTAGACCCTTCCTGAGGCCAAGAAATCCAGAGGTGGGGACTCCTAGCAGATCCATGCCTCTGCCCCTGGTCTCCCTGTCGTGGAATGGGGCTTGGGCTCCCTAAAAGAAACCGAGCACCCTCCCCCAATCTTTTTGCATCCTGCCCCACTCCTGCCAGTCTAGTCCACACCTAAGTGAAATGTGCGTATGACACCCATAAAGCAGGTGAGGAATGTTCTCTGAAGACAGAATTGGCTAAACTAATGATAATTCCAATTTTACAGCTCCAGATTCATTGGAACAAGAAACAAGTAATTGTAGAAGAGTTCAAATTTGGGCCACTAACAGAAATACCCAGCAGAGCCATGAGGCTGTTTTCCAGGTTACTTAGCAACATGGAGTTTAGACATAAAGAGCGGGAAAGATACAAGAGCACAAAAACTGTAAATAACAAATGTAAAGGATAAAATTCTTTCTGAAAAAGTTTTATGTATCATAATTTTTTTAAAGATTTATTTATTTATTTGAAAGAGTCACACACAGAAAGAAGGAGAGGCAGAGAGAGGTCTTCCATCTGTTGGTTCAGTCCCCAAATGGCCACAATGGCCAGAGCTGCACCGATCCAAAGCCAGGAGCCAGGAGCTTCCTCCAGGTCTCCCATGTGGGTGCAGGGGCCCAAGGACTTGGGCCATCCTCCACTGCTTTCCCAGGCCATAGCAAAGAGCTGGATTGGAAGTGGAGCAGCCAGGTCTTGAACTGGCACCCATATGGGATGCTGGAACTGCAGGTGGCGGCTTTACCCGCTACACAAGAGCGCCAGCCCCAGATATGTTGTTCTTACTTATAGTTTCTATCTGAATGTGGTGCAGCAGGTTAAGCCAGCACTTGTGTGCTGGCATCCCGTATCAGAATGCTGGTTCAAGTTCTGGCTGTTTTGCTTCTAATCCAGTTCCCTGCTAA